TGTAGAGAGCCTTGTCGATTAAATGCGCTGGCCGAATCGCCTAAATTGCTTCGTGAAACTAATGGCGCTCTGCAAGACACTTCGCGCCCACCACCTGTTTCTTGAACAACGCAGGGCTATGTATGTCCAAAGAATAGATTCGCGCGCCGTTGCATGTATCTTCGTTTCCGTTTAAAAAGAAGGCAAGCTGACCAATCGATGTCGAAACGCGCCAGTGTCTTCGTTCCGGGAGTGCCTTAAAGTCTGAGCGTTTCGCGGGTCGTGCGTCGAGGGGGAAACAGAATTGGAGATCGGAAACGCGAGGAAGGAGGTCTCCGGACCCGAGGTCAAACAAAAAAAAAACGGAGAAGAAAGACAAAAGTCGAAACTCCAGTCGCTGGTCTTTTGCGGCTCCAAAGAAGCTGCGAAAGATGGAATGTCCGGTGGAAAAAGGAAAAAAGGAGGACGCGCCGCCGGCAGGGTCGGTATGCAGGAATAGGTACCTGCCAGAGGGCCAGGCCTTGTATGGCGCACTCTGGGGCTATCGATAAGAGCTAATTAGGCGCTGTGGATTTGGCGACCCACCCGCCACGCAGTGACAAAGTAGCAACACAGCAGCTACATACGCAATATCGATTGCGGCGAATTTCAATCCAGCAAACGAGCGCCAAACCACGTTTCCCACGACCGAGGATCGTGCACCATATCAAGCCTCATCGATTCGCCAATCGATCAGCAGCAGACACAAACATCATGGCCGCGGCTCAAGACCCTCCCGTGCCATACTGGGTCGCCCAGCTCGACTTCCCTCCCGTAGCAAAGTCCAAGGTCAACGGCATCATCGACCCTCCCGGCTTCTCTACAGCACCCAGTAGCGCCCCCAAGGTTCGTTTGTACAAGACGCATATATAAGACAGACCAACAAAGAGGAAGAGAAAGGGAAGAAAGCTAACGTGAGACCTCACAGAAAGGCAAAGACGTCAAGACTCAGCCCCGGAAACCCCCCTCCGCCGAAGAGAGAGACACGCTCAAGGTCAAAAAGGCGTGGGAGGTCGCCCTCGCCCCCGTCAAGGGCCTCCCCATGACCGCCATCATGATGTACATGTCCGGCAACTCGCTGCAAATCTTCAGCATCATGATGGTCTTCATGGCCTTCAAGAACCCCATCGTCGGCCTGATGAGTACGAACCAGGCCTTTGAGCGCTTCCAGACCGACAGCAACTCTGGCCAGATCCTGCAGACGAAGCTGGTGTACGTGGCAATGCAGTTTTTGGCGCTGGCGGTGGGCGTGTGGAAGATTAACTCGATGGGTCTATTACCGTAAGTCGAAAAGACAGAAGCGCACCCTTTCTGTCACTTATATTTTACATCTTTATCTTCTCTTTTACTGATACGCAAATAGCACGACACGTTCCGACTGGATGATGTGGGAATCTCTGAGAGAGCCTGTGGAGCATGCAATCCTATCTTTGTGAATTAATGAAATTATCTAAAGATTAATAGTGTAGTACGATAATGACGACTGATGAGCAACAGGTGCTGTGGACGGATCTACTGTCCGGTATAAAACGCCGCTGCTATGCAATTTTACAAGCGATATAACGCTATGCTTCTCAAGCAGATGTAGGTAGAGTATGAAAAGGGAGGCAAAAACAAATAGGAAAAGCAAATGGAAAAGAAAACATTCTCCGCAAAGCCATGTCATGTCGTCGTAAAGTAGGCCATTGTTTTCATTTGGCCTCCGTCGGTCCCGACTCCCCTTGTCCGTTTTGAGTGCTGTTTTTCCTCCGCAACTTCTCCGCCCTCCAGTGAGGACCTCTTTTTTCAATGAACCTGAGCCAGGGCAGGCATGCCACCATGAGTAGCGCAAGAAACGTAAAGCACCACCCTCGACCCATGGCATCAAGCATGTAATTCACGACGGCCGTAGCCGCGGCGCCAAATAGACAGCGGACAAGATTGTTTGCTGCTGCCGCCGTGGCTGTTGAACCAGGGTATAGGTCGACAATGAGCGTGTTGAGAATGCTGAAAGTGCTAGGTACCAGCATGCCAATTATAAACACGAGGACGAGCGGAACAGCTACGCTCGTCTCCGCCTGCAAAGCCCAGCCATAGCCGATGACAGCGACGGCACCGACTAACAATGAAGGGTAGATGGGCTGAATGCGTGCCGACTCGATGGGAAAGTCCCCAATCTCGTTGCGGCGCCCGTGGCTTGCATCTACCCCCAGCTTCTTCGCGATGCGGCGGTAGTTCCAATCCACTACATATCCTTGCAAAACAACCGTCAAACAGCATCCTAGGCCGTATGGTAGGAAGCACAACCCCACTTCTAATTCATCAAAGTTGTATATTTCAGCAAATTGAGTCGATAAAGTGGAGGCAACCAGAATGAAATTGACGTAAATGACAGCCGCAATCAGCAGAATTTGGCTCATCTGCTTGTCAAAGGCAATTGCCAGGGTGCCTAAAGGATTGGGAAACCGCAGCTTTCTCATGGGGCCCGGCTCCGGCACATCTCCAGTCTTCCTTCTCCTCAGAAACTCTACCAAAGTAATGTTCCACGACTGCGGAGGTATGGAGCCGTTACCAACAACATTTCGACACATTTCGGGAACGGTGGCAACCCATGGAACCAGCCATACCACGACAAAGATGGCGCAGAACCAGAAGATGGACGGCCATCCCAAGTATTGACTCAGCAATCCTCCTATGACAGGGCCAATAGCGGGCCCGATATTGGCCCCAACACTGACAAAGCCCATGTACTTGCCCCTCTCGGCGGTTGGCGTAATGTCTGCAATCACGGCGTACGACAGCGCGAGGGTGCCGCTGCTCCCTGCCGACTGGACACATCGTAATACGAGGAGGGCAGCGTAGTTGCGTTGCAAGGCGAGGCCAATGTTGGCACATAGATAGATGATAAAGGCTATGGTGAAAGCGGGTCGGCGGCCCGCCATGTCGCCGAAATCACCAAATATCGTCGGTGAGAGCCCCTGGAAAATCATATAAGACGTCAGGGTAAAGTTGATGAGTGAGATGGAGACATTCAGCTCCTCGGCCAAGGTATCCAGCGCCGGAAAATAGATGTGAGCCGTCATTGGCGAGACAACACTAGCCACAGTCGCCATGAAGGTGATCCATATCTTCATGCGGCAAGAAAAGATGCTGTACGGCTCGCCGATCGCAGGCCCAAGGCACTGCTCGACATCGTTCAGCACAGGCTCGCCCCGGACCTGGGACGTCTGCAGCTCTATTGCGGCGGTCTGGTCCGCAGTTTGGTCTCCTAGAGACTCGGCGTCCGACTCGCTCTTCACAGGCGATGTGACTTCGCCTGCCTCTTTGTCAACCCGGACTGTCGTTTCATCTTGCTTCATGACGATGCATTCGCGTTGACGACGAATTCCAGCAAGGGAGCAGTGGCCGAGGCGAGTGGCAGATGCCGATGGTGAAGGGTCGAAAGGCAAAAATCAAAGAACAACTTCGAGAGGAAGCGAAGGAAGAGGAGCACAAGCTCCCAGCTTCGGATCGGGTAAGGTAGTAGCGGACGAACTCGTCTTGGACGATCGAACTGCGGTTCCCCACAGATTCGGTCGATGCCCGTTATCTGCCCCCGAAATGCCGGCGCTGTCTCCCTGCGTTGGACCTTGTCTCGCTGCATGGAGGAGATGCAGCGAGGGGATGATCCTAGGCGCAATCTAGAGCTGGGATGAGCGTATAAATGTTCCGTCAGGATTTTCAGATGCCCCTGCAGTCATTCTCAGATGGCAGCGAGACGGAAGAAATCCGCGGCTTTCGGGAGGGCCCTGGAGCTGGGCCTCGATATGTACCGGCGTCCTACAGCAGAGGCTTTATACCGAAGGCATTTAGTCTCTTTATTAATAGTATCTAGGTAGTAGTACAGTAGTAATACTGATAATACCCGGCAAACGGTCAGCATAGCGAGAAAAAACCCTGCGATTTAGCATCGATCCGGCACGCGCCCCTTCCTCCTCGGTCGACGTCCGAGCAAAAAGGAAAAAAAATGTATAAGATGTCTTTTGCACCCGCGAATCACAGCTTTGTGGCCGTTAGTTCCCGCCCACACAACTCAAACGTTGCTTTGGCCTTAGCGTCGATATTCTCCGGTGGCGCGCACCAACGACGCGGGTTTATCAGTTGAGGGAGCATCAATTGCAAATCGCGGCCAACAGGCGCAGGCACAGGAACAGGCATAAGCATAAGCTGATGAGTCAAGGCTAGAGTGCCTAATCCAATCGATTCAAGAATAGGAGGCTTCGGCTCGCCCGTCTTGCCGCCCGTCTTGCCTTGCCCATCCCGTCGGGTTCTGGAATATGGCTATGACGAAGCGAAGCGAAGCGATATCCGGCAAGTGAAAAATGCGGAGCTTGGGCGTTGTGCATGTTGGCTGCATGTCGGCTCAAAGCCGATCTGCAAGCAGTAGCTCAGGTTGCACAGGCGATCAGTAGAAGAACCTTTTCATTGGAAGCCGTGTATGTACTCCATACTCGAGAATAATTGGTAGACGTGGAATTGCGTCTTCTCTGCAGTTGCATCGATGGCACAGAGGTGGTGAGAATCCCCGTTACTGCAACTCTGCAACTCAGACTCAACAGCCATCGACCTTGAGCAGACCAATTCATGGCCCCAGCGCCGCCTCTTGGTTGGCAAAAGGTTGGTCTCGTCCCTGAATCGTAAAAACAGAGGCCTTTGAAGTCAAAAGGCGACGGAAATAGACCGGGCCATGCAATGCTGTGGGTACAGTTCTCAGGAAGAAACGAAACTAGCGGTGCTGGCAAGTTGTGGTCTTTGCGTTGCGAAAGCGTCAAGTCTAGGAGTGGATATTGTGATGACTAAGCCAAGCACCATCGCAGCGGCTTGCCAAAAGCTTACACAATACGTAGCTCCAAATCAACTTGGCTGGCAGAATGACGTGTGAGCGCCAACCTACCTATTGGCCCTACCGCCTTACCAGGTGCGATTGAACACTTCTGTCATATTTGAAAACAAAGACAGTAAAGATGGATGGTTCAACCCTCCAGGTATCGGCAGCGGTGAACATCACAGCGCAATTCAATGAGCTTCTCCAGCAGCACAGTGCTCCACCAGTCGTGAACAAGGTCTCGCTGGACGACATTGACAGCTTCCTCAAAGAAGCATACCGCATTGTCAGTTCTTGGCCAACTACCTACGCTTGCTTGAGTTCCTCTCATTCTAACCACACTGCAGAATTCACACATTGTTAGCTTGCACCGACAGCTTCAAGATGTGCGCCAGGCATACCTATCCACGGCGCAGCCTCGCCGAGCGCAAGCGCGATTCGTCCAAAACCAGCCGCGAGTCTTGTCCGACCGAGAACGAGAGGAAATCGACGCCAACGCCAAGCAGATGATACGGGAGCTCAACGCCAGCATAAGGTCGCTGGACGAGGCTGAACAGCTTCGCCGAGATACGGAAGCAGCCATTATCCGCAAGAAGTACACAAAGGGGCTTGGCGCTCTCGGCTCATGGGCATCTGGCGGCATTGCCAGCAGCAAGTCGGCGGAACATGCTGCGGCCGAAGATCAGGCCCAGCAGCTGGGCGGCTATCGAGACGGCGTGGTGTGGTTCCTACGCCAGCGACTGGAGCTGTGCTGTCGAACGCAGCAAGACATGATGGAAACGCGGCTGCGTCGAGAGCTGGAAAAGAGTCGCAGCATGCTGCCAGTGGGAGACCTCGCAGAGTTTGTCCCGGCAGCCCACAAACCACATCGGCAGACTCCGGGTGGCACCTTGGAGCCGGGGGCCGAAGAATCATCGCCCGCTGCGTTTACGGAGGGCTTGACTGATGAGCAAGTGCAAATGTTTGAGGAGGGCAATCAGAGCATGATGGAGCATTACGAGAGCACGTTGGATAAAGTGAGGTAAGTTCATGGTTTCTCCTGACAACACAGCGCCACAGCGCAAACGAGACACAAGCCAAATAGTTCACTAACACCATGACGCATTGCAGGACGGCGGAGAAATCGCTATTAGAGATTTCAGAACTCCAGACACTACTAGTCAACAACTTGTCAGCGCAGTCCGAAAACATTGAGTTGCTTGTGTCTGATTCGGCATCGATGGCGGATAATGTCGGCGGAGGAAACAGACAGCTTAAAAAGGCTTCTCAACGGCCAAGCACGGCGCGGTATACATTTTTTGCAGCAAGCGGTCTGTGTGCGTTCTTGATTCTCTGGGATCTGATTATATGAAGAGGTAGAAGAAATGAGCAAGCAAGATAGGGGCATTCATTTCATGATAGCGCAGCGTCTCATAAGCAGTAGAATCAGCAGTAAAGAGCATCCAGCAGAAATCATACAATTAAAACGCCACTTCTCGTACCGATCTTGTTTTGGCATGACAAAAGAGACTGACATTCTCGTGCCAGCACTACTGCGCGAACATTGACCCATGGGGCTGAGTCTAGGGGAAGGCCGGCGGCATGTGAAAAGACGGGGAAGGGTCAGCGCGAGCCACTTTTCTGCGGGGATTCATGGGATTTTTTTTTCTTCAGGCCAGGTAGTTAGGGGGCCCGTTTATAGCGATGGTACCTGACTCTGGGCTTGACAAAGCCAAGAAAAGGCGCCAAGGTTGTGGATAGCAGGTCACTCGGAATACCATGTACTTGTGTGTCATTGGATTTGAGGAAGAAGAAATAAGGGAGAAGTCTGAATTCGACCTTGTCCAATCGGGATCGAGCTGTTCTGTACTAGACCTGGGGTTCGAAAAAGTATCGGCTTGGGACGCACATGGAAAAACGAAGTGATGCTCCTTTGAGCTTTTAGCTTCCGTGTGCTTTGGTGTGATGTGATGTTGCGAGGATCGGCTCGTTTCGGGGAGAAGGAGCCCTTTTCATTATCAAATAGGAGAAAGATTCGATGCCTGATATTTCCTACGGCATCGTTCCGAGAAATTCTAGTCCAGGTATGTATAGAAAAGGGGGTTCGTGGCAGATAAAGAAAGGTCCCATGACGAAGACTTTGGTCATGCTTCTCTACAGAGGAGGCTTAGTAGTATGAAATGAACTTGAGCTTTTTGTACGCACGTAGATCAATCATGTCTTGACGTCCGTTTCCAGTCTGTAGGTGTACCGTGTCGGCTCTGTAGGTAGCCCGCACGAGCCGAGGCCTCGGCCAAAACCCAGCCCCATAGCCCTGGAACGAGCACATGGCATGGCGATGGATAAATAGGCCATGAGGCTATGAATAGGCGTGTAAGCCAAAGTTCATTTCAACTCTTTCTTCATTTTTATCAAGATTACCACTGCACCACTGCTGTTCCTACCGCCGGTACTGCGCATTTAATATAGCGCTCACTGCTGCTGACTGCGCTCTTTTTTCACGGAGTTATTACGGAGCATCCAGTACTTGACCTGTCTCCTCTGGATCCGGGCCGTCTTTGACGTATTCCATTACTACTACCACTGTCAAGCTCTATTTTCAAACAAGGTACGCAGGACGCATGCAAGTTGACAGCGCTGCCTGGTGCTTGGCTTCCCATTGTCCGCTCCGCTTCCCCGAGCTCAATGGCTTTTTCAGGGGACCTTGGCGGAGCGAATGCTGCACCGCGTTGCTATGAGCCAGGAGTTAGGAGGTGGGTAGGACTGTTTGCTGACTGCATCACAGCCCAAAGATTCCCAGTGATACCAGTACTAGCAGGATTCGCCACAGAGAATTCATTGATACGATAAGAGTCACTACCTGCCACCGTTACCAGCGGCAAAAGCACCGGACCCTATAGAACCATCACGGGGAACAAAACTCCCTGTCAGCACCCTGAAATCAGCTCTCCCCGGACCTCAGAACCCCGAGCCCTTCCAGCTTCTGCGCTGTGCTGAGCCTCCCCCCGGCCCCATCGGCTCCGTCTCGTCGCGCATTTCCAAGGGATTTTTAGGTCTGGTGACGTGCATCGGCGGGTCGCAGCAGGCGTTCGAATCGCAGGCAGCTAAGCAGGCGTATAGCGGCCACAGCGGATCCTCCGGTTCCCTCCAGGCGCCTCTAGGCCCCAAGTCCCTCCCCCGCGACCCCGTCACAGGCTCTCCGTTACGGAGCAGGGCTGCATTTAGCCGTCACCACCCCACTAAGCCCGCATCAGGCCATCCGCGCTGCGTGTGGCATTTCGACAGCCTGAGAGGTGCTCTGCAGCGCATTTATCTACATTCGAGCCTCCCACTGCCGCAACCATGGCTCCTCCATCATCATCGCCGTCTCACCCTCAACCACCGTCGTCCTCGGCCTCCCTCGCGCGCATCAACAACATTGCGAGCCACATCTCTCCCGCAATGGCTTCTACAACCAGCTTCCCGGCCGACACAGTGCCGCAAGCGCCTGAAGATCCTCTCTTTGGCCTTGCCCGCGCGTACAGAGCAGATAACAGCCCGATCAAGGTTGACCTGGTATGCCTGCGAGATTTCTCCTCTCCTTGTCTCCCTTTGTTCTACATGAACACTTTTGCCAGCTCATTACCTCTGCCGTCGCTGTGACTCGACGATTCTCTCGTTGTAAGCACGGCTGCGACGTCGGAGGCAACCAGCCCACAAATCGCCCAACGCTTTACTAATAGATTCGAATGGCTGATTGACTGACTGACTGTTCTTGTTTCCAGGGAATTGGCGCCTACCGAGACGATAATGCTAAGCCCTGGGTTCTCCCCGTCGTCAAAAAGGTATGTTGTCGTCCGTTCTTGGGCATCGTCCCATCTATAGAGCTAGCCCATGCATTGCCATGTTAGCTCGCCTGTGATGCTCAGAATAAGCTCAATTGGCGCAATCGTTATTGGTCGAGCCAGCTTGTTGCATATCTCCGCGAAGCCCTTCCAACTACCAAGGCGTTGACTGACCCCACTGCGTCATACAGGCTGATGAGATTCTCCGAGACAACCCCGAATTGAACCACGAATATGCCCCGATTGCTGGTATCGAGAGCTTCACCAGCAAGGCTGCGGAGCTGATGCTCGGCGCCGACTCCCCCGCGATCCAGGAGCGCCGCACCACATCGGTGCAGACCATATCGGGAACTGGAGCCGTCCACTTGGGCGCTCTGTTCCTCTCCAAGTTCTACAAGGGTAGCCGAGTCGTCTATGTGTCCAATCCCACGTGGGCAAACCACCACCAGATCTTCAACAATGTCGGCATCAAAGTCGCCCAGTACCCCTACTGGAACAAGGAGACTCGGGGACTGGATTTCGATGGCATGAAGTCTACGATTGCCGCAGCCCCCGAAGGCTCCATCATCCTGCTCCACCCCTGCGCTCACAACCCAACCGGTGTCGACCCAACACTGGATCAGTGGAAGGAGTTGGCCGTGGTGATTCGAGAGAAGAAGCACTTCCCCTTCTTTGACTGCGCCTACCAAGGCTTTGCCTCTGGTGACCTTGCTCGAGATGCCGCCGCTGTGCGCTACTTTATCCAGCAAGGCTTCGAGCTCGTGGTTGCCCAGAGCTTCGCCAAGAACTTTGGCCTTTACGGAGAGCGAGCTGGCTGCTTCCACGTTGTGACTGCCCCTGCTGCCGATGCTGCCACCACCATCACCCGCATTGCATCCCAGCTGGCCATTCTCCAGCGTTCAGAAATCTCCAACCCTCCCTTGTACGGCGCCAGAATAGCCAGCACCGTCCTCAACGACCCTGCGCTCTTTGAGGAGTGGGAAGGGAACTTGAAGACCATGTCTGGCCGCATCATTGATATGCGCAATGCTCTCCGGTCAAAGCTTGAGGAGCTTGGCACCCCGGGAACCTGGAACCACATCACAGATCAGATCGGCATGTTCAGCTTCACCGGCTTATCAGAAGCCCAGGTTCAGAAGCTCCGCGAGGAGTACCACATCTACATGACCAAGAACGGCCGAATCAGCATGGCCGGCCTAAATACGCACAACATTGATCACGTGGCTCAGGCCATCCGAAAAGTGGTTGGTGAAACGCAGTAAAAGAAAAGCTTGTATGATATTTGGCATGGTAGATGGGGGTTCCAAGGGCTTTTGTGGCCTGTCATGATCGCGGCCGCTGGCTAGGGACTGGTTTTTGTTCAATTAGAGCTCTATTTGTTTTCCTCTGCTTTTTTGGGTGAGCATAGTCGTGTGGGTATAGATGCCGCTAGACAAATAGTATATATATGAGGCTCTCGCAGCCCTGGGCTTTGTCGTTGGTCAACGATCCAAAACTATCAAGACTGTTCTTTGCTTGTGATAATTGAGTACCAGCACATACACAAAGACCGCTTCCCCGGATGATCCCTTAGATTCCATCTCAGTTGGCGCTTGCTTGGCTTGTAGGGTAATGAACTTCATTGCTATGTACTTATTTTAGGGTAATTGGTTGTTTATTACGTTGTCGCAAGCGAGTGTGACATCAGAAACAATACATCGACCATGCCGATCTGAGCCGGTCTCTGTCATTGAACAAATCTAAAGTAAAATTTCACGAGTAAATGACTTGTGAATGCCCAATATGCCATACTCAACTTTAATTCGCCATGAATCGGGCCGTGAAACAGTTGGTCGTTTTATAAGGTGTGTTGCAGCGTACAAGTCGCGTTCATAGAAGAAGCGTTTGAGGTGGTTACGTCTTGTAACGAGGCTCATTTGTGAATTTCGTCTAAGACAATTGATATCACTACCAGGCTAAAGTTGAGATGACAACTGTAATCTATACACTGTGGTCTTTGAAGTACAATGGCGCCGGTTTGTGCTACGTTGGCTGATTCTCATCACCCTCTCCCATCAACTCTATCTGCCTCCCTGATGTATCCGCGCCATATTCTCTCCATAACTCTAGTTTAAGCGGCACATTTCGTAGACTATCAATATCCTCAGACTGACAACCTTTCCTCTAGATGTTTCTAATCCCACTCCTAAACTACCACAGCTAACAAGAGGCGACGCAGTACAATGAAGATGTTGAGAAACGGCCATCATACAGCCAGTTGGATAAGCCGCCTCCAGAGCACAATAGCAATGTACGCCTCATGTTTTCCCGACTGTCACATGTAAACTACCTAGTAACCTAAGGTCAAGGTAATTGTTATGCATAAAGTCCAAAATCAACCATCATTGGCCAGCATTAACAACGTGTACCAGTTAATTTATTCCCACCCCGCTCCAAAAGTGCCCAACAAGGAGTTTCAACGCTTCACAGCAACCAATGTCAGCACCACATGGCCTTTTTCACCCGCCCACAGCCAAAAGACTCGGAAAGTATTTGCGAACCTGCAGCTGTTGCCTGAAGCCTCCACTTTTACGCTACGTTGAACTGGACTGAAGTGAGCCACGTTGATCAATATAAAAACGCACTCTAATGCATCGGCACTTTTACAATGTGACTATTATCTGTAATTTATTGGATAGACGTACGAGGTAGGAATACTATTTGCTCAAGGATTCCATGGCTTATGGTGGCAGAGGTGCATGCGGTTGACGTGTCTTGAGAGTTCTAGAGCGTTTCACTGTTGTGCTGCGGGTAACCCTCAGGAACTACAATCACGATCGAATAAAACGTGGTCATCGGGCGAAGAGAAGATGGTGATGTGTCGCCAAGTAGATATCTCATGCCAAGTATTACAAACAATGGCATCTGTCCAATGCAAGCTGCATCTTGGAAGTAACTTTGCGAGAGGGTTTGTTTAGGTATCTAACCTGTAAGAAGAGAGAGATAGAAACAATACCACAGTTCTTGGAGATAACAGCATATACCTAGGCCGTTCCTAATCCGGACATGGAGTAATACTCTCTCGTCCTATTACTCAGACATAGTACTAGGAGTCAGCCACATTTCCAGCAGCAATAGTAATACCCCAAAGCAATATTACACGAACAATCCTCCCTGCCGCAACCCCATCATGAAAAAAGAAACAACACCAACCAATCTCGTAAATCAAGACACCAATGCTACCGTCCAATCTCCGCAAACACGCCTCAATCCTGTACGACCGAAGCCCGGAACACTTCCATCCGCGCCCCAACCTCTCGTCTCCGTCTCCGCAATCTCAGTGTGGTGGAAACCCTGGCTACTGCATGAATCTAGATTCCCATCTCGTCAATTTTGACATCATCCAAAGGCGCCATAATCACTGAATCAAGTCTAGACTTTTAAAGCAAGGGGCCTTGGCCAAGACAACTCATGCATCAGTAGTGAGAACCCAATCCCAAGTACATATACTTGCACAGCAAAGATCACACGTAGGTATTATACTTGCCGGGATCACTGCAAAGCTAGAAAACAAATAGTGCCTGGGCTAGAACTCCATAGGAGCACAGAGCCTTACGCATTTGATGTAATATTTCTCCCCTGTCCGCTTTGCCGCTAGAAACACCCACAGGCTGATTTCCTCAACACAGGTACACACACTAACACGCTGCTTACACCGAAAGAAACTTCAATTTGCTGTAAAACGCCACCTCTTTCTTATTCATAGTATCATATCTCCCAGCGGTGAGACTAAAATGCCAATTTTATGCAAATATTAGATAGTCTCAGTCTCATCCCACGCAGCACTACTTCTTCCAAACCCGCAAGGCTCGCCTGGCACTCCAAGCAGTGAAATGAGACTGACAACTGAGACAAAAGACCATGTATCTCGCCTCCAGCCCACTTGATGGCTGCCTTGGCTATTCTTTGTTCGCCCACACACGCAAGCAAACACCCAATTATAACATGCAGGAGGAAGGCAGCCTTGACCCATAGAATATTAAAACAAGCTCGAAAATCATGCCTGAATGCTGAGCCCGTCCCTCTAATACTTCTCGGCTGAGAAAAAGGCTCTCAATCCTCACGTGCATTTGGGGGCCGTGGAAAGGCTGTGAGTGTCGGCACGCCCAGCAGGTGTACATGTATCGAAAAGTTGGGATAGTTTCAAATCCCCAGATACAGGACATGCCAAAGGGAGAGTTCAGCTCGGCGAACATGCTCATCATCAATATGAAGGCTGATTAGGTATTAGGACCGAAATTATCAGCTGCTATTTGGCACGCCAAAGTCTAGGGCGAGAGTATCAAGTCCTTAATAAAATGAAGCAGAGACGGATTCTTGACATGCTTAGTTGTCAGCACCGGTTATCTATCATATGACATGACTTGCTTTGGAGATCTAATAGGAAAAAGAGGTGCTATGCCACATCCACCGTCATCAAGGCTCGATGCAACTACTGTCGTGTATTGGCTATTACTCTATAAGACTCAAAATACAAATCCATTACTAGTTTTCCTCCAATGCTTGTATGCTATATTACCAAAGTGATAACTTTTAGACGCAGGTTAGAAATCCAGACGCTACACAAGAAAGAACAATACAGCGCCTTTTGTAGTCGCTTATATCCAAATGTGAACATGCCATTGCCGCCCAATATTTTCCGGACCATCATGCAGCGATTGCTTATACTACTAGTGCCAGTCCGCGCGATGCAAATGCTCAAACAAATTCGCGCTGGCCAATGTCTTTTCCACATGACCACCCTTCAGGTAGCTGGTCGATGGCGGAGCAGATCCACTGGAATTGCGCCGGCATCCAGACTTCATACATGTTTTTGGTGAAGCGGTACGCCATCCACTTGTCGAATCTAGAATCGGTAAATACAAAGGAGGCGATGATCTGTTGGTAGAATTCCGTAGTCTCTCCCAGTATGACCGGGTAATGGGCAACAATTTCCGCCTCGCAGGAGTCGTGTGAGATGGAGAAAGCCAGAATCTGGCGGTGCACATCGGACTCGCGTTTGACGCCGCGGAAGAGGTCAACAACAGCACGCATGCCAATTGTCATGTTGTGCGTGTTTTGTCGTCGGGTGATCTCGAAGCTCCCAATCTCACATGAGAAGCATGGAAAGAACATGTGAGATGTACCCATAATAGGTGACGTCTCGGAAGTGCATCTGTCTTCAAAGAATTCTGTGACCTTGGTAAACTGCAGCTCGGTAAATGCTAGAGCTTTGAAGCCAACGGAATACGAGGGCTGTGGTTGATATTGAAGCAATTGCTGAGAATAAGTCCATATTTCGTTTGCAGATTCGCACAAAATGTCCAATTCCTTATTGCCTCGCAAGGCGACGAGCTCGGCTGACGGTGCAATCAACGGAGTGATGTCGCGAAATACCCTCGTCTCGTTTCTACGCTGACATCTTACACTGATCTCATGAATAACATCATCGTCAAAGACAGAGACTCTGGGAGGCAGCTGTTCCCTCCCAAGCAGCTCTTTGCAGAGGCCCAAGCTTCCTTCAGCAAGGCCCTCATGAAATTCCCACATGAATGTTTTGTTCTTGTTATACACAATGCTCCACAAGGCATCTCGGTACTGAGCACTTTTGGGTTCCGCGGGCCACCTGTCTTTGGGTAACACAAACAAGCTAGCATTGGCCTCAGGGGCGGGAGTCATAGAAGGAGTCCGATCGAATTCACTTGGTGGGGATGGCGATGCAGAGGTGGATTGGTAGGCCGATCCGCTATGGAGGATATCCTCGTCTTCCACGTCTTCGTCGTCCGAGTCGACTACGGCATAGTAGTTCCACAGAGGGGTGGCTATTTGGGTGGCAGCCTCTTCCACGCTTTCTAGAACGTCTGTTCCTTCGTTGTCTGCTTCCTCATGGCCAGCTTCTTCATGGCTAGCTTCTTCATATTCGGCTTCTAGAGGTTCAGCCTCATCATGGCTTCCGTCAACATGGTTGGTCTCTTCGCTAGCAGTATTGGCCTCGGTAGCAGCAGTCTCAGCAGTGTCATGAGAATCCAACATCTGCTGTCGCTTCCATTCACGATCATCCTCAGAGGTCTCGTAAAGGGCTACTTCACCCTCACGGACTCGCTTTCTGTTATGGGGAAGCTCGGCCGAGGACTCTTCGATGATTGGCGAAAGCGGCCGGCTAGGGTAAGGGTGGTATTCTCGGAGAATCTCGACACCCTGTTCTTGGCTCTGCCGCGGCTGTTCTGGCATGGGATCCATATGGGTAGTGGATGCAGTATAAAAAGGCAGCCAAAATAGAAGAGGGAGGGTGGAAAAGCGGAGAGGGGGTTCGATGAACTTGAAGGCAGCGGCGCTTTGAGTGGTCGAGACGATAACAAGCAGCGATACCAGTGATGTCCAAAGGAGAGAAAGGAGCAGCGGCCCAAGACGTCGATTAAAAGGAGCGAAATGGCCTTGGTTGACGCATCTTCGCCTGAGTAAGATGTCTCAGCCAAGCGGCAAACAGCGTAAGCCGACTGGAAACTATTTGGTGACACAGACATGCTGGGTTTTTCGTCTTCTTTCTTTGCTTTTTCTTTTTTGTCTTATTATGCCTTCTTCTTTTTGTGTTGCGTGTCTCTCTTTTTCCGCCAAATCCCAGCTCACCTGGTGAACACACCTTAATTTACAGCGGCTCCGCACCTGATCCTTCCCAGCCATGCCGTCATACATTGCCAGCAAAAGTACTGGTACCTGTCGCTCAGTAGCACGCCAGACGTGTGATACCAAGTACCGGGTACCAGGGAGGGAAAAGCAGCGGGAAATGTCGGTCTAGAGTTGGTGCGGCTGGACAAAGACAAGAACAAGCAAGAACGGACGGGCTATAGGCAAGGAAGGAAGGCTGCTTTAGAGGCAAGAGCAAGCCGTGCCGTCCGGGACTGATTGGCTGGGCGGGGCCGGCATCGAAGCCGGGGCGATCCACTCCCGCACTTGCCGTCTTTTAGTTTGGTCTGCGAAGCACTGCAAAAAAGCGAGTGAATGGCAATAGTTTTAGTAGTCCATACTATTACAACATTGTAATAGTCCAGTATCGAGACAAAATACGCAGCAAAAACCCACCAAGGTTGCTCGCACGGTCGGTGGCACAACATCCTGTGTCGCGCTTGCCGGGTTAGTCCACCGCAACTAAGGCAGCCACTTCTGAATTCGACTTGCCTCGCCATCACATCGATCACACGACGAGGGCACCGCAGGAAGCAGTCACCCACCCAGCGGCAAATAGGCGACCTGCATTAGCCCGCCCCTCCAGCGGAGCTCCGGCCCTTTATCCGGGGCTCCCTGTGCACATGCGCAATCCATACTGTAGGTAGGTACTTACTGTGCATACAAACATCAAGTTGTGCTACATCAGGACCCCAGCTCGAGGTTCGCACCCAACCAGCGTGCTTCCTCGGGTCGTACAAGATATACAAGTACACGCTGGTACCAGGCGCACCTATATCCGCAGCGCTTGGACAAGCTCGCTACCTGGGCTGATGGCTGCGCCCCGCATTGTCTCGCATGGGAGCCAATCTGATCACGTTCCGTTGACTTAGACGAAAGGATCCAGATGGTATTTCGCCTTTTTTCGCTTGCACTACTAGTGCCTACAGTAGGTAGTTTCTTGGCTGAGGAGCCGTCCAGGCCTCGCTCTAGAATCGATATTGTCTCTTTTCTCTTTCTGCCTAGACTAGCCAATCAGAAAAACGCTGTGTTTCCTTTTCTGGAAAGCCAGCCAGTTCTGCCAGGTGCCCGTTCCGCTGCCTGCATGTCCGTCGGATGCAAGGTTGTCAACACGCACGTCCCTTCGCAACTGCTGAATAAGGCAAGGTTATCAGGTTAATGACAGACATGAATTATGGTTGATAAGGATTACGAAATACACACTTCCGGGCAGCAGTAGACCACCTTTCCCAAACCCGAATCCTAGCCCTATTAGCTGTCTGGGGAGCTCGCCGACTCCCACCCGTTTCCAATGCCAAAGTACATATACGGAGTCGGCTGACTTTAGTAAACAATCTGAGTCCCATAGCCGTTCTTCTGTCTCTGCGAATATACGGTAACGCATTTAGGTCCCAAAATAATCGTAGTAATAGCATCAGCTCCTCTCTCTAAGCTTCTCCAGCACCAACAACCGTCTCGTCGTCTTCTTCTAGGCAATAAGCATCGATCAGCTATGGTCAAAACAAACGAATAAAGAAAAGAAAATATCATAGACACGTCGTGAAGAACAAGTTTACTCACCGCGATTGTCGTTCCACTCTTTGATTCTCGCCATCAACAGTTCCGACAGACGCATCATCCCTTTTTTCCCACTCTTTTTCGCATTCTCAGCCTCTATACAATGCGACTTTATATCGACCCAAGGATGAGAGTAGATATGCCTCCCAGACGACTCCATCTCTGTAGCAGCCCATCGGAAAATATCACCAACAGCTCTTTGGCTCGCTGCGTGATCCGGTTTATAGTTTGGGTCCATTGATTCTCGTTTGGGTGGTTGAATGACCGAATCGTCTTCAAAATCAGCCCAGGATGTGGTCAATATACGAGGCTCATGTAGCAACGTAACACCACTCTTCAGTATCCATGTAAATCCCTGATATGTCCATTGATGTCTCGAACATTCCTCAAGATGCTTATGTACCACGGCCTCAAGCTCATCTCCATTTATAAAGCCAAAAGGGCGAAATGGAGTACTTGGCAGATACCGAAAATGAGCGCCGTCTTTCCAAGTATTGCAGCACTCATACCGAAGCCGCCACGCGTCGGCTCGTGAGATCTGGTTTTCTTGTAGGTAAGGACCATCTCCAGGCATATCCATGAATGACTGAGGTGAATCTGTCCAAACAGCAACTTCGGGTATGAGCCTTGCAGGCACGCGAGTATTGAGCGTCTTGAGGTAGGGAACTATAGCCGAGACAGTCTCTGTCGTCCCACAAGCAAGCAACCCGTACCACAGAGGTGCAACGTTAGGCCTTCGCAGTGCTAGTATATGGCCCACCGTCTCAAGATCTTCTTGTTCAATCAACGGCTGAAGGACGTCAATTATTGGATCGAACCAAGGAGTGACCAGATTGCAGTCGACCTCGGGTTCCCAGAAGACAGACCAAAGAGTCGAAGCCACGAAAGCAGGATTGGAGCTGAGAACCATGTAGTAAGACAGCTGGCGAAACTCCTTGTTAATGACAGATGTCAGAGAAACAGCACTCGACTTGGCGAGGTGTGGCTTTGGGAGGTGTATAGTTGAAGACATGTTCTTATGAAGGGGAACAGTCAACGCCATCGCGAGGCCCAACGCAGCCTGGCTTTCCAAATTGTACAAGGACGCAAAGCGAGAGAGGAATGCAATTGCTTCTCTGCTAGTAGGGGGCTTGATCTCATTGATCTCTTCAATTTCTTCGGATGGCTGTGAAGCACTGGGTTGGCTGATGACGTTGAATCTAACGTTTCCAGTAAATGAAACAGCCCACACTGGATGCCCAAAGCGAGTAGCCTTCCATCCTTGGCCAGGAGAGAGAAGAGCAGACCACCAGCGATATTCTTCATCACTGGCATCGCCGAGGTCCACGGTGAATTCATTGCTCGTAGGCTTTTCATCATCAGATGGAACTGCTGCATCTTCATAAGCAACAGAAACACGCTGCTCTTCAAGCAAGAACACGCAAAGGATGTAAGACCAAGCCAAAAACATGAAAGCAAGACCATTAGACTTGCTATCTGAGACTTGGAAGCTGCTACGCTCCGATATCTCGCAGGGAGTAGGTTGCGGCTTCATCAGACTCCATCGTCGCTTGAGGCCGTTGCGAGGATCGTGAGGCTGTACCGGGAGAGGGGGTATGAGCGACTTCGGCTCCCTTGTAATCTCCCAGGTTGCGAATCCTGTGAGTTCAGTAGTGTCCTCCATATCATCTGGCATCTTGGGTCCATGCTTGACCAGGCTACCAAGATCGATAGTGTTGCGGCCAAATGATGAGGATCTCGCGGCCGCAGCGAGACCCTCCCAAAGTTCCTTACTGAAACCCCGGACAAACCTACTTTGATCCGCGGTTGGGACAACTTTCTCGATCTGAGAGTTGATGGAGTCGATGCTGGTGAGAGGAGTGCGGTTGGAAGAAGCCATCTTGATTGCCGTAAGCTCGTAAGATGAAGTAAAGCTTGGTAATAAGATTTTTGATTCAGTCGTGAACGCCAAACGGGCAAAGACGTATTATGAAGAAAAAGTTGAGATTGCGCAAGTTCGTTGAACATGTAAAGTTGCAAAGATATCAAGTCGTGGAATAAAGCCCGGCTCTCTTTAAATACTTTGAGTTTCCGCTGTATGTACTTCGTACTTCATAGATTGTACCCATGGACAGGGTTTCCTTGCTCTCATGCATTTAATTAATTTGTGCCACGGGTTTGGTTGTACCAAGAGGACTGACGTGGCACAAATCACATGGCGCGCTGCTCTATCTTAAACGCAGGCTGAAGTGATCAGCATAGATAGTACGGAATCGAGAGTGGTCTAGGTGCATCTCAATCCTCCACTCCGTTCTCGCCCAAGACTTGCCTCATAGGAAGTCCCTGGTCCAGTCGCCTTCTTTTTGCTCGTACTGTGTCTATCTCTGTTACTTTCTTAGTAATGGTGAAATGACTCTCAAATCGTGGGGGAGGGGGGATTTGGTCACGCATGTGATACATGCTTGATGACAGGGGCCTTGTCTAAACCGGGCTGTCAAAAAAACAACAGCCGTACTACCAGCATCTGGCAACCCCTGTCCCGTCCGAGTCCCATCCCGAAGCTTCACTCTTACTGACCTGAATACACCAAACGGCGAATGTTTGTCTGCCTCCCCTCCCACTAGCTTAGTACGTGGTGTGCGTATGATATAATACTGTAGCAGGGGTCAAGGACTTGATTCCTGCGCAAAGTGCAGCTTGCATGGATAGGGCACCGCACTATCGGCATGAGAAGCCTGCATCATATGGACGTGTAATGGCACACTCCATATACTTTTGTATACATCGTATTGCTTGCTTCGTGATCCGTACTCGTGCCTCATATCATTACCCACCTATGATGCAAAGTCGTACTGTAACCGGGATGAATACAGATTCGAGTTGGCTTGCTTTCGGTGTATACAAAACCCGAAATCAGCGACTCATATACTTGCGGCTGCTGAGGAGAAACGATAATAGTATTAGATTTAGGAGGTCAAACTACAAAAATCTTAGATAAAGGTAGTGTAGAATGAATAGGTCCTTATGGGTTTGGAATAGCTTCTTGGCATGTTGACAAAGTAGTAGTGGTTATCCCATAGGAGATTTATGCAGCCTTGGTGGAACGTGTGTTAGCGTACATTCCCCCTTGGGAATATGCCTGCCCCTCCCAGTTGCCAGGCTCCATGACAGTGCGTATCGAGTCATATAGTGTACATGGAGGTATCTGTTGCTGTGCAGACTCAGGCCACATGCAGTTCCTACCAATGACCATATATAGTCGACCATGCGCTTGCTTAGACTCGAATATCAGCCGGTGAGAACTGTATAGACTGGCCCTGACCGTTCCAATCTCTCAGAAGCTTTTCTTGCAGTGAATATTAACTTCACGGCTAGCTCCCCCCCAGCATTATCAAAGAGTACCCACTGATCTGCCCACAAGACGATCGGCCTATTTCTTTCGAGATACCCGGCATTAAGTGCCTCCACTACAAGGCTCGCTCACAAAAACAGCAGAAAACGCCTAGTACCAAAATGGGAACGGCGAGCATGAAGCCATCAACAGACGATGCCAAGCTGAGTTCACTAAACAAGACGCAAGGAGGGCTTCCTCTCGCGAAAAAATACTTGGATACACCTGGCACACCATTGCCAAGCACGCCGTAGCGATGTGATTAGAGGCATAGGCGATTGGGAGGGTGTGTGTTAAATTCGACTTCGTTTATCATCCCTGTCTGCCTTTTGGTAGCTCCCTTTGCCCTTTTGCTCTCTTCTTGCGTCTTCTTGAAGTACATGTACTTCGTACAAGTATGATGTGTGGCTGGAAACATTGGGACTGCATAATGCACTTTTGAGGGGTAGTATTGGCAAATCACGACGCCGGAGCATCAAGGTCTTTGGCTGACTTCGGATAAATTTGTGGTCTCGCTGGGACACGTGTAATGCTGTCCATCGTCTGGTTGAAGCAATATGCATCCCACAAGCAGCTCAGTGGCATCCGAGAGGAGTAGCTGCCAGCGAGCGTCGAATAATATTCTGTATAGCGACTGCCAGAGCTCCCGACTCACCGCTGTGCCGTTTGCAGCGGGCTGGAATTACCATCCACGGCCCTTTCCCCGGGCTCATCTCCACTCCATGCATGCAGTTTCATGCAAGGCGTGTAAGAGGAGGCTAAGTAGGCCATGCAGAGGGCTTTTCGTTCAACAGAACTGAGCATGGACAAGGTGCTCGGCCGTCAAGCAAAGGGGATCAAATAGTACTACTACTCCAAAGAGCTACCCGGGCACAATGGCAGCTGAAAGGCATCCAGTGCTTGCACCCGTTCATGTACTTGACGTTTGCGTGAAACACCGATAGGATGCTCGGATGCCTTCCGTCGCCTCACTCAAAGCGACTATCGCTGTTGCTAGAGGTCGTAACCCCTGTTCTCTGCCGCCCTGCGTGCTTTTGCAGAGGACTAGTGCGCGTAGTGGCCATTTTCAACCAGGCCTCGCGTTAGCTTGTCTCAGTTGACCAATTCCACCAGGCTACGTCTTTCGCTCTGAAAGTTCTCGATCCCCTGGGTTCTAAAATTATAATGAGTGGCGTCTTGAATGTCTCCGAGAACATTTGTAGCCGTGCGTAGAATGATATGGGCCACTGTGATGGATGGCCCGACTTACTCATACATTTTCCCAGAGCGATGGGATGGGCCTACGTCGCAGGACGTGTCCAGACTCAGCAGCATTCGGCTATCGGCGTCGTACCGTTTCAATCCATCTTGGTTCTAGTTTATGCTCTTGGGGAGCAGCCATAGCTGTCCCGCCATAGTTGTGCTTTGTAAGTAGTAATGTAGTATGATAGATCATCTGCTGGCTCAGAGACTCTCGCATATCGTGCCCCGTCACCTTGCGTTAGAGTGCGGGATCGAAATACCAGCTTGCTTTAGCTCTTAGTGACCTTTTTGGTCGCGGGCATATGGATAGATAGCTATGGCCTCAGAGGTGGCCTACTTGGTCTCTCGTGTCGGCAAAGACTCTTTGCCCTCTCCTCGTAGGTGACATTCTTTTCACGACGAGCGATCATGATCTCGTTGCAGAGTACCTAGTCTCGTTCTCTTAGCTAGGCAGCACTTGCTGCCCATCAATAACCTGGAGCGCTTTCTTTCCGGTCCTAGTTTCCTGATCAGCCATACAGTTATTGATTAGAGGTGATGGATAATGAGTGCATACCATGGAATGATAAATTGATGCATTGCTGACAGCGCGAAATTCGCTTTTGCAGTCGAAATTCGCTTTGCAGGATGGAGTTTGGAGTTTGGCAATTTCTTTGTATGCTCAGCTTACTACAAAAGATGCTGCTGCACCTTCCATGTAGAGGTGCCTGACAATGTACCTCGGTACCCCTGCTCCGGCTGCTCCGACATTTTGGCGATTTTTTGCCGCCGCGCCCGCCCCAGTAAAATACGTCACCTCACAGCCACAGCCTTGTGCGATTCAAGGGTAACAGCCAGCCACTCCGAGAAGCTGTTTGTTTGAAAGCGATTGCGCAAGCCTCAAATACAACCAGCTCGTTCTCAATTCTCTGCTTCTCATGACAAGCCCGTAAACTATTTCTTCCATTCGTCTTCCTACTTCGTCTTCCTCCTCGTCTTCCCATTCTTAGCCCCTGGATAGAGCTACTGCTTAGCTTCCACGTGCGACGTTCTACCCCCCCGCGACCCTCAAAATCCACGCATTGCGACGCTTCCGTCTCCCTCGAAACATCTTCCGGCTCCTCTGCCCTCTCGAGATCGAATCCTAACGTTACCATCGTCTATTCGCAGCCATGGAACTGTCCGATATCTTGTATGTCTTGGGTCTATCCGCATGATCCGCAGTGCAATTGAAATGGGTTCGCTAACCTTTGCGCCTCGGCGCGCTGCAGCCGCATTGTTAACTTGGTCGTGGCGGGTGTCACGGTTCTTGGTGGTGTTTTCCACATCTTTCCCATTGGGCTGTAGGTTCACCCTCGAAAGATATACGAACGCCATCTCTCGCGCGTCGAATGCGGCCGAGCACTGTTATTCGGCTGCTGTAGCGCTTGCTGGAGCTTTGCATTGCGGGGTTGGATATGAAGTCGGCGGATGCTGACTATTTATTCTTCGACTGTAGCCAGAATGTCATTATCGGTATCTACATGATCGTTTTTGGACTTGCTATTGCTTTACTGGGTATGCCCTCCTCCTTCCTAATTTCTCTCCGCCAAGGCTTCAGGTTATACTAATTACAACTGCAGAATTCCAAGTCCCTCCCCAAGTTTCGCGATACGCCAACTTCCTCTTCTCCTTCATTGGTCGTGGTGTTTGTATGTTACAAGATCTGACCCTGATTTCTCCTGTCCTACCGAGCCGCCTACTTACGAATTTGACAGTCTACATCCTCATCGGAGGCCTTCTCCTCGGCGACAAGACCATTGCCAACATTGCTGGTGGTATCGTCGGTATCGCCGGAATTGGTTACGTTGGCCTCGAGTTCGTCCCCCTGATCGAACCCCCGAGCAGCATGCGAGAGGCCGATTCTGGCTGGGGCGCCGAGCAAGTCTAAATGGGCATTGCGCCTATCAGACATGACCAGCTAGGAATAACACAACGACGTCCAGAGAATGGCGGACAAAAACCTCTCAACCGCGTGAGATTCAATGGGGTACGAAGGCTTTGAGAGAGTGGTGCTATTTTCTTCTGGGCGTTGCAAAAGAAATGGGGTCAAAGGAGGAGGTGTCAAGGGTCATCATGGGCTGCAACCTATGGCGAAGATTATGGGCGAATTACATGTGTTACGATGCGGCTCTAGAGTTTTGGTTTCAGCTAGGTCCCAATATTGGTATTACAGTGATTATCAGAATACACTACAATGCATTTCATGAAAAAAAGATTTAATTCATTACAGATTCATTAGAATACAAGATTGAATCATTACAGACTCATTGAAAAAAAAAAAGGATTTGGTTTATACTTATTACACTTTCATTAGAACCTTTTGGTTCAGACTCATTAAAGATTCATTATTAATTGACAGTATCGTACAATATCATCCAGTGTCATTCAACATCACCCACTTCGCCAACCATATTTGCCTTTGTTTACTGCTTCTTCCAGTTTCCAGCGTCCTCCACTCCCTTAGAAACGCTCTCCAATCCGCCCTCTAGGCCCGTGCCGATATTGCCCACCGCATCTCCCACAGGCCGGCCAGCATCGCCAGTGACGCTGCTCACAGTGCCGCCCAAGCCGCGAGTTGCTGCACCGGCGACTCCGCCAACAGTGCGGGTCAGACCGCCGACCGTGTTGCCAAGCAGGCCGGTGGCGAATTGCGCGGTGCCGGTGACCTGATCGGTCACGTTGCCAGTGTTGGCAGTGTTGGTCTTGTCGTCCTTGTTCATTGTTGTGTTGATTTGATTTGTTGATGTTGTTGTATGTGTATGAAGAAGTTGCGTGAAGGTAGCGAGATATGATATGCCAAGTTTGTAGTTTGTAGTTTGTACTTCAAGACAAAAAAGTCTCAAGAACAAAGAAGAGGGTAACACAGATATTTATAGACGGAAAACAATACAGCACGGAATAACTCCTGAAACGCGTGGGACTTATATCATAGAAGTAAGACCGCCGATCGACATCGTGGCGCATGACGTCAAGGCCACGTTGGGAGGAGTGCTCCAATCCTGCCTCTGCAATATGAGCGTTTCTTATGCACGATCTGCTCTGCCATGACGTTTTTAGCGTCTCTTATGAACAAGATTTCTGGAGCTTTTTAATAACTGAATAATTGCTGGTTGGTTTGGCATGTTATGATGCGGGAGGCTAGGAAGCTAGAAGGTTGGTTTTGTTGGGGTGTTTGCCATTGGAAATATATGCCTAGGCTGATTGAGCTTGCATGTTGTTAAAGAGGGTGTATAGTTAGAATTAGCTGTGGTTATTATTACAAGATGTCTTATGCGAATAGTGCCCAGGCAGTTACGATTCATCATCGTGTGTTAGAATTTCTCTTAGCACGAGCATTATCATCACCTTTGAAAGCGTGAGCCTGCATATCATGCATACAACTCAGCGCTCTAAATAACAGCCAAATGTTTCAGGAACACATACAATTTCATCCTCTATTGACTTTTCCACTGATCAATATCGAATTCTTTCAGAAAACGCCTGGCATGTGATTGTGGCAAACATCTCTGCTTCTAGTTTCGACAGCTAGGCCAGCGCCTCTATACAAGCTTTAAGCTTTACCCCAACCGATTTATTCAAGACCTCTTCTCCAAACCTCGCCTGTCACTTGACCGAATCTTTTACTTTATAGGCTATGTATTATCAATCCATTTGTTGTTTTGACATGTGATAGCTCAGTTTTCGATGCTGACTCCCGGATGTCCTGCATGTGAGCTTTATGCATGTCACGATCGTCAAGGGGGGCACTGGACGATCTTTCTTTATGGGGTAACAAGTGCTAGGGCTCTAGTCAGTTAAACAGCTTCCACTGGCATCTATACATCTATCCACATATTTCAATCCTCGTTCACAGCTATCTTTCATCTTTTTCCTTTGTCCTTTTGAAGTTTAGACCCGCAAATAGAAGTAGTCTGATAGTTGGCCTAGAAGCAGCCTTCTTTCTTTCATGTATTCTCGTAAACTAGCTAAACACTCTAATTTCCTAACTCTATCTCTAAGGCTTGCAGCGGTGCATGTAACGAGGATACAAGCAGCAATCTCTAACAGTGTGCTGCTTGCAAAGCCAAGCAAGGAAACGCTCCAGTCCCAAACCGTAGCCTCCGTGGGGAGAGCTGCCATACCTATACCAGGAGGAAAAAGATTAATTATTAGCAATTGTACTAGCAAATCTCTAAGAAAATTGAAATGCTGCAACTTACTTTCTCTGGTCAGTGTACCAGTAGTAGGCCTCGGGGTCGATGCCCTCACGCTTGTAAGCGGCCATCAACTCCTCGTAGTCGTCCATTCTCATGGAACCACCAACAATCTCACCAACACCGGGCATCAGACAGTCAACACTCTCGGTAACGCGCGCATCCTCAGGAGCTTTTGACATGTAGAAAGACTTGATCTCAGCAGGGAAGTGGGTGAGGAAGATGGGCCTGTTGATGATGTCGGTCATGCGGCGCTCCGCAGCCTCGGCGATATCGTCACCAAAAGCATGAGGTTGGCCCTCTTCGTTGGGGATGTCGTGTTTCACAAGCCAATCGATGGCCTCGGAGTACTTCATTCTCATGAATGGCCTCTCGGGCAGCTTGAAATCGGGGTTCATAGTCTTGATCTTGTCCGCAACGACAGGGTCTGCCATGACGATTTCGAGCACACGGCACATGATGTGCTCAATGTGTGACAGTAGGTCGTCGAACGTAATGAAGTCAAGCTCGGCTTCGACGTGTGTGAATTCTGACAAGTGTCGTCGAGTCAGAGACTTTTCGGCTCGGAAAGACTTCTCGATACAGTAAACATGGCCCATTGAAGGCAAGCAGGTCTCCAGGTAGAGCTGAGAAGACTGTGTGAGGAAGGCATCTTCGCCATAGTAGTCAAACTTGAACAGAGTCGCACCACCTTCGACCTGAGTCTGGACGAGGGCCGGGGGGCTAACTTTGCGGAATCTGAGCTCCTTGTAGGCCTGGTTGAAGGCCCACTCGACAGCATCGCGCACAATCATGACGCCAGAAGCGACCTCTCCTCGAAGTGTAAGGTGTCGTTGGTCGAGAAGCATGGCCTGTTCGGCATCTGCCTGGACTCTGTTGGTAATGGCATCATCACCACCGGGGGCCTTCCAGTGCTTGGGAATCTTGAAGAAGTCGGCGTGTAGTTCGCGGTTGAGGGGGGCGCGAGCACCGGCGGGGACTTCTCGCATCTCTCCCAGAATCTCCATGGACGTCTCACGAGTAAGGGTGACGGCGTCGTAAGTCTTTGCCAGCTGACCGGAAATAACCACCTGCATGAAGCCGTAGCCGTCTCTCAAAGTGACAAACATGACATCCTTCTGCTTGCGCTCGCGATGCACGCGACCAAAGACACGCACGCGGGTTCCCTTGCTCTCGGTGTCGTCCAGCTTACGCAGCTTGATGTGGTCGCCAACCTCGTCCAGGCCAATTCGAACGGCAGCAGGGAGGCTGGGATCCTCTGTGATGACAATGGCCTTGGCCGCTTCCAAAGCCTTGGCTCGCTCCTCCTCCTCCTTCTTTCGCCTAATGACCAGCTCCTGTTCCTTGGCGGCCTTCTTCTTCTGCACGTCAAAGTAGTTGACAGCCTTCTTCAGGGCCGCCTTTGCGACAGGCTTCCACTCCTTTGCTGCCTCATCTTCGGTGTTCTGGGACTTGCGAGTCAGATATTGGGCCTCTGCAGGGCGTTGCAGGTAGGCAAATTGCAGGGACTTGTAGGGCGATTCTTCGGTTCCGGTCTGGGAGACCTCGTCCTTGCCGATGTCTTCGTCGATGTAAATGGTCGCCATGTTGAGCGAATCGGCCGTGAGTCTCTCTTGACAAAAGTTTCGTTCTGCAAGACTCAGGCGAGAGAGGATGCGGGGCGGTCTTTTGATCTTGCTGTTGAGTCACGAAGAAAATGGCCCTGGCGCCCTTATCTGCTTATCACCCCGCCGGAAGTCGCCCTGTCGGCTGCTTGTTATCTCGCCCGACGTTAACCCGGAGCACCCTTTGCCTGAAGGAGAAGGTTATTTAGGGATATATCCAAGATGCCACATCTCTATCTGGGAGGTGCAATTCTTCCATAGGCTATTCTGTGGCTGCAAGGGAATTTATATCAGTAGGTGGCCATTCATAACACTGTCTGGCTCAATCTCCTGGGCAGCGATCTCGGACCATCATCTTATCAACCCTGCATACCGAAAGTCTAAATATCTGGTGTTAGTTATGAAAGGTTTCAGGTCGCAGTCATATTAAATGATTCATCTATTTTTCATGCCCAAGCAATAGTACTAGCAGGGCCGAGAGTGCTCCGATAAAGGTTGTTTTCCAACTATGACTCTTATTACAATGAAAATGGAAGAGAGAAAGATCAAGCACGTCTATCGCTGTCTATCCAATATTAAACTCGCTTGCTCCAGACATGAGCATCCTACTCTTACGCATAATCGCGTCTCTCGCTGGCTTCTGTTCAAGCTTGGCAGCGTCATCATCATCGCTATCAGCGTCCTTCTTGCCTCCCTTGACTGTTCTCCAATGTTCTTTCTTGCCCTTTTGTGCTTTCCTCTCTATACCAGCGCCAATGCCTCCCGGCGGGTCTCGTAAACCAAAAGCTTTTGCAACATGTCCCAAGTGCAGCTGAGTGATGTCGAAATGAACCCGCTCCTCCTTGGTGTGTGTCGCATAGGCTCTGATGTGAGACTTGAAGCCGTTTCTTGCCAATTCGAGTCGCTTATTGTCAATGAGGAGGCGTTGTTCCAAGTGGAGTTGTAACGTTTCAGCCTTATCATGGTAAGTTTGCCCATCTTGCGGCTTAGCAGTCGTTTCAACTGGAAATTCTAGCTTGGTCATCAGGCCTTTCTGGAGCACAGATTCATATGATAATGACGAGGGTGATCCAGAGGCTTTGAGAAGCTCGATATAGCCTTCCTCTGCGCCAGGAAGCAGGAATATGGTTGCGTCACCAGAGCGTCCAGCTCGCGCAGTTCGTCCAATTCGGTGAATGTGATCGTCAAAACTGAAAGCAGGATCGTATTCAATAACCAAGTCGACGGAAGGGATATCAAGACCACGCGACGAGACATCAGTGGTGATGAGGAGGGAAGGCGATTTACACGCTGAGAATGATTTCAAGGTTGCTGTTCGAACGGGTTGTGAAAGAGATCCGTGCATCCTGTGTAAAACAACTTCAGGGCTTGCAGCAGACGTGATATAGGCTGCCTTTGCAACAGTCTTGGATACATTCTCCGAGTCTTTTGACTGTGTGTTTTTTGTGGAAGCGTCTTTTGAAGGTGTCTCTTTTGAGGGTGCATCGTTTGATGGCATGTCCTTTGATGTAGGCTGGGGTGCTTCAGCGTTTTCAGGGATCTTCAAGAGTTCGTAGTGAAAGTCGACAGTATGGGCACACGACATGAAAATGATGGCCTTCATCGTGTGGCCACGGCGAGAAAACACAGACTTGAGATAGGCCACGAGCGTTACCAATCTCAGCTTAGCAGGCACAATAATGTGTGACTGGTGTAGTTGCGCCGGGGCCTTGTGAACAGCCTGCTCGTCCTTGTTTTCACCCACCGTCTCATCACCCTTTTCCACAGCCAAGAAAGTAGCATCAGCAAGACTCATCTCGCCGAGCTTCTGTACATTCAGCTTCATTGTCGCGGAACATAGAACGGTGACCCTTCGGTCTGGAAGTGGCTCCAGAGATACTCCCGAGGCGAGAGTACTTGACACTTTCACTTGCTTAAGTGCTTCTATAGCTTTCTTCAGATCCTCTTCGAATCCCAAATCCATTAATCTGTCACCCTCGTCCAGAATTAGCCACCTCACGGTGCCTAAGTTGAGAGCTTTTGTGTTATCAATGTGATCCGCCAATCTTCCAGGGGTCGCGACCAAGAAGTTGATGCCCTTTCGAAGTCGAGCCTTTTCCGCCTTTTTGGACTCTCCTCCAGTGATTGCAGTAGAGACGAGCCATGGGAACGGCCTGATGAGTTGTTCCAGCACAGTATGTGTTTGTTTTGCAAGTTCACGGGTCGGCGAGACTATGATGGCGAAAACACCAGAGTCTCTGTGAATCTTCTCGCCGCCCCCACTCAGGAGAAGAACCCGATGTAGCATCGGAAGCAGATATGAAAATGTCTTTCCTGAACCTGTCTCGGCCTGAACAAAGGCATCTGAGCTGCTCGATAGCATGTGCGGAATGACTTTCTGCTGAATCGCTGTTGGTCGCTCAAGGTTCATCTTGGCAAGTGCCTCTACTAGTCGAGAAGAGATGGTCAATGATCCGAAATTCGCAACAGTCAGAAGGGGCGCATTTGTGGCCTCGGGTTCCTTCCACTCCTCCTCCTCTTCAAAAGTCGTCTTCTGCTCCGGGTTAAACGAAAACAAACGGGAAACGACTTGACGATTCCCCGGAGGGCCTGCGTGTTTCTTCTGCCCCGGGGTGCCATGATCTGCGCTCTTCTTTCGCGCAAGATCCGAGCGATGGGGCAATTCGCCTTCTGCCCGTCGTCCTGATCCAAAGCCGTCAATTTTCTGTCGTTTTGCCGATCGCTGTTCGTCGTCGGAGCCTCGTGCCGCAGCCGCAGGGCGTGAGCCAAGCTTTGCGCTCTTCTCTGCTCGCTTCCTGTCCCTCCACGATCCGCCCTTGAATTTGACCTGAGGCTTGAGCGGCCCGCCGCCCAGCTCGAAATTCATTAGCATTCCATCGTCAGCCATGGTGAGAGCAGCGTCTTTGCTCTGGCAGTTGTCGGGTGGGGCTTTGGCCTTGACTTTGGATCTGGAACGGTAATCTCCAAAAGAAAAGCCAAAGACTTGGATTTTTCGCATACAAAAAGTTTCTTATCGATAACGCCGTAGGCTATCTTTGTGTCGATAGTATTGCGGGTATCTGTGGTAGGGCGTGGGCCTTTAGCCCAGCCGAGAGCTGCATCCATGATACGTGATTGGCTCGTTCATAAGCCAAGGAACACAGGTGATCTCTATACAAACAGAAACCGGGTTGCCTGGTGTTATAGGGAGGAGCATTGCTGGTTTATAATTAGAATTAATGTTAGCTTACTACACCATCAAGACCGCAATGACAATTGTAGTAGCTGACGATGCCTCATCCGCCATTATACGTTACTCCGAGTTTAAGTATGCCGTCGCCTAATAAAGAGGTCTGCACCGCACTATTTTTCAACATTTCACAAAATCAGTCAAAAACTCTCCTAGACAATAAACCTAACTATATTCTGTCGATCCAAAGATTGAGGCGTTTTTCGGAATTGGCAACCTACGCTGAAGGTGACGCTATAGCAACTGAGCTTGTCAGTAGAACCGCTGCCCATGTTGACATTCTAGAGTACGAATTCAGTTCCGCCTTAAGAATTTGGTACTCAAAGCTAAAGTTCTGAAAAGAGCCTCTTTACATCTATGTGATTGACCGTATGCGTGGTAAAATACTTGCATGTCATATTGGTGCAAGATTCTCTGGAAAAGCCCAGTCGGGATTTAGTTTCTCATGAACCAGAACCTTATTGGTGACATTTCACTACAGCCATCCTTGGTCGAGGATCCAGGCGTTTCCCTAGCTCAATTGACAGAGCGATCATTGATATATTAAGACGTCATTCAACAACCTACGGTAAACCAAGTAGGCAGTTTAGCTTCTTCAAAACAAGAATATGGCATAACAATAAGTTTGATTGACATCTCTGTGTTTGCTTATTTTGATCGTGATTTTGATTTCCAGATATTTATGTCGCCTTCAATCTAGCTGCTACAGATGACAAGAGAATGGTTCATTGTCCAGCTTGAGTAATGTACTTAAAGCTCCTCTCTTGTACCCTGGTTATAAGTCACTACTCTTTACTATCTTCATGCTATAGGTGCATTTACGAATAGCATACAGTTAAATTCTAGTACTATTTTCACACAATAGTATTTAGGACAGATTGCATCTATTCCGTCACGACTCGCATGTAGTTCAAAGCTAGACGCTCCGTGGGGCCGGAGCGTAGAAAAGCCCACCGAGCTGCTCGGAGATGGCAATCCTCGTCCGCTGCATCCGAGCTCCGGGTCGCTGATTAGTTCGGGGTATCTCCTTGAAACCACTGCCCGGATACGGGAATTGACGGGACTCTCTCCCTCAAGCCCACCCTTGTGACGCACATGTTTATTAGCGCAGCTGAAGGATTGTCAGAGAGGGTTCCTGCTAGAGAAGCGGGTTCACCAAAGGGTCCTGTGGCACCGCTGAGGCGCGGGCAAGCTACTGACATTGAACCTTATTGACGCCGAATACCTTAGGTAGTAGTAGTAGATTTCTAGTTGGTAAGGTAGGTAGGTAGGTATGTATACAGAGGTTTCTTCTAGAAACGGCTGGAGTTGTCGAACGGACAGAAATTAACTGTACAGTCCCTATAGTCTGCATAATGGAGTCGATTACGGGGTACACAAGCCGATGGTTACGACTACGGTTCTAGACCAGACCAGAACAGAGATAAATTGCAAAAGAAATTTGTGCGCAGTCATAGAGCAACCCGAAATACTATGGCTGACGATAGAGAGCATGGGTTGGTCTCGTCTGCGCACCGCGGCTATTGCCAGTAATCGCCATATCTGTTCTCATTGCGGCTCACAGCGCAACGTTGGTAAATTACATGCGCCTTCAGCTGTGAATTATGGGCTAGGCGGGAATAAACGCCTCTGTCGCTGCCACCCACCCATCACCACTGGTGTCGGACTTGTCAACTGCCCGACAATGCGCTCGCTATGCGGGGACTAATACTGATTGATATGCGATGACCGTCCAGGCGTCGCACCAGGTGGATAGTAATCACCGTTTTTGCCTATCACGGACTCGAGAAATAATGCGACGCGCACGCATTCCAGGCAAAAGATTGGAGACCGCGTAAGGCTTAATGTATGCAGACGCTGAGGGATTTAAAAATGCTGGTGCTGGTTGGTTCTAAAGGCCTTTGCTGCCTACAGATGATGCAGCCGATGATGGTATTGATCTGATAACAGACTGGCTGCATCAACTTACATGCGCAGAGCCCTGAACGGAAACACGCTTCAGGTAGGTAATACAGCCTCTTCGGCTTACTAGAAGGTCCTGAGGCCACTTTTTTTTTTTTTTTTTTTTTTTTTCTTTTTGCGGTTTGTTCTATTTTTTTCTTAGCAGGGACCACCGATGGTTCCGGCTTCTCCCTCGATCTCCACGCATCGACAGGGAATGCTAGCGAATCGGCAGCCGGTTTGTTCTCGCTGTGGCCAATCAGAGGCAGGACGAATTACGAAGGAGGATGGAAGGCTGCCGGACTGGGGACAAGCTCTGTGGGACGCGCATGCCTTGCCGCCTTGTTAGCGAGGAGAAATTTTAAGAAAATGTAACAGAAGTGATTTGTCGTCTTTGTTTTTCCCATGGCGCTCGGCACGAAGCAGTTTTGGGCAAGTGGCAGCTGGAGGTGTCGTGTGTGAGTTTTGTGAGAATGAGAAGCCCCGGATTTGAGTGCATGGTCTATGACGCACGCACTTACAGGCGCTGGTTGGTGGCGGCGCCGTTAACCAAGAGACGCTGCTAACCGCAGCGGCTTTCTGTCTGTATACGACTTCCGTTCATATTTTGCTTGAAACGAACTGTAAGCCGGAGATTCACAGCGGAAATACAGCTATCAAGAATCGCCCGCAGGCATGCAGCACTAGCGGCTTCGCTGAAGACGGGCGGCTTGCATTATCAACGACCTTGCATGAAAACACAAAAAAAAAAGTAACCAAATTCAAATAAAAATCGGCACTTGGAGCCATAATTTCTGCAGCAGCTTCTTCATTATCTGAGTCACCTCCACACGCTCGTGCCTCGCAGCTTGTCCCGAGTCCATCCTTCATGGGAGGGGCCCTTCTGCTAGTGTCTGCCGTCTTCTACCGTTCCAGCACCTGTAGCCGTAGCGTCTTCCAGGCGGCTTTGGGGGCTCCGTCTGCCCGTGCAATGCACTCCACACTAGCTCTCGCTCACTTCTAGCGGCCTCCTTCAGCCACGGCACTTCAAGACAGGGCCCTGGCCCGAGGAAATAAGGCCGGCACGGGCCCCCGCCATTTTTTCCCAGGCCTTATTTTTCTTCCCTCTCTTCTCGCATCTCAAGTCAACGCACACACGACAGATTAAAAAAGAAGATAATCGAGGCCGGTTCCTTTCCTTTCTCCGGCTCTTGGTTTTGGTCGTCTCTTTTCTTCTTCTTCCCCTTCACATCCTCCCCCTTTTTACAATTTGGACCATTTACATAGCGCGTTTGTTTGACGGCTTCCGGGGCTGTCAAATGAACCTGCAATCGCCCACTATCATTTTCTCCCCCGTAAGTTTTCGGCCCCGATTTTTGCCTCCCACGTTTGCTTGCTCGCGCGCGCAAACCGGCTTTGTTGGTGACAAGACAAGAAAAAATGAAAAGAAGACCGAGCTGTGTTTCATTAATTGCAGCGCACTGTCTTTTGTCTTGATCAGCGAGCCTCCAGCGTCAACAGACACCAAACATCGTTTCTCTGTTGGCGGTTCATTGCGTGAAGCTGTGCATCGCATGACTAACAACTCCGCCGTCATATAGTCTCCTCCTCCAGCTATCTAAATGCCCATCTACTCACAACTGTATTCGAATTTTATCCGTCAAGGATCTACATTCGCCAAATCCGTTACCGCCCACGGCTACGCACAATCTGTCGTAGCTGCTACTCACCCTCACGTCCTCAACTCTCAGAATCGCCCCGTCTTCAGACGACAGTCGAACCGGCCCAGTCGTGTCTCCAACTTCCCTCTCTATTCTGCCTTCCATAGCGAAAGACTATCGTCTGGACTACCAGCCGATCACCACCATGTCTCGAATCACGGAGGTCTAGATGCCTACTTTGAGGCTCTTCAAAAGAAGGACGTCATTGGGGAGGAAGAGGACAAAGAATGGACGCAGTTTGATTTCCAGAAGCGCATTGAGTGGAAGCCTAATGCGTCATCAGTTCTCGCTGGTGAGAATGCGGCCGAGGCTGGCGTAGAGGCGGCGGCTGCCGAGCAGAGCGCTTCAGCTGAGGCCGCTCACGATGATGCCGAACCGCAGCATCTGATGTCGGCGGCGGAGGAGGCAGCTCTTGCCCACATCGACGCGGCGCTCGAACAGGAAATCGAGGCTCGAAATTTCCAGGCAGCTGTTGAAAAAGCAGTTGCTGAGGGAATAACCTCAGTGTCTGTGCCTCATTCTCGTGCCCGCACGCCTTCACCTGTCGACTCAACACAAGAAGCAGTTTCTGCCCAGGGTCAATCTCAGTCATATGCCGACCACCTTCTGAAGCTGTCAGAGGCTGCCCGGTATGCTGAGATCCCGGCTGTGTTCGAGGCCATGCTGGCTACCGGCGTGCAGCCCATCGCCAGTGCCTACAATGCTCTGCTGTTGGCCGCGATTCATATCCCTAGCCAAAGAAGCGAGGTCGTTTCCAAGGCTCTGGATGTTTATGCTGACATGATGCGCCGAAGGGTGTCTCCTGACAGTGAAACATTCAACATTCTTGTCAGTCTGCTCTCTTCTCGCTCTTTAGAGGTTTCGGAAATGAAGGCTGTTCTTGAAGAGAAGCGCTTGCGATTTGGTGGAATGGATGAGCCCGGCAAGTTCATGTTCGCGTCCCACGAGCTAGAGCATGCCATCTTGTGCGAGGATGAGCGCCTCGACCTGGCTGTTAAGCTGTTCGACATGTCCTTTGAGGCTGGCAAGGCCTCTTACTCAGCTGAGACATACCGACAGTTGATTTCGGCTTGCGCCCAAGTTGGCCGGGTATCAGATATGCTGCGATTTTATGAGCAAATGGAGCTCAGCGAGCTCATTCCCTCTGCCGACGTCTTCCCCAAGATGATCACTGCTTACGCCAAGTCTGGTAATCTCATTGGCGCTGTTGAATGCTACAACGAGTATCGAAATTTGGCCATCTCTCATGATGCTGGTAGCTCGGCTCTTAACGATCGACTTGACGCCCAGGTGTACGCCTCTGTCCTCAATGCCTATGTCATCTCCGACAAGATTGAAGGCGCAATGAGGTTTTTCAAGAAGATTATCAGCGAATACGGCACCTCTGTCGCCGATATGAAGGATGCCCTGGTCGATCTGGGATTCATTAAGGGGTTCATCGCACGAGGTGTCTTCCAAGAGGCCCTTCAGTGGGCTCAGTCTCTCGATGCTAGCGTTCGAGATCAGGCCATGATCCACATTGCCACCGTCGCTGCTGATGGCAACGATGCCACCACCGCAATCGAGGCGTATGCCAACATCCACGTCGTGGATCTCCAGGACCTTGCAACACCTTCAATTGCACTTCTTGCCATGAGCGTGCGATTGGGCGATGTTGCTTCGGCCTCCAAGTATTGGTTTGCCCTCTCCAACCCTGAGATGCGTGCCACAGCTGCCTTTATCGAGCCAACTACCATGTATGCGGTTTCTCTCATTGGTTCCGGCCAGGTCGCGGAAGGCTTGGCACAGTCCGAGATGATGTTCCAGAGAATCCGAGCTGCTGCCGAATCCGAGGCCCTTCCTCAACTTGTCGAAGAGATTGACGAGGGTGTTGATTTCATTGCTCGCTATATGGAATCTCGGGGTATTGTCGATCCCCGCGAGTTGGCCTCTCAGATGTCGACGGTTCCTTCCCAGGTTCACAGCATTTCTCCGTTCCAATCTACCCCGACCGTCTCCAGCTATGAAGATAATTACGATCCGTATGCAAGCAACACTGATTTCAAGGGTTCATCTTTGATCGCCGACGATTTGGAGGGCAACCACGGTCGCAAGGGTCCTCGTCTCCACGAAGCTCTCAACCGATTCAAGAACATTCGCCGTGCCGGAAGACACCCCCGATACATCACATACGCCAAGCTGATATCTGCCGCCGCTCGCGAAAACAAGATGGATCTTTGCCAAGAAATTCTTGCAATGGCTCGTACCGATGTTCCCCCGGTTGCTCACAACGCCGTTGTTCGCTATGGCTGGTCTTCTATTCTGGACGCCATGCTTGGTGCTTGCCTGACCTTGGGAAACCGCGGACGGGCTGAGCAGTACCACCAAGAGCTGCTTGAGATGGGCGCCACCCCTTCTGCCAACACCTTTGGACTGTACATCACCACCTTGAAGGACTCCACCAAGACATTCGACGAGGCCTCGGAGGCCGTCCGCATTTTCCTTCGCGCCAAGGCTGAGGGTGTTGAGCCAAGCTCTTTCCTGTACAACGCCCTCATCGGTAAGCTGGGTAAGGCTCGTCGCATCGATGACTGCCTTTTCTACTTTGCTGAGATGAGGGCGCTGGGTATCAAGCCCACTTCTGTTACCTATGGCACCATTGTCAATGCACTGTGCCGTGTTAGCGACGAGAAGTTTGCAGAGGAGCTCTTTGATGAAATGGAGGCCATGCCCAACTACAAAGCTAGACCGGCGCCGTACAACAGCATGATGCAGTTTTTCCTGACGACGAAGCGTGACAAGGCCAAGGTCCTTTCCTATTACGACCGCATGACGACCAAGGGCATCGCCCCCACCTCTCACACCTATAAGCTACTCATCGATACTCATGCTACTCTGGAGGCGGTCGACATGGAGGCCGCTGAACAGGTTCTGGAAACGATGCGCGCGGCTGGCCAGCGACCCGAGTCGGTGCACTTTGCTTCACTCATCCACGCCAGAGGCTGCGTCCTGCACGACATGGAAGGCGCGCGAAGAGTGTTTGACTCGGTCGTGGCTGATAGCTTGGTCCCCGTTAACGCCAGCATCTACCAAGCCTTGTTCGAGGCCATGGTTGCTAACCACCAGGTTGCCGAGACGGAGCCAATCCTAGCCGAGATGCGAAGCAGGCGGGTGGAGCTCACTCCCTACATCGCCAACACCTTAATCCACGGCTGGGCTGCAGAGAAGAAGATCGAGAAGGCCCAGGCTATCTACAATGCTGTTGTTCGTGAGAAGCGCGAGCCCAGCACGTATGAAGCCATGACTCGAGCTTTCCTTGCTGTTGAGCAGAGAGAAGAAGCCAAGGCTGTTGTGGGAGAGATGCTCACTCGCGGATACCCCAGTGCAGTCGTCAACAAGGTTCTAGAGCTGCTCGGCGGAGGCCAAGATACTGGCGCCGCAGAGTAAACTTTTGCATACATATTGCATTCTATGCGTGTCTTTTTCTTTTATGTTGTCCGACTTTTCGGTGGAGCGACGTCTCTTGACTTTCGATTTTCTCTTTCTTTTGGTTTATCATTTCTAAGCCTCGACGTGTTTTGATACCCCTTTGGCATGCAGGTTGGGACAGTGGTTCTATTGGGGTGTCGTCTTAATATAAGAGGCTCTGCGTGGTGTTTTGCGTTTCCATGTTTTATACATTTCGGTGTTTTCACACCCAAATTTTCTTTGTTTCATTTTATTTCAAGATGGCCCGGCGTTACAAGGCGGACGGATGGGAAATTTTCTATGGCAAATGCAGAAAAAAAGAGAGGACGTGCATTTTTTACATAATGGATCTGGGAGGGCAATCTTTGGAAGAAAGGAATGAATGGGTTTCGCGGACTCTGAGAGCCGCTGATAGACAAATCTCCACTCGGCATAGGCCTGCGGCCAAGGCCAAAAACACACAAACGGTAGTAGCAGAACATTTCGGCGTTTTGATTTCCATTTTTGGGAGCTTTGTTTGATGGTATATAAAGGATTGGGGGGAAACACTTTTGGCCCTTTATTGCTCTCTGACTGGACGGGATTTTCTGCTACCATGTATCATATTAAAGATGGTTTGAGCACATACAAATAAAGCGAAGAGACGCTCAAGGCAGCGAGATAATGCCTACTCATATCTGTTCTCATTCTTAGCCTGTGAGGTGACAATGGTGTTCTATTTAGAGAACTTGACTTGACTTGAATATGATGTTAGTCTGATAGTATTGTAGAACAGAGAATAGATGAATCCCCGCAGAGGACAGATTACAGTGTAGATACTGTGTTCGTGTACCATGACGCACTGTGAATGATTTAGGCCCCCGCTCCACTCTTGACCTCAACCAGGTAACCTCTCAGTTGGCCTCCTTCAAGCACTGCTTCTCATAATCTTGGCAGATGAAGCCGTGAAGCAATTCCCCTCTTCTCACCGCTATATTTTTAATATTTCTTCCTGATTTCATTTTTTGCCCGCTTAATTATCTCGATTTTCGTCCTTGTACCTTTCAATTGGGACATATTTTTAATTAGTAGTCAACCAGATATCCACCACCCCTTTCTCTACCAGCCATCTCCAACTCAGCTCAACTCAGCCCAAACTCAAGTATATATATAAAACACCATCCTCTCCATCTCCATTCATCCACAACTGACCATCTCATCACAGCCATGCCCACAGCAAACGCCACCGTCGCCGTCTCCGCCCCCGGCAAGGTCCTCCTCGCCGGCGGCTTCCTGGTCCTGGAACGCGCCTACACGGGCCTCGTCCTCGGCCTCAGCGCGCGCATCAACGTCATCGCCGGCGACATCACCAGCGAGCCCGGTGTGGAGCTGTACGAGATTGTCGTGAGCAGCCCGCAGTTCCAGGACGCGCAGTGGCGTTATGGCTATCACCACGCGGAGGACGGCGGGGGCGTTAAAGTTACGCAGCTGCATGTGTGAGTATTTACTCTCTCTTTCTCTCTCTCTCCTTTTAAGAATGTTTTTATGCTTGTTGCTATTTTTATGCTTGCTGTTACGGGAACGCTATCTTGTCTTGTTTTAAAAAAAAGACCCTTGTTTTCCTTCTTGTTTTGTTTTTCGGGAAATGAAGAATCCTTCTTGGGGACACGACACAAGGGAGAGTAGAAACAAGGAGAGACATGGCGGGAGAGACACGATATTCCTTATTCCTTTTGGTAATAAGACAAAAAGTCTTATAAATCAATTAAGAGGAATTTTTTCTTCTTGTTTGCTTTGCTTTGCTGCTCTCATTTGCCACCAAGAGAGATAGAAAGAAGGAAAAGAAACAAACTTCTCCGGGTCCCTTGGAATGCATTGTCTGTTTCCTGTCATCCTTTTTGTTTTCTCCTCACTCTATCGCTTCTTTCGTTTCTCACGTCATGTCTTATTTTCAAACTAACACTCGGACCGTGTTCCTTGTCTTGCTTCCAGCGGCTCCACCATCACGCCCAATCGCTTCGTCGAAACAACGCTCAGCTACGCCCTCACCTACATCGACGCCGTTGTCTCATCCTCATCAAAGCAGCCTCATCACAACATCGCGTCCTCGCGCCTCGTCATCCTTGCCGACAACGACTACTACTCCCACTCCCACGAGGCCTCGTCGGGGCGCTTCGCCAAATTCCCCGTCGCCATCAAGGGCGCCAACAAAACCGGCCTCGGGTCCTCTGCCGCGCTCGTCACCTCCCTGACGGCCTCCTTGCTCACGCACTACCTACCCAGCAGCGTTTTTGACCTGTCCACCAAGAAGGGCAAGCAGACGCTGCACAATCTTGCTCAGGCCGCCCACTGTGCCGCACAGGGCAAGATTGGCTCTGGCTTCGACGTCGCCGCCGCCGTGTACGGATCCTGCACGTACAGGAGATTCTCCCCTGACATCCTCAACGTGCTACCTGAGCCCGGCGCCCCTGGTTTCAGTAAGAAGCTGCTCACCGTCGTCGATGGCCAGAAATGGGACGTCGACGTCCAAGAGGACAGCGTCAGCGTCCCGCCAGGCCTCGTCCTGCGCATGTGCGACGTCGACTGCGGCAGTGAAACCGTCGGCCTAGTTCGCCGGATCCTCAACTGGCGCAGCGAAAAGGCCGACGAATCATCCACCCTCTGGAACGATCTGCAGTCCAAAAACGAAGAGCTCGCCGCCATGCTCAAGGCCGGCGATGTCGACCACCTTCCCGCCCAGCTCATCCAGGTCCGCGACCGTTTCCGCAAGATGGGCCATCTGGCCGACGTGCCCCTCGAGCCCGACACCCAGACCGTCCTGCTCGATGCCCTCACCGCCATCGACGGCGTCTACGGCGGCGTCGTGCCCGGCGCGGGCGGCTTCGACGCGCTGGCCCTGCTGATGCGAGACGACGCCGAGACGCAGCGTCGCGTGGAAGATTTCCTGGCCGAATGGAGTCGCGAAAAGGGTGCCAAGGTAAAGCTTCTGGGGGTCAAGGGGGAAATGGAGGGCGTGCGCCAGGAGAGCTTGGACGCGTATGACGGGTGGCTATAGCTTTTCACAATTACAAACCACATCATCAAAGCTTCGTCGTCTCTGTTTTTAACCGAGATGAGGACAGGAAGAAAACAATGACAAAAAGCACATAGCCCGAGTATTTAGACCCAGGGAGCCATAGCTCCCTTTTCTTTGTATTTTATGCAAATCTCTCACAGAAATGAAAGACTTTGATCAAAGTTGAAAAAAATGGAAAGATTACAGTCAACATAGACTGTTCGCATATACTACTCCATATAGTTAGGATCCTAGAAAGACATAGGTTAGCAGCGCCATAACTGCGTATAGTCTTTGTCATGCTCAAATGGTCAACGTTTCGTGACGCGAAGATTAGTACCTGCACGCGAGACAAAGCTGAGCGAAATGACACTAAAACAAAGGGAAGCTGTTCATTCAAAATAAATGCCAAAAGTGAGCTCGAATCACTTATATTGTATAAAATTATTAATCCTTTCATCTTTCCTGCATTAAATCCGCGTTGCATTAACCGTGGCGTTTCGACATTCCCACGCCCCCTCCCCTCTCTTTCCATTCATCTTACCAAATTGTTTCCCGTTTCCCATTTTTGTTCTTGCTATTGTAAGCAACCCGTGATTGTTGTGATATCTATGTTTCTTTGCAGCTTACCCGCTGCCCTGTCCAATCTATCCTGAAAAAAAATATCCAGTCCCAAAGCCCAAAATCCACGCTTAGCCAATCTGTTTTAACCCTGATTCTTCTGTCCATAGAGAAAAGGAAATCGACATAGGAAAGAAGAAGAAAAGATGGAAATAAGATGAAAAATAATGAATAAAGAGAAAAGCATTTCGGTCCAGAAGTAATAATGATAGAGGTAGCGATAATAGTATCCGTAATGCCCTCAGTCATAGATAAGATATTGGTGTTTTGGCTCGTAAAAGTTGCATCCAGTCAATGAATCAGTTGGACTGCTGTTGAACAGAAACCATTGAATATGGCGAAGTGCTCCGATAAGGAGATCGTGAACGAATCGGCCGAGGTAGGCTTGATGACGGGTCGGGAAACATGGAGTCTTCTGCAATACCGATTTGACTAGCGGCAGCCTTTTCTCGGAAAAGACAAAGTCTACATCAAAACATTGATTAGTATCATCGACTGGGGGCTGATCAATCTCGTAGTTTTTGTCTTGGGGCGCCTCACTCTTCTTGTGAAATGCCGGGGAGTAAAACTGATTCTTTCTTAAACCCAAATGGCTTAGACTGGAGAACGATGTTAGCCAAGAGTCTAGTCAGTAATGCAGCGATTACCACATGGACATACAATTTCTAGTCCGCGCTTCTGCTTCCGTCTGCCATGACGCAGAGCTGCTTGCATGCGCTCATATAGCGTCCTGACGTTGCTTTTGAGACGCATCTCGGAAGCAGCGCCCGTTGTGTTGGAGCAGCCACTTATGCTCTCGGTCTCCAAGTTGGCTAATGAGGCTTTTCTCAACATATGGGCCATCGCTCAGAGCGACGGCAAACGCTCGATTAGATGATAAATTGAAGAAAACGGTGAAATAAGGATGAAGAAAGCTAAAGAGCAAGAGATATGAAAAAAAAGAGGCCAATGAGTTTGTGGTTTTAAGATGAGAAAATAAATAAAAATGAGATGGAAATGATAAAGCAGAAAGTAAAGGCGTGCTCTAGAATACTAGCAATGAGAGTAATGATATGAGGTAAAGAATAAATAGGGCCCGCGTGGCTTCTCGATCCTTGTTGGACGATGAGTGTTGTTGGTGCAAAATATATTAGTGCAGATACCCGTACAAAGGGCCGGGACAAGATGAGGATGAGCTAGACACTTTTAAAGGAAAGCAGAGAACGCGATGGTAGATGAAATGAATGAATAAATGAGCCTAAACGAAGATGCACACTGCCGAAAGCAAATCGCAAGGCAAGACAATGAAGAAGAAAACGAAAAGGAATGAATGCCGACGGATAGTCTAGCAGGGGGGAAAGGAGTGTGTTAGCTGGTGCCGGTGAAGCTCCGCGGGTGCGGAATGAATGGAGGCGTCCGGCTTGAGATTCACAAGACCAGCATGGTTCCGACGGATGCGTTGCCCGCCGGGGCCTCGCATATATATACGAAGATGTGCGTGGAAATGGACGTACATAACTCGCCCATATCGGCACCGCTGCGTGTCTGAGCTTCTCATTATTCGGTAGCCCTTCGGTCGGTGCCGCATCTGGGCCTCTGACGACGGGGCCTCATCAGACACAGTCCACCCGTGCAGCGCAGAGTGCGACACTCGAATACACTAGGAGAGGATGGCCGCCTGCATCTGTGTCTCACATTATACCTGAATCCAAGCCCTGTGTATGCGCTCACGCACAAATGTGGAATGCGTGAAGACCAAAATGGCATTCCTGTTGCTGCTGCTACCCTCATGTAAGACGCTGTACGCCGTTGCATTCGTCAGGGTAATGAGCTGCCGCCAGGCGATCAGGAGCAGGCCAACTGTTCGCGGCCGGATGGAGCAGCGGGCGGAGCACATGTGCGTGCACGGGCGCTGTTTGCTTCCTGTTTCTTCTTCTTCTACAACAAGCGGGTTACAGAATGAATGGGGTCGACGGCGGCCTAGCCGAATCGTCGTCTCCTTGCCTCGACGACGAAGAATTCTTGTCTCATCTCATCACGGTTGCACTGGGGCGGGCTGCCTGCCTGCGCATTTAGGGTTGACTGCGGCGGATACGCCATTCATGCATAACGAAAATGTGAGATGCCGCGCGGTGATCCTTTACACGCGAAAACAAACGATAATCGTGGGAGACCCTTGTCCAATATATCGTCGCATCATTTGCCGCGTGGGCGAGCCAATCACAAAGCCACCTTGTTCGATGCTGAAAGGAGCCCAAAGGGAGATCTCTCGCTAATCTTTGGGTCTGGTGCGGAGGCACAGCTGGCACTAGGTCAATTGGGTGATAGTAAAAGATAAATAATGCTCTTTTCTTCTTCTTTATTGTCATATGGTATGTTCCACACGCTTATTTAGGATAGTCCTTGAGGTGGAAGCTCTTGGACTTGACAAATGCTTCAAAGCCAAACTTTCCGAGCGTCTGGCCCTTACCTGAGTTCTTCCATCCAATCCATGCGAGATCCTGTTTTGTTGGTAGTACCGTCAGCAATATGTTACGGAGCTTGTGTTCGTCAAGGTATTTTACTTGCTACCCTTATTGGCCCGGCCGGGTGCGATGCGACTGGGGGCCAACAAGGGAGGAGGATACGGGGGCTTTTAGGGTGCACGCGCAGACTTACCGGGCTAGGATAATCGCAGCGATTGACAAAGACCGTGCCAGCGTCAACTTCCTCCAAGAGGGCGTAGCCTCGGTCGACATCCTTGGTCCAAATACTAGCCGAGAGGCCAAACTCGCTGTCGTTCATCAGCTTGACGGCCTCTGCGTCACCCTTTACCTTCATCACGGGAATCACAGGCCCAAATGTCTCTTCCGTCATGACTGTCATAGTGTGATCCACGCCCGTTAATAGGGTTGGTCTCACAAAATTGCCCTTGGGCGGAGGGTTTTGGAAACTTTCGTTTTCCGGCGTCACATCCTTGGCTCCCTTTTTCAAGGCATCTTGGATGTGTGACTCTATTGTTTCCTTGGAACGTTTGGAGATGACGGGTCCTACATGAGTGGATTTATCGAACGGGTCTCCCAGCTTGTATCCCTTGAGCACCTTTTGAACGGCTGCGACGAAGTCGTCGTGAATCTTTTCGTCCACGTAGATGCGCTCAACGGAGCAGCAGCTTTGGCCAGAGTTGAAGATGGCGCCATCTACAATCTCTTCGGCAGCCCAGTCGATGTCTACATCATCTCTGATGTACGCGGGATCTTTGCCGCCTAGTTCGAGGCCCACGTTGACAATCCGATCGGCGGCAACCTTTTGCACGGCAAGGCCGCCGGCAACGGAGCCCGTGAAACAGATGAGCGCGATCTTAGGATCCCGAATGATGCTTTCCATGATACTAGGCGACCCGCAGTGGAAATACTGCAGAACGCCGTCGGGCAGGCCAGCCGCGGCGAAAAGCTTGGCCACCTGTTCTACAACTGTTGGTGTTTGCGGGGAGGGCTTGAGAATCACGCTGTTTCCAGCCAGGATTGCTGGAATCAGCACGTTCATTAGAATCAAGTATGGGTACTTGAGACATGGTGTGTTAGCCAATAACTGCGCGTCAAACGGTGGCCAAGGAGTCGACGGGTGGTTTGCTCACATTCCAAGGGAAGATGATGAGAACAGGGCCGACGGGTGCTCTTCGAATGAACCGCTTGAACCCTTTCTCAGGCTCGCCCTCGACGTCCTGTAAAACCTCATCGCTAATCTTGAGGAGATACACAGCCCTCTTGATGGCCGTGGTGATTTCCTTGGCCGTATAAGCGATGGGCCGGCCCATCTGGGTTGTCAATTCCAGGGCGAGCTCATCCTGGTTTTTTTCCAGGCTGTCGACGAATTTCTTGACAATGTCTTGTCGTTCCTTGAGAGTCGTCTTGCGGAATTTCTGGAAAGAGTCTGTGGCGACCTCAGAGAGCACCTTTAGATCGGTGGGACTCGGGCCATTGCGGGTGATGACAATCTCGTTGGTATTGGGGGAGACGGTATTGATGACCTCGACAGACATGGCTACGTATTCCTCGCAAGGGCAAACTGAGATTTGCGCAGAAGATGTAACAAGGAATATGAAGTCGGTTTATGTGAGATTTGGAATCGGAGTTGGAGAGGATAGGGAGGGGAAATGATAATGGCAGACCATCTGGAGAGCCGCGCCTGCCCGTCTGTCATTTGCCCCACGTCACCGATATCGTTGCCCCGCCATGTCCATTTTCCACAGTAATATTGCCTTCCAAGGCTGCTAGAGTATGGAGTAGCAGAACTTCCTAGCGATGCCTACAGTGGGCTCTACGTTGAGTGCTAATGGTATCTAGTGCTACCCACTACCACAGATACATATGTGCATGCCTCTATGGAAGACGGAGGTTTCAGTATAGATGTTAGCAAAGAGTAGCTCTAAGAGGTTAAGATCACGCAGCGATCAGCATAGTTTAGTTTTGGATATTGAAGTAGCCGCTGTTACAAGGAGGCTGCAATCGCTAACCTCGATTAGATACATTCTCCTGCTCCCTAACTTAACGCCTAAATTATAGTACATTATAGTATTGAGCAATGTAGGGTGCCTTCAGGTACAGCGCACTTTATTCTGCTGGGCACAGTGACGCAGTCTGATCCGATAATGCAGTGCGCCCCGCTACTGGAATAAGCATTGTCTTATCGCGATAAGGAACTTTTTTTTGTCAGAGCATCTGCTGAGCATTGAACCGATTTACTTCCATGATCTTGGAGTAAAGCAATACGCTTTGCAAGATACACATACGATGGCTGCTACGAAAGCCAATGAGTTTTTGGATGCGTCCGACAGCGAAGACGAGCAGCTCAACGGATATGATTCCGCAGATGAAGTAGCAAAGGGAGGACGCGGCGCAAAGAGACGGAGAATTAGCAGCGACGACGAGGACGACGACAACGATGATGGAGCGAGCGATAAGGGCCAGGATGACGACGCGGGAGACGAAGATGGCTCAGAGCCGACAGAGAAGGACGACGAAGATCAGAGGGGAGAAGGAAAGACGAAAGCAAAAAAGTTAAAGTCGAAAGACTTACCGCGCGTTGCTCAGCCCGCAACGAAGAAAAATCTTATTACAACAGACGAGGCCATTAAAAAATCCGGCGTCGTATATATTTCGCGCGTACCGCCCTTTATGAAACCCAACAAATTGCGCTCTCTTCTCGCCCCATACGGCACCATCAACAGGATATTCCTCGCCCCGGAAGACCCAGTCGCAAGAGCGCGGCGGATCAAGGGAGGCGGCAACAAGAAGAAGACATTTACCGAGGGCTGGGTGGAGTTTGTCAAGAAGAAGGACGCAAAGGCTGCCTGCGAGCTACTAAACGCACGGCCAATTGGCGGCAAGAAGGGGAGCTACTACCACGACGATATATGGAATCTGCTGTACCTCAGTGGCTTCAAATGGCACAATCTGACGGAGCAGATCGCCGCCGAGGACGCCGAGAGAACAAGTCGCATGAGGGCTGAGATTAGCAAGACAACGCGGGAGAACAAGCTTTTTGTTCGCAACGTGGAGAGGGCCAAGATGCTGGATGGCATGGAGGCCAAGGCCAAGGCGAAGAAGAGGAAAGCGAACGATGTTGCTGCGCCTGGCGAGGAGCCAAAGGAGGGCGTACGGACGTTTAGGCAGATTGCCAAGATCAGCAAGGGTGATGATACCAACGAGCAACCGGAGCGTGTCAACAGAGTATTGAGCAAAATCTTTTGATAGCCACTTTTGAAATAATTATTAATTTTTTTTCTCTAAATTTTCTTACACTCATCACCATCCAGTGGGTGATATTGCTACAGAAAGAAGTACAGTATCAAGCATCCATTGCAGGGTATCTCAGCTCGCTCGGGCAATTAATAAATCTCCAATTAAAACGGGCCTGAAGTGTTTTAAAAAGACTTGATATGAACGCTTAATAATACATATTTCTTTCATCCATCTTTTGCGGGAAGTCAAGCAGGGACAACTGCAGTCGGAAACTGCCGTCATATCTTGTTACTCTTTTAGTGCATGTCCCCGCGGATGACTCGACGAATGACTCAATATCGCACATTCTTCCCTGACTCTTAGCCCCCAGCCGCTACGACGGGATAGGCAATAAATTTTCAGCGGCCAAATGCAGCGATAAGGCATGGAATCGCTTATCAAGCAGCGGGGCAAAATAATTTTTGAACTCTTGGGTATATTGTATCAAACTACGGGCTTCAATCCAGCCTCGTAAATCATCCATCACCACCCACACCATTTTACATCGCATCGGTCTCATCAAGCAAAATGTCTATGGACCTTGATGATGCCGTCTCTATTGCGCCTGCGCAGCAGACGCATACGAGCGCCACGTAAGTACCCATCTTTGTCTCACAAGACCGATGTACCATTCCTATCTTTTATTATGGCTTCCTCCCCGCAGTATCCGTGGATGAATGAACAAAGACGTTGGCTCACAATAGTCTCCCCTGCAGAATCCTCTGTCACAACTGCGGTACTCCGATCGATGGAACGACAGCCACCGGCGCAACCTGCTACGACTGTATCAAGCTGACCAACGACATCACCAATGGAATCCAGCGAGAAGCCACCATCCAGCAGTGCAGAGACTGCGAGAGATGGATGTTGCCACCAGCAACTTGGATCGTCGCCATGCCCGAATCTCGTGAGCTTTTGGCTCTATGCCTCAAAAAGCTAAGAGGCCTGAACAAAGTGCGAATCGTCGATGCGAGCTTCATCTGGACTGAGCCTCACTCTCGAAGAATCAAAGTCAAACTGACGATCCAAGATTCTGTCCAATCAGGTGTGCTGCTGCAGCAGAGCTTCGAGATTGTATACGTCCTCGCACATCAGCAGTGCCCTGACTGTCAGAAGAGTTTCACCCCCAACCACTGGAGAGCCTGCGTACAAGTCCGGCAAAAGGTCCTGCACAAGAGAACATTCCACTTCTTGGAGCAGCTGATCCTGAAGCACGGTGCACACAAAGACACCCTCAACATCAAGGAAGCCAAAGACGGTATCGATTTCTTCTTCTCCGTACGAAACCAGGCGGAGAAGTTTGTCGACTTTCTCAACTCAGTCGTTCCCGTCAAGGTCAAGACCGCCCAAGAGTTGATTTCCATGGATACCCACACTTCTAAAAAATCATACAAATTCACCTTCTCCGCCGAAATTGTCCCCGTATGCAGAGATGACCTGGTTGCGCTGCCTATTAAGATGGCAAAACAGAGCGGCAACATTTCACCCCTCGTCCTCTGCCACAAGATTGGCACAGCAGTCTACCTGATGGACCCGCAAACCCTCCAGACCGCAGAAGTCAGCGCATCTCTCTACTGGCGTGCTCCTTTCACAGCTCTCGCCGACGCTATGGAGTTGGTCGAGTTCATCATCATGGACATCGAGCCGACCCCTACTCGAAATGGCAAGTGGTTGCTGGCTGAAGCGACGGTCGCTCGTGCATCCGACCTGGGCGTTAACGACAGGACGTACTTTACGAGAACACATATGGGAGGCTTGCTGCAGCCAGGCGACTCAGCGATGGGCTACCTGCTAAGCGGTACCAACTTCAACAACCCCGAGTATGATGCGATTGAAGAGTCCAACACATATTCATCGATAATCCCAGACGTCGTGCTAGTGAAGAAACACTACCCCAACCGCAGGAGGAATCGCCGCCGTAACTGGAAGCTCAAGCGTATGGCCAAGGATGAGGGTGAACTTTTACCAAAGAAGGCAGACCAAGAGCGTATGGATAAGGAGTACGAACTGTTCTTGCGTGACGTTGAGGAGGATGAGGAGCTTCGTGCAGCTTTGGCGGTATACAAGAACCCCAGAAAGGCCACCGATGAGGAGATGAGTGTAGCAGAGACGGATATTGACGGTGATGATGGCGTGCCTGGAGTGAACATGGACGAGTTGCTAGATGACTTTGATGAGCTCACCATGGAGGATTAGTATATGGGTTAATGAAACTTACAGCAATGAGATGTAATGAATATTATGTTTGATTCTCAATGCAGCCTTGTCTTTACTCTTGGAGAAGTCATAAATGTATCGCTGTGAAAGACTGCTTGTCACTGCCTTCATAAAGTTCCAGCTGGTGTTAAGGAAATAGATATCAGAAGAAGGACGGTATAGAACCGAAATCAATCGTCCTTGACTCTCCCTTGACTTCACGTTTGACGTCTGGTCGTTTGAACTGCTCTCTTGTCTTTTTTCTGTTCATCCTGCGCTCGTGCAGTCCAAAAAGGTCATCATCAAACTCGTCATCTAGACTGTGGACAGTAGTAGATTGGCGATCATTGTTGCTGCGATCTGAGTGAGAAATATTCGTGTGAGCTGTTTCTGTAGCAGATGAGGACGTGGCTTGGTTGCCTATATGAGGATTCGGTACAACGGTTCTGCTCGATGTAGTAGCTGGGCGTGTATGAGAGGGCTGTTCGAATTTGATCCTTTTGGTAGACGATGATATTGATGCTGGTGGCGATCTCGCTCGGCTTCGACGATCTCCCTGTGGCGAAGACTTGCTCGAGTAGCCCGCAGCTGCCCTCGTCCTGCTCGATGACGACGAAGCACTTGTAGACGGCATAATTATCCTGCCTTCCCGCCTCGGCGCCTCCATCAAGCCCCGCAGATTTGTCCTCGCCAGCGACGGCACGTTCTCATCGTCCCTTGCTTCTCCATCGCCCTCCAGTGTCTTACGCTGCTTCATATCCCGCTGAGCCAAGACGCTTCTCTGTCGTGCTCTCGCAGTCGGTACTGCATCCACCACAACTGGCCGCTCAATCTCGCGAATGGTAGCCGCGTTCTGAGCCTTTGCGAGTGTCTTGAGGCGATCGTACTCTGCTCGGTGGAGGTGCGCCGTGAAGCGCTGGGCGATGTGCAGAAACTCATCGTCGACCATTCTGTACTTATCGTCATTAAGTGGCCCTGGGATCATGAATCTAGCAGGGCATGAGTCAGTGAATCAAAATTGACAGGCGAGTGAAGGGGGCGTGCATCCACAAATAGATGAGTACACGCAACATGAAATGAGATGGGCGCGTACTGTTCATGAGGCCGCTCTGGAGGAGGCGAAGTCGATGGACTTCGAATAGGATCTACAAACAGTTTTTACTCTATCAGCGCTCGGGTTTCAAAGCATCTACCCATTTCCCATCTCTATTCCTACCCGAATCTAAGACGCGCTGAGCATATCTGCGCGACACGGGCGTTCGCAGGATATCGCGGTTGTCATTTTGCGCCGTCGATTTTGAGGCCGAGAAAAAGGCTCGAGGACTCTGAGCTGCTGGTTTTCTTCTTGTGTCGCTTGGAGAGGTCTCGCATGTCCTTTTCCAGGGCAGTTTTCGCGCCATGGTTGCTAGATGCTGTGCTTTATAGCATTGGAGATTCAGTTGAGCGGGCGCTTCGTTCACAGAGGTACTACTTAAGTTTTAGTGGCAGTTTGTAGGTACGTACCACTTGCGCATTCAGTGAGATGCAGTAAGCGACGCTGGTTCAAGAACATTTTCTTCAAGAAAGAAAGACTAAAAAAACACGACTAAATAAATAAATAAATAAAGGAATAAAGGAGAGTCACACATAAAGCGTTAATAATAGGCGTATTTGCATTGGCCGATGGCTGACATCAAAATGCAGACAGTTATTGAAACTTCGAGTGGGCGTTTATCACCAATAAGATATGTACACAGGAAGGGGGCAAAGAGATATTTATTATTGCACCAGATGAAGAGTGCGGCTAAACTGCTCACAGCCAACTGATAAGAGGTGGCATATTATAAACTCATACAACTCATTCTCTTCATCCCATATCAATAGAAGATACATAGCTGTCCCTTGCATTATTGTTTGTTGGTCTAAAAGGTTCTTCTCTCATCTCAATAGACAATAGACAGCCGTCTCTTGAATAGCCAGTCGTTGTTCAAAAGTTCCCTCAGGTCAACAGAAGATAGCCAGCCGTCCCTTGAAGAGTCGCTGGTTGGTCCAAAAGCTTTCCTGTTCATTCAATTACCCGTATACACGGTGAAACCTGGTTCTAGAGAATGATTTTCTGGCCGAGGATGAGAAGTCAGGCCGATAGGTCGAGCCATAAGCCATCGGGCCACAAGCTGTGCGTCAGGGGGCACAGTACCATTACTGCTAACCAGGTTCAAAAAACGAGAGACGCTGATGTGAAATAGAGGTTCGGGGTTTTCAATGAAAATTTGGAGTATACGACAACCTGTCCTGCTAAAGGATGCCATCAACAACTAGAAAACATATGAGTAGATTCTCTTTTCTTCAAAAGGTGGTAGAAGCACCTACGGGGTGAGTCAAATGCTGAATCCAACATCCTTGTACTATGCCCTCTCTCAATATCCTCGCAGCCATTAATATCTCGCTCCTCAATAAGCAATCATCAGGAGGTGTAATCGTATCAGAAACGATCACTATCGAGTGAGGTAATTCAAGACGTGTCTGCTCTCCTGTAACAATAGAAGGCAGGCTCACTCGCCAGTCGTATAGCATATATCGGTGACGAAGCTGTGCAAAAATCCTGTCTACATTGTATGTAGACAAGTCAGTCCTGATTGGACATCTAGAAAATCTTAGCTGAGTCGCTCATATGATGTCTAACATGTTTCCGGATTGACTCACCCGAACTTGGCCCAGCGGAGGAGTTCTAGGTCATCATTGCGGCTATCACGTTCATGTTCTTGTTCTTCTTCGTGGCCCTGATTCGCCAACAGCGAATAACATCTGCGAAAATTGTCTTCGATGTCGTCGAATAGCGGTATGTTTGTTCGGATCTGGCATCCCCTCCAGTGTTCAATGATTTCTGGCCTATTGAGATCCGGTGCTGGCCACCTGTTGACCTCATTCCACCTTTGCACCCGCTGTGTAGCCAACTGAATATCGGCGGGGCGAAAAAACCTGGGGATTCTGGAGGGTTCGTTGCCATTGGGCTCGTTGCCAATGGGCCCGTTGTCGACGTCTAGCCTGTCGCGAATAACACCTAGGCCCAAATGATGGAGGAAATAATCAGACAGAATTGGCCTATAATGCAAATTCTGGAGACGCCGCGTAAGGACTTCGGCGGCTTCGTAGAGCTTCTGGTGCCACTCATGCATTGGCTCCGGAAAAGCTCGAGGGTGCGGCCCCACGAACGCTGTGAACGAAGACATCCTTTGCCCCTTTGCGTTTTTGTGAGTTGTTCTCCCGTATATTTGTCCAAGAACGATGCTTAGTATTATGAGTGTACAGGTATCGCATCAAATCTAGGATGTGTCAGAGCATCTGCGGAGATTCGTGTTAGAAGTGGCTAACATCACAGAATGGAATGTTTATAGGTAGTCAACCAGCGTACAGGATAGTCTACTGCAACACTTCTTTCTAGGTAAGTAAGAACCTTGTTGGGAGGAAGTAAGAACCTTTTCACGAGGAAGCCGTCAGGCTCTACTTCCCTTGGAAAGGATATAACAACAACAAGCACGTGTATATCATGCAACATTTCCTCCAAGTTCGCTTCAGACTCAGAAGCTCCAGAGCTGGAAACACACGCATCTTCTGGCTGAATATGTGATATGTTGATAAATTAGCTGGTATTTGGCAGACATCTATTATATATCTTCTTCATCCATCCAGCTTTGCTTTTAGAAGTATTGCTTAGGTAGTTTACTCTACTAGTACCTCTCCTAACCTAGAGTTGCAATTTCTAATTGACTTGATTTGCCCTTTCCATTGCCCAAAGAAAACTAGTGTTGCGGCAATTGCGTGTAGTCTATTGACATTCATGTCGTTTGATACCTTACCTAGTGAACATGTTTAGCATGTGAATAGTACCCAGGCATTGAAACTCAAGACGTATGCTTTTATGGCTATTTTCCATAAAATATTTCAGCACAGATACGCCCTTTCGTTTCATGTACCATTTCTTGATTGACAGAAAGCGTTTCATGGATATTCCAAGACCTCATATCTTATCACCAGTGCAATATGCCACATTTATTGATGAAGGGCAGTTTTTTACGTGTTGTTTCCCCTTTACACTGAGGCCGACGTTGGAGCCACATAGAGGCACGGTGCTAGATACAAAAGTATTACCTGGATTTCTACCTACCTTACCTACCTAGCTCTCTATACACTTCGATTCGGATACAAGCAGTCGAGTTTTTAATCAATAAAAGTGAACGTAGGAATAATTAAGACGCTTAAGAAATGCGTTGTATATTAGATCGCTTCACATCCTGTCTGATAAACATGCGACCTAAGCATAACGTACTAGTAGTATCTGCAGTCGCACAAGCAGTTGCCAGCTACAGCCCCTCTACCCCGTAAGCCCCGCTAAACAAGGCCTGCCACCTAGGATTTCAGGCCAAGCTTTGGAATCTGAAGTTTAAATTCCAGTGCAAACAGCTCTGGTATTTTGTTGTTCTGTCCAGAAGTCGTGCAATAGGCATTTGTACAGAGTGCTGTCCTGATGCTCATGGTGTGATTATCGTTGCTGCCATTCCTTGCGATGCTGAACTTGGGCATTGAATCATCATGATTGTCGTGGCACTCTGTCGCCGAACCTCAGCGAGGCAATGCGGCCTCTTCAGCAGCTCAGTTTACAGGGCAGCGACTGAAGTGCGCTCATCAAAGAGGCTGTCTAGTAGGAACGTCAGCGGCACAAGGAAGCTAAGCTCGATGCTTGAAAACACCCGAAACATTGGTATCATTGCCCACGTTGACGCTGTAAGACTTGCATCGGCTCATCTTGTCTTGATTCTATAGCTCACAACCCGAGTAGGGCAAAACAACAACCACTGAGCGCATGCTCTACTATAGTGGTGTGACACAGAGAGTAGGAGGTGAGCCATGGGACTCCCCATATCTGGATAAACCGAGCTGATGATCTTAGATGTGGATTCGGGCAACACTGTGACTGACTTCCTTGAACTTGAGCGGGAACGCGGAATCACTATCCAGTCAGCCGCCATAACATTCAACTGGCCACTCGAGCGAGATTGCTCACCTGGGACAACACCAAAGACTATCAATTTGATTGATACTCCCGGGCATCAGGACTTTAGGTTTGAAGTTGACCGATGCCTACCAATCCTTGACGGGGCTGTGTGCATTATCGACTCTGTCAAGGGCGTAGAAGCTCACACAGAGCGAGTATGGGCCTCTGCTCAAGAATTCAAGATTCCGCGGATTGTTTATTGCAACAAGCTGGACCGTGAGGGTGCGTCTTTCAGAAAATCTGTCTTGGAAATTGGTTCTCGACTCAAAGGATGGCCATTGGTTTGCCAAATTCCTTGGTGGGAGAAAGAGGACTTTGTTGGTGTCATAGATGTCGTCGATGGCGTGGGATATCGATGGAAGAGCGAAAGGCAGAAGATTCGATTTGAGCCAGCCGAGCTCACGGAGATGCTTTCATCGTCAAACCAACCTTTATTGGCGGAGATTCAAATAGCACGGCAGCGTCTGATCGAGGGCCTCGCGGATTTTGACGAAGCCATAATGGACGAATTTTTGGCTGAAAACGATAACATTCCCGCCTCTCTACTAAAGCAGGCTATACGAAAGAGTATTCAAAATGGTGATGGTCGGGCCATACCTGTGTTTGCCGGTTCAAGCTTTCGTCACATTGGAGTTGAGCCTCTCATGGACGCTGTTGCAGACTATCTTCCCAACCCAGCGGAACGGCCAGACGCAGAGGTTCGTATTGGTAGTACCAAGAGCGAGTTGCGCGAAGCACTGAAGCAAAAAGGCAAACACACCATTGACCCAAACATTAGCTCAGTGGCCTCTGTCTTCAAAGTATTTGACCACCCCAAAGAAGGGGTCATCAGTTTTGTGAGAGTCTATCACGGAACTTTGACCCGGAATGCGCCAAGCTTCAACACTCATATGCTCACCCAAGAGCGGCCCATGGGTATCTTACAGATATCAGCGTCCAAGACTCACGATATCCAAGAACTCTCTGTTGGCCAAATTGGAGCACTGAGGGGGCTTAAGAAAGCGCGCACTGGAGATACCCTGATCACCATGGCAGGTGGCAAAGCTGTTCCTGAGCATTTGCGGCATATCCAAATCAGGCCACCTGAAATTCCGCCTCCCGTTGCTTTCCTACAAGTTGACCCATACGGGAATGTGGCGGCGCAGCAGCTAGAGATAGCATTGGAGAGTGCATCGCGAGAAGATCCAAGTCTGCGTTGGAGCAAAAACCCAAAGACCGATCAATTTACCATCCAAGGTATGGGCAAACTTCATCTGGATGTATCTCTCTACAATATGAGGCAAAAACACAAGATAGACGCCGAATTTGGTCCAATCGAGGTTGACTACAAAGAATGTGTCAACACCATGACTAATCCTCGAGAGGCTGTTTTTGATCGCCCGGTAGCCGGCAAATCAGGCAAAGTTACATGCTCCGTTGTCCTCAAACCTATAGAGGCAGAAGAACAGGAGACTCTGATGGAATCTGGCGTTGAAAAGGACGGCAACATTGTTCAAATCGAGATACCTATGGCGGGTAATTCCAGCGCCTTGCTAGTCGACATGGATGAAGCACGCCAACAACTCTTCAATGGGGCCATAGCTGGTTTAGCAAGAGGGCCTCGACGTGCGTCGCCGATACACGGGTGCCACGTCCATGTTACGCTGAATACAGCAAGCGATGCGCTGGAGACACCAACTGGTGGCCACTTTAGCAGTGCGGCAAAGACAGCAGTTCAAGCAGCTCTCCGAGATGCATTCGACAAGAGCCAGATCGGCATTGTAGAACCCATCATGTTGACGCATATCACCTGCCCCGAAGCGGCCGCAGGAACAGTCCAACACGACATCACGGCTGGTGCAGGTGGCCATATTCTAGAGGTCAACGACCGTTCTGCGGAGTCAGCTAGCGAAGAGCTCATTGACATTTCCAAGATTTATGCACCACCAGATCCCTATGACTCGATCACCTCGTTACGAGGGAAAAAATCCATTGCTCGGATGGTTGAAATTGTAGCGAAAGTTCCATACAAGGAGATGCTGAATTACGATGAGCATTTGCGAAGCAAAACGGCAGGTCGTCATTCTATGACCATGTCGTTTGATTCTTTCGCAAAAGTGGTTGGCCATCGCGAAAAGGATATTTGAAAAGCTTATGAGGCAAGCGCAACAATACAGCTGACGCGGACGTGATAGCAGTACATTATTCGAATGTAGTAAAAAGAAAACCAACTCGACCAAACTGGGATTGAGACGCAGCATTATTGACCATTTACTCACCCGGAATTAAAAAGCTGTTGGAAGAGCATATGCTTTCCCTAGCAAAACACAGGCCCACAGAGAAAACGTTTCGAACATTGATGAGGAGGCAAGATACTAAGTGCAATGTACCGCATGTAACGCGAGCTGGAAGCCTCGATCTTCTTGGCTGGCCGTATCGGGGTATTCGATCCAAGAGATCTATACTGCTCTAGCTACCGGAATATGTATCTCAACGCCAAGAAGTCAGGCAAATTGATCAACCCACGGGGCAAGAGGGGCGAGCAAGCTTCGCATGACGCCGCCTCTAATGGAGACTGGGATACAAGGGAGTGGAAGAAATCACGACTCATTACCGTTCCCTGCCCGGGGCAGCTACCAGTAGCCACTGTGGGCGAAGTAGATGATATCACGATCACGAGCGAGATTTGAGAGATTTAACCGAGTAGTAGTACTATATTACTGAGCACGGGGCATGGAGATTGGAGTCTTCACAGCATGTCGCTCTCTTTACGGTATGACTTGGCAGGCAGCTATTGCGCAGAGTATCTTACTACGGAGTGCCCCGAACAAATACTACTTACCTAGTACTATCACTCACCGTACCGTACTGTACTAGATACTTCGCCTCAAAGACGACAGAGACACTCCCGGCTTTTGCACAAGCATCGCCTCTGGGGTTGGGGCTGCTGAAGTCTGGACTGGGTTTAGCTAACCCTCTAGTGGTATATGGAGAACTTGGCCAACTTGGTCCAGCTTACAAGTACAACGACCCTTTGTGGGCGTTCATGCTCGTGTTAAGTGGAGCACATCGTCTACTGTAAGCAAAATCTCTATCCCTGCAACCCCATGCGAAAAAAAGGAGAGGCCGTGTCTAATCGAATCCGAACTAGCTTGGGTTACAGGGAGACTGAGCAGCCATAGCTGCGGCAACAAAAGACATTGAGAATTCTGGCTCGTTTTAAGTTGTTCCAAGCTGAGATTGGGACGAGTGCCACCAACATCTCCAAGTACCTACATACTGTATGAGAGATGTTTGTCCCTGATAGGCAATTAGTAAGGACACCTCGTGGGGTAGCGCGGTCAGCCTTGTTTGTCCTAATAACGGCGAAGCTGCTGGGGGATCAGCAAAGACGCAGCGACGATTCGGAGCTTTCCGCCAAAAACTATCGCCTTAGACGGCGCCGATCAACCTCTTCTCCTGATCCGCCGCTGATGATATCGCCGCGATGATGTGTTTGCATGCGCAGTATACCCGAGCAGAGTTACTGTAACGGATACCCTTGTGGTGCGACAGTCGGCAGCCATATTGATACCGCGACAGAAAGTCCGGTCGTCAGGGGGCGGACGTTGCTCTCCCTTTGCTTCTGGAGCGCCGCGCTAATATACAGATTCCACTCAGGAAAACGACGCTGCTATTGCTATACTACAGTATTACTACCTACTATGCACCAAACCGAGCACTGCTACGTACTATTGACAACTAGCACGGCATCGCTATATAATAGTTGTGGCAGCAATCCTGTTGGCTTATTGTTTGGCTGTCCGGCGGCGAGCCGCCTCGTCTACACATGTGCTGATGTTGCCCCCGACGCAGCACAGCAGCTCTCGCTAACTGGATTTGACCGCGGAGGAAAATCATACCCTGTCTAGCTCGTGGATTATGGGACGTGCTCCCGTTGCAGTCAATGCAGCGTTCGATACGTATCTCATACTAAGAGGGCCTTAATTTCCTTTGGCCCTGTCCTAGTGGCTGGCTTGGTGGCCGGTTTCCCAGGGGAGAAGCAGGCCGCATGCTGATTGGCTCCCGTGTTGTTTAATTTCGACGCGCTCATCCCACGGATCCACACAGCTGGACAGGCATCACAGCAAAAGCCCATCTTCAGCGAAGCGGCGGTCGAGGCATTATTAGCCACGAGCTTGCAGCAATACCACTACTATGCCGAACTAACCACAGTCAATCCCTTCCTTTTTGCCTGCCCACCGTTGCCCTGCTCGCCGAGGGTCCCTCTGTCGCTCTTTTCATAGATCTTCTCGACCGTCACCGCTGTCTCTCTCTTTTTTCCTCCGTTTTCCGCGTGTCGTGTCGTGTTGTCGCTGTTGTATAGACGAGCCTTCTTTTGCCGTCGCCTCTGTCACTCTTTGGTTGATTGTTTGCATAACACAACCTCTAATCGTTCTGTTTGTTCGAAACCTCGAATTCCGAGCGTCGTACTCGTCCTTGCCGAGCGACCTCTTGTCTCTCTTTCTCGCTAAACCCGCTATCACGACTTACACATTCGTTTTCCTCGCGGCACCATGAAGGTTACAGACGTTCAGACCGCCTTCGCGTCGGCGGTTGTGCTTCTCTCGCTGCCCGCCGGCACAGTCGCCTCATCTCATCGAAGAATTCACCAGCTTCCCAACAAGAAACACACCCATTTGCGTTCTCACGCTGTTGAGGATGCCGACTCCATTGTCAAGCGAGGACAATGCGCGTTCCCGACTGATGATCCTAACCTCGTTGCTGTCACCCCCGATGAGCAGAATGCCGGCTGGGCTATGAGCCCGGATCAGCCTTGTAAACCGGGAAGCTACTGTCCGATTGCCTGTAAGCCAGGCATGGTTATGGCACAATGGGATCCCGATTCCTCATACACTTACCCAGCTTCAATGGTGAGTTGTTACCACAAGGCTGAGAGAAAGAGAATCTCATTATTCCTGACTGCTAACTCTTCTAGAATGGAGGACTGTTCTGCGATAAAAGCGGCACTGTCCACAAGCCTTTCCCCAATAAGCCTTACTGTGTTGAGGGTACCGGCTCTGTCGTAGCTGTCAATAACTGTGGTGAATCGATGTCTTGGTGCCAGACAGTTCTGCCCGGTAACGAGGCGATGCTTATCCCTACTGAGGTCTCATCTTCTGCTACCTTGGCTGTTCCTGATACTAGCTACTGGTGTTCCACTGCCGCTCAGTAAGTCTTCTTTATAACAAGAAAAATGTTTGCCTCGTATAACACAAACTAACCTACAAATCTGTAGCTACTATATCAACCCTCCCGGAAGTACCGCTGCGGACTGTGTTTGGGGAACCTCAAGCAAGCCAGTTGGCAACTGGTCTCCCTATGTTGCCGGAGCCAACACTGACTCCAATGGCGAAACTTTTGTCAAGATTGGCTGGAACCCCATCTACACAGGCTCTTCTTTGATGAGCACCCTGCCCACCTTCGGCGTCAAGATTGAATGCCCTGACGGTGGCTGCAACGGGCTGCCCTGTTCGATCTCACCCAACTCCTCTGGTGACGTCGACAGCAAGGAGTCTGCCGTTGGCGCTGGTGGCGCGTCATTCTGCGTTGTCACTGTTCCCAAGGGCGGTACTGCTAACATTGTGACTTTTAACACTGATGGCAGCTCCGGCTCCGGCTCCGGCTCCGGCTCCGACTCTGAGTCCTCGTCTTCCTCATCTGCCGAGCCAAGCTCTACCATTGCCGAGCTCAAGGCCGGTGGCTTTGCCGCCCAGGCAGAAAAGGCCACATCGACTACCGCCGCCGCATCATCCACTGAGGTATCCTCCACCGTGCCAGCCTCAACAGAGGCATCAACAACCGCGGCAGCTTCTACCACGGCTGCGGAGTCGACGACAGTACACACCACCGAAGCCACAACCGCCGCTACCTCGGTTGCGAGCGAGACCGCCGTTAGCTCCACAACCGCCAAGGCCTCTTCGAAAACCGCGACTTTTGCTCACGCTCGTCCGTCGGTGAACCCCGGCATGTTCCACGAGAACGGCACATCATCCCAGACCACAGCGGCACCCGTTGGACCTTCACAAACCCAGGCTGACTCTGCTCCGGTTACTACGACTACTAAGAAGGGCGAAGCTGGCCGCCAGCAGGGCAGCCCTGCTTTTGCAGGCCTAATTGTTGCCTTTGTTGCCGCTGCTTGTTTCTTTTAAAGAAGAGAATGAAGAGAAAAGAAAAAAACATGATTGATGGCAAAGTTGGCCTTGTTAATTGTATCTCCGGCAGACTTTGTATCTTCACATCTAACTTCAGTGTCTATGTCACATTTTGTCGGCTGCAGCTTACATATTTTCTTTGTTTAGATGCTGCTCTAGACTTTATATCACTTGACGCGATTTTTTTTCTTCACCTTTTCTCTCTCTCGCTTCGCAAACTTGGGCTGTTTGATTCCCCCTTTCCTCCCTGTCACACCACTATTGATATTCTTGGGCTGCCATATCTGCATATGGCTGTACTTTCTTTTTATCTTACATACCGTTTATTATATGCTTATATGCTACACATATAAACTAACATGCCCCCTGTTGGGCAATTAGTGTTTATTGTCTTTGGGGAGATTTGGAAAGATGTTTTCGTGTCTGGGATCTTGCCACCAGCCTTCCAGTCAAAAACAGCCTCCCTTTCACCCCACCTCTCTTCTCTTCTTATTATGATGCCAGAATACGCTGGAGCACATATCTTTATACTTATTACGATTTTTTTATTATCTTGTTGTTTTTACTTTTCTTTGCCTTCATTTTGTCGTCGATACCCCTCTTCAGCAGTAAGAGAATAATTAAAACCAGCTTTTACGAAACTTGGAGGACAAGAAGGACACCAAAAAAAATCAAGGAGGGGGAAAGCGAGCGATTCTTTTTTCTTTATTTTCTATTTTTTCTTACAATCCTTTTTTTTGTCCACATTTCACGATGAATGTCTTTTGGAGGAGGGCTTGAAGTGGGTTTTTATTTGGCTATTTCTTTTTCTTCTTCATCTTTTTATCTTCATAATTTTTTTGTTTCAAAAGACGGAGGGCGAGAGATTAGGAGGGGAGGGATTTCAAAACAAACAAAAGCTAAGAGGAGATAGAAGAAAAGAAAGACAGAAATAGCGCAAATTAATGAAGTTTACGTTTCTCAAATGCAGTCGGCAGCCAATTCACAAACACGTAGATGAGCTAATAGAAAGAAGTAAGGGCACTATTGGGAGATGAAGGCAAAGTGTACTTTTATACCGTAGCTTGTATTGTCTCATTACAGGCGTAGTTAGCGACATTGACCGTTTTAGGGGGGTATCATTTCGTTTTCTTCTATGGTAATTAGCTATACAGTAGACGACACCATGCTATGGAGTTGTTTAGCGCCGGCGGTTAAAAGAACCTTTTCTTCCTCTTCCCCCAATTTAGGAACTTTGTATTGCCCTAATTAGCCAGACATCATGCGCACCCCTCCTCATAATGTCACCCAGCCAGGAACCTGATCCAGATCAAAGTCATCATCATATCTCCTCTCTTTTATCGTCTGCCAAACATTTGGCCATCCAGCCAGTACAGGGCTGCCTTTTGCTTTTGCCCCGATGATGGCAAATCGGCCTTGGCTGTGCGCAACAAAACCATGCATGAAACCCTGTTGGACGAGCGTGGCGACTGTCATTTCAACGTCCTCGTAGGTGACCTGTGCGTTACCCCATATGAGCCCCTCGTTAGGGCGCAACTTTTGGGAGCCGTTTGGGGGAGGCATAAGAGTGGTCTCGTGGGAGGATTGAATGTTGTTTTTAAGGGCTTTCATGAAGACAGGATTGGCTTGTGATGGCTGACCGCGTAGGCGCGGGTTATAGGGCTGCCAGCCTTCGAGGCGATGCTGAACATAAGTTGCTACGGTAAGCAGATGGGAGAGTTCAAGAGTTGCTGCTTTGCGGGATGAAGCGTCTGTCGGAGGGACGTATGTAAGGATAAATGTCTTGCGGGTGAGACTCCTCCAGAGAAGTGGCCGAAGGCGATTGGAGAGTGGTAAGAGAAGACCCTTTCCTAAGAGCCATGATTCGTGTGCCGCAAGGTGAGATTGGAACTGCATAAAATTACCAGAGCGAATGGCCATACACAGTGGAAGGAATATTGGTTTTAGTGACTGTGCCTCCGGTCGTGATGTAAGTGTGTCCGAGGGGAATCGCCCGAGAAGAAGATTCGAGGGGATGAGGTAGGTGAGAATATTGCAACGATGAGAGACGAGCTGTGGAGGAGTCTGCAAGTAAGCCTCTTGTAGACAGAGAGCAGCGCGGTGATAATGCTGATTGGAGAAGTTGAAGCGGCCAATGTAGTAGAGAAAAGTGACGCGCTGAGCGGCGGGATAGAGCGAGAGCGGAGGTGATATGCTCTCAATGTTGACGAAGATCATTTTGGCTAGTTGAGTTCTTCGACACTATTGGACATAAGAAAATCGAAATTAGAAGACAGCATTATAAAAGAAAGGCAGAACGAAGCATACCGCGAACAAAAGTTTGAGAACAAGATTGGCAAACATGTAAATACCAACCCGCTTCCCTTCTGGCTTACTCGTACGAGTGCCTGACCTGTCAGTCAAACAAGTCGTAAAGATCTTTTGAATGATCTCAGCAGAAGACTCGGCGACGGATTTGCGGTTATCATCATCCACGACGCGAAGCCGACGAGTGAGATCTGGGCGGCGGTTGAGGTTCATGGTGAGACGGGCAAGAGTCTCAGACAAGGACATGCTGACTTGAAGCAGCATTGAGCCGTACGTAGGATGGGCAAACGCGGTGGAACAAGAGCTGCAGAGGTTTTGTTAGTGGTAGGTAATCAAGGATATAGTCTATGAGTATTCTGTTTGTACACCCTGGCTGCTGATTCTATGATTCAAATGAACAAGACTCACTTTGCCAGTCCGCTGAGAAGCTGATGTGCCCCTAACAAGTCTGAGAAATCAACATCTCGCCAGTAGGTCAAGTAGTCCTTCAAAAAAGCCAACAGTCCCGGCCACGACGTTGCCTGTCCCTCTGGCAGGTCGTCCTGCTGCGGAAGACGATCCTCGACAATCTTATCAATGGCATCCTGGCGGCTAAACTTGGAACGCAGCTCAGCTGCCAGGTCGTGATACTGCTTTGGTGACTCGGGCTCTACTTGGAGCCATGACCGGAGGAGATCGCCTTGCTGGCTGCGGACTTGCTGCTGTATTTGGGAGAGGAATTGAGAGACTAGAGACATGATTTATGCAGAAAAAGAATGAAAAATCCCCATTTGGTGATGGATTGGGATGGGAGAAAAGAGCGAAGTTGAGAAGTAGAGAGAAAAGGTCTAGATAAGGTAGGTAGGATACGTATTGGATGAGTGAGTGAGAAGTCGCGTTGAGGTGAGGCTGGTGTTAAAGACGGTCTGATGTGGCGGTGCAGTGTGGCGCATGGTCACTTAGAGCACAGCTACGTATTCTGGATGCTGAACCATTGGCTGGATTACTGGTCCTCCAACGACATTGCGAGAGTGCTAATCCAGCACGTAGTTGAATGTTGTCTCATGATATCTTGGTACTTTGACAGTAATCACTCCCAATGTCATAATAATATTTAATCATCATTATTCTAAAATTACATGGCCTTTGCTAACTGAATATCCTAATTTGCACAATCTTCCCTTCCCATGCTATATACTAGGTATGTTCTCTTTTGTCCTTTTTCTCTCTTCTTTTTTCTTTTAATTTCATCTTTTTACTTTCTTTAGACAGAGTCAATTCTCTGCACAACCACAGCAGTGGCACCACCACCTCCATTGCAGAGAGCAGCAACGCCATACTCGCCAACCTTCAGCTGGTGGAGCAGGGTTGTGAGGATTCGAGATCCAGAGCTGCCCAAGGGATGGCCGAAAGAGAGGCCACCTCCCAGAGGATTCACGCGAGCATTCTCGAGGCCGAGGATCATCTTGTTGGCCAAAACAACGGCGGCGAAAGCTTCGTTAATCTCCCAGACGGCAACCTGATCCTTTGTGATTCCAGCACGCTCCAGGGCAATGGGGATGGCCTTGGCAGGGGCGATGGGGAAGTCAATGGGATCCACCGCGGCATCGGCGGAACCGACAATCTTGGCCAAGACGCGAGAGCCAGCTCCGTACTGCTGTGCGATTGCCTTGTTGCCCAGAACCAGAGCGCTGGCACCGTCGTTGAGAGTTGACGAGTTGGCAGCGGTGACGGTACCAGTTCCGTCACGGACAAAAGCGGGCTTCAGAGTAGGGACTTTCTCGTACTTGATATCCTTGTAACCCTCGTCTTCCTTGATAACAACTTCTCCCTTTCTGGTCTTGACGGTGACGGGAACGATCTCCTCAGCAAAGGCATTCTCAGCCCAAGCCTTTTGCGCTCTCTTGTATGACTCGATGGCGAACTCATCCTGCTGCTCTCGTGTAATCTTGTAAACCTTTGCCGTGTTCTCGGCGCAGTTGCCCATGGGGAATTTGTTGTAGACATCGGTCAGACCATCCTTGAGAAGACCGTCTTCGGCAACAGCATGGCCATACACCGGCATGAGGCCGCCACGGGGAAGGTTGAAAGGAACCCGAGACATGTTCTCCATACCACCGGCAATCTGGGCCTCGGCCAGACCCAGCTGGATGTTCTGTGCGGCGAAGACCACGGATTTGAGACCAGAGGAGCACACCTTGTTGATGGTGATGGCCTCAACATGCGTGGGGAACCCAGCGAGGACGGCGGCCTGACGAGTGGGAGCCTGGCCCATGCCGGCCGCAAGCACGTTGCCCATGTAGATGTCGGTAATCTTTTCCATCGGAACTTTTGACTTTTCGAAGGCGGCCTTGATGGCGGCAGCGCCAAGCTCGGGAGCAGGCACGGTCTGGAATGAGCCATTGAACTGGACGCAAAAGAAGAAATGTTAGCATGAATCCGTATGTAAGTGAATACTTCGTGGTATCAAGTAACGAACCTTGCCTGTCGCCGTTCGAGCGGCGCTCAGAATGTAGGCATCTTGGATTTCTTTCCTCATCGCAGAGCTGGTTGAGAACTGGCGAGCCGGGCTCACATGGCTGGCGATTTGGCCGAGGCGCCGGGCCGTTCTAAGCTGAGCGCTGGACATTGTTGTGGATATGGAAACTTCAGAAGATGCAAAAGGAGAAAATGCGCGACTCGCAAGCGCAAAATATCAAAAAGACTTGATTGGAGAAGAGAGAGAAGGAAAAAGCGCGAATTTGGAGTAAGACGTCGGCAAACTCAAAGAAAAAGCAGCTGAAAGTTGTTTTATACGGTCTGTCGGCACAGGTGCAGGAAGAGGAGCTGCTGAGCCGCGGCGGTATGTCTCGGCTTAGAGCGGGGGAAATCAGCCGAGCTCCGTTTAAGCCGGTGGTGAGACGGCAGTAACAGAACTTGGCGGGAACTGATGGGTGATTGCGGGGGATTAGAATTAGAATTTGGACCAAATGGGATTGCAAAAGCCGGGGAAGGGAATTGAGAATTAGAATTCCGTGTATCATCGAATTTCCCTCCATCTATGACATGTGCTCTTACAGTACTATTCTGGGGTCCGTCAAACATGCATCAACTGCATCAAATGCATCAAATGCTCTATAAGCCTGTGTGCTACTCGTACTTACTGCCTAATACTGCATCAGCTCGGCACGTTCACGTCAGCGGACCCGCGGCAGCAAAAACGGAATCCCTTTTTCAACGGAATGGAATCATCAGTAAACAGCCGCAGCGGCCGCCACAAGATCCAGCAAGTCGGAAACGCTGTGGCGTTGCTCCACATCGCTCGCCACAGCTCAATCTTTCGTCGCCATCTCCAGTTTACGTCTTTCGCCTTTGTTCGCGATGTTGATGCGCTGTCACATGATCATGACTAATCTACTCAATCGCTGACCCGCCATTGGCTCTGATTAGTCGCCCATCAATTGCTGCCCATTATTATCTAGTGCTGCCATCACGCTTGACTCGTGAGCAAGTTCCAGCCTTTGATCAACTTCTTCCAGCGCAGAAAAGACTTGCCGACATATCACCAAACATATTCCAATCTCTTCTTCGCCTATATCGGGTCTTCAGTCGTTTCTTCTCTTTTTCCCTTGCTCGCAGCGAACCGAGGCATCCGGATCGCAAAGCTCGACACTGCTCAGCTCGCTCTACTTTCGATTCCCAAATCAGATCCATCTGCAACCATGTCAACGGCTGCCCGGCGTCGCTTGATGCGCGACTTCAAGGTATGTCCATCATGGCCTTGTTTTGCCTGATCTTTGGCACTCTCTAACTGTTCTTTCAGCGCATGCAGACCGATCCTCCTGCTGGGGTGTCAGCCTCTCCCATTCCCGATAATGTCATGACCTGGTGGGTTTGCCCCTCATCTCTCCGCTACCGGCAGAGAGTTCTATCAAGAGCCAATTCCTGACCACATTCATCTCCAGGAATGCCGTAATTATAGGCCCGGCGGATACACCTTTTGAAGATGGCACATTTCGACTTGTCATGCAGTTTGAAGAGCAATACCCCAACAAGCCTCCCCAGGTCAAATTCATCAGCCAAATGTTCCACCCCAACGTATACGCCACCGGCGAGCTGTGCTTGGACATTCTGCAAAACCGATGGAGTCCGACGTACGATGTCGCTGCCGTCTTGACTAGCATCCAGAGGTATGGACACAGACATGTGTGATGGAGTGGATTCTATCTCATCTGTAGTCTCGATGCATTTTTGGCTAACTTGAGCGAATCATTGCGCAGTTTACTTAATGACCCCAACACTGGTTCACCAGCGAACGTCGAGGCCTCGAATCTCTACAAAGACAACAGAAAGGAGTATACTAAGCGTGTCCGAGCAACGGTCGAGAGCAGCTGGGAAGACTAAAAAAGAATGACATCAAGATGGGGTACTTTGGAATTATGTGTGCCCAAGGCTTCACACGAATCCCTGGTCCATAACAGCATCTGAAGTCGGACTGTGGACTCAGTTTGTCAGATTTTTGTGATGTGACATGCTGTCCACGAGAGGCTGGAGCTTGGTAAAAAGATGGAGAAGTTTCATTGCAGGCGTTTTGGTGCACGAGATTGAACTGGTTATACCAAGGGAAGGAGGATGAATGCTCGCTTTCTCACGATTTTTTTTTGGGTTTATTTTCTCCTACAGTAATCTAGCGTTTGTTTTTGGTATCCTCGTCATCGTGGCGTGGATGGCTGGCGAACGAGACATACCTAGGTAGTTATTCAGCAGCGATGAATTGCCAAACCCCCCCTTTTTTCCAAACTGTTTTTCTTTTTCTCTCCTCTTTCCCTTATAAGATATTGAAATGAAGCGGTAAGTATTTGATGTGATGATGACGGTATATGTGACTTGAACAGCCATGCTTCTCTCCAATTTCAACAAAGCCTACAGGTTGAACTTGACAAACCAATTTTCTTATTGGGACAGTCTCTGGCCATGTATAAGAGTAGAAGAGAATAGAATGGGCATCGGGCACCGGATTTCAGGTCTGCCCGTCAACACGATTCAGCCACTCACATGTGTCTGCACCAAGTTGGGTCAAACGCCAATCCCAATCCATTGCCTGTATCAGCCACCGGCCACTAGCCACTCAGACACCTTTGAGAGCAGCTTCATGATGACACGCTAAGACAGAAGAGAACACGGTTGGCTGCAATCCAGCCCCTGACAGACTCGACGACGATTTTTTTTTCTTTTTCTTTTTGGTTTCCACTGACGCCATGGCATTGTAGAATGACAGACGCACATACCCAGCAGATAGCACCGCTTCACTCGATGAAGATGGTCATCTATTAAGTAGTTAATTTACATTGGATTTTGAACTTTAAATTTTGAACCCCCTCTATGTTGAAGCTTCTCTAGGCCCAGGTACAAGTTGGCATCCAGTCTGTTAGTCTATCGGTGGCACATCTTTAGGCGGCTGACCTCCAGCAAGCAGCCCCTCACCCTCCTCATCTTCAGGGCTTCTGGCGGCACCTTCAACCACCACGCGGCGACTGCTTTTAGCGCGCTTGTCACCACCGAAACAACCACATTGGCCCTGAACTTTTGGGCCCCTCCCCGCCAACCCTTCCCAGACCGCCGTTCCTATTGCATCCCTAGAACCTCTATTTGTCTTGTGTCTTTTGCATTTTTTTTTTCTTTTGACCTCTTCTCTTTTTTCCTCATTCTTCTTGTTTCTCTCCCCCCTTTTTGCCCCCTTAAACACTGATCCTGCGGCGGGGTTTTCTTGTTTCTTTCCGTCGCTCGCAGCTTCGGTTAGCGATTGCCCGCCTTTGTTTTGTTTCTTCTTTTTGCGCCCCTCTCTCCGTCCTCGGTGGAGCAGCTATCGGAGCCCGCCATTTGGGATCAAGAGAGGACAAGAGAGAGTCTCTGCCAGGAGATAGCGACTTCTCCTCTTCCCAAGATCGACGGCCTTGCTTGATATCGATCCAACCGCCCAACGCCAACCGCCCGTCATGTCAAACAACACCATCAAGGTCGTCGCCCGGTTCAGGCCCCAGAACCGGGTGGAAATCGAATCGGGCGGCAAGCCAATCGTCGCCTTCAGCTCGGAAGACACTTGCACACTTGACGTATGACTCTCCTCTACCTGAAAGATCACATCAAAGCTCACTGTAGAGCCGCGATGATGGTAATAAAGGCTCTCTGCTAACCGTGGCCATGCTTGCTGTAGTCCAAAGAGGCGCAGGGTTCCTTCACCTTCGACCGAATCTTTGACATGTCAAGTAGACAACAAGACATCTTCGACTACTCCATTCGCCCAACCGTCGACGATATTCTCAATGGCTACAACGGTACCGTCTTTGCCTACGGCCAGACTGGTGCTGGTAAATCATACACCATGATGGGCAAGATGGACGATCCCGAGCAGAGGGGTGTTATTCCGCGCATCGTCGAGCAAATCTTTGCCAGCATCATGTCCAGCCCCAGCACCATCGAGTACACTGTCCGTGTCAGCTACATGGAAATTTACATGGAGAAGATTCGTGATCTGCTAGCCCCTCAAAACGACAATCTCCCCATCCACGAGGAGAAGAACCGCGGAATTTACGTCAAGGGCCTTCTAGAAATTTATGTCTCCAGCGTCCAAGAAGTGTACGAAGTGATGAGAAGGGGAGGTGATGCCCGAGTGGTCTCTTCCACCAACATGAACGCAGAGTCATCACGATCTCACTCCATCTTCGTCGTTACCATTACCCAGAAGAATGTCGAGACTGGTTCGGCCAAGAGCGGTCAGCTGTTCTTGGTTGATTTGGCTGGTAGTGAAAAGGTCGGCAAGACGGGTGCCAGCGGCCAGACGCTTGAGGAAGCCAAGAAGATCAACAAAAGTTTGAGTGCCTTGGGTATGGTCATCAACGCCCTGACCGACGGCAAATCACACTTTGTTCCCTACCGAGACTCTAAATTGACCCGTATCCTCCAAGAATCTCTGGGTGGTAACAGTCGAACTACTCTCATCATCAACTGTTCTCCCAGCAGTTACAACGACTCTGAAACTTTGGGAACGCTGAGATTCGGTACCAGAGCAAAGTCTATCAAGAACAAAGCCAAGGTCAATGCCGAGCTCAGCCCGGCAGAGCTCAAGGCTCTGCTCAAGAAGGCCCAAGGCCAAGTTACCAATTTCGAATCTTACATTTCCAATCTCGAAGGCGAAGTCCAAATGTGGCGAGCTGGAGAGTCTGTGCCAAAAGACAAGTGGGTTCAGCCCACTGTCGAGGGTGTTGCTGCAGCCAAGGCTGAAGCAAAAGCACCACGGCCATCAACTCCTTCACGGCTTACAGAAAGCCGCTCAGAGACTCCCATCGCTTCTGATCGTGCTGGCACCCCCAGCATAACGCTAGAGAAGGATGAGCGGGAAGAGTTCCTGCGCCGCGAAAATGAGCTGCAAGACCAGCTTACAGAGAAAGAATCGCTAGCTGCGACGGCCGAGAAGCAGCTTCGCGAAACCAAAGATGAACTTGCTTTCTTGAAGGAGCACGATAGCAAGATAGGCAAGGAGAATGAGAAGCTGACGACAGAGGTGAACGAATTTAAGATGCAGCTGGAGCGGCTAAACTTCGAGGGCAAAGAGGCTCAAATCACCATGGATGCCCTCAAAGAAGCCAACTCGGAACTCACCACTGAGTTGGACGATATGAAACAGCAATTGTTGGACGCCAAGATGAGCGCTAAAGAGACGGGTGCTGCCCTTGATGAGAAGGAAAAGAAGAAGGCCGAGAAGATGGCCAAGATGATGGCTGGCTTCGAACTTGGAACTGATGTTTTCAGTGAAAATGAGCGATCGATTGCTGAAACTATCAAGCACATTGATACCCTGCTCGAACAGAGCTCAATCGGCGATCACATTGCACCAGACGAGTTCAAGGCACTCCGAGCAAAGATGGTCGAGACCCAGGGCATCGTGAGACAAGCAGAGCTGTCCATGTACAGCGGATCTTCCAACGATCTGGATGCCCGACGGAGGCAGGAGCTTGAGGCTAGGCTGGAAGCCTTGCAACAAGAATATGAGGAAGTATTGACACGCAATCTCAGCGAGACCGATGTGGAAGAGGTCAAGGCACGACTGGAAGCCGTCTACGCCAAACGCGAGAAGTCTGAGACTCAGCTTGTCGAAGAGCTCAAGGCTGATTTGAACCAAAAGGCTTCTGAGAACGCAAGGATGAAGACTCTCATCGACGAGCTTCAGCAGCGCGTCAAGGCTGGCGGTGCCGGTGCCATGGCCAACGGCAAGACTGTCCAACAGCAGATTGCCGAGTTTGACGTGATGAAGAAGAGTCTCATGCGAGATTTGCAAAACCGCTGCGAGCGTGTCGTCGAGCTGGAGATTTCACTCGACGAGACCCGCGAGCAGTACAACAACGTGCTGCGGACATCCAACAACCGTGCTCAGCAGAAGAAGATGGCCTTCCTGGAGAGGAATCTGGAGCAGCTTACCCAGGTTCAACGCCAGCTGGTTGAGCAGAACTCTTCCTTGAAGAAGGAAGTTGCCATTGCCGAGCGCAAACTCATTGCCAGAAACGAGCGTATCCAGAGCCTGGAGAGCCTGCTGCAAGACAGCCAGGAGAAGATGGCAACTGCCAACCACAAGTACGTATCACCCATTATCTTCCCCTTTTTTTCTTTCTCTGAGACGGCAGCATATCCTCCATGGATTGCCAGTAAAAGAAACATGATAAAACGCTTGGTGCTGACCTAGACTTCCCCCATCTCTAGGTTCGAGGTCCAACTTGCTTCCGTCAAGGAACGCCTCGAGGCTGCCAAAGCTGGCAGCACCCGCGGCCTTGGTGGTGCCGGCGGCTTCAGCTTCTCTGGCGCTGGTAGCCGCATCGCCAAGCCTCTACGTGGCGGCGGCGGCGATGCCCCTTCGACCCCCACGATCCAAGGTGGCGATGGAACCAGCAGCAAGCGCGGTAGTTGGTTCTTCAACAAGTCGTAGATATCTTTTTTCTAAGAGAAAACCTGCGTTCTTCCGGTACGGCGTTATGACATACACTAGATGCAAGGTTTTTTATGAAACTACACACATTTTAGAGACCACCATACCAACAAGACTCTGAACCCCTGAACCCCTTAACCCTCAACCCTCCTCTCACTCACTCTCTTCTCTTTGTCCACTCTTCCTTCTTTTCTCTTTCGTTCTCGCTCTTCCTTCTCTACCACGAACATGCCCTGCTGACTTTGCTGGTTAAGGCTTTACCCGTTTTTGATTTCTTCTTTTGCCTTATATCTTTTCATATGCCTTGCTCTTACTTCTTCTCCCCCCGCTCTCTTATCTGCATTTTGAAAGTTTGGAGGGAGGGGCTTGGCGAATGAGAGTTATGCTGTGTGTGTGCGAAATCAGGGGAGCGATTGATGAATGACGATTGTTGGATTCTGGATCCTTTTTTCTTTACGATTTTTTTTTTTTTTACCTGATGGCTACATGTCTGAATGAATTAAGAGAGCTTGGCACGAACGAATGAATGAGCAAAGAAGGATAGAGATCGAAATGAACCTGAGAGATGGAGGAGAAAAAAAAGAGAAGAACGGGCAGTGGGTGGGTTAGAGAGATTTCTATTGTTGGAATTTCGCGATTGGGGGAGGGATATATTTTTTATATATATGATAAAGATGTCACGCATGAAAGAATAAAGAGTTAAAGAACACATGAAATTAAACCAAATTTATTTTATTTTATGACAATGTATCAATATCGTGTGCATATATATCATGAATAGTTTACTCCGTTGGTGGTGATGCGTGACGCGGTTCCAACCATGAAAATCACCGTTTAAATTGTCAATGGACGATGTCACGGCCAAGGCAAACGAGCAATCTAAGTGCTCTTTGAGCCAAAGTGGATCAGCAGCAGGCCAGTGGGAATCAGAATGGCCCAAGAGAAGACCATGGTGGCCACAACGACGCCAAAGATCTTGGCGTACAGGATGACCACGCGTCTCCAAGCAGCCTTGGAAAAGGTAGACCAGGCGCTGGAAACGGTAGCGTAGCCCAGGCCACCTACGACTGCAGGCTCAACCTTGCCATCGAAAGATCGGTCAAAGGGGATGATGGGATCTTCGTCCTCGGGGAGAAGCGAAGCCTGGACACGGACGAGAACGACGCGGGCGGGGATAATGACAACGACCCACAGCATTGTGCTGAGGAGGAAGTACACTCCCGCCTTGATCATGTAAGAGATTTTGTGTTCGCTGAAGTCATCAGGAACGCTGCCAGAGCCCCAGCGGAAAGACGGCGCGTCAAAGCCGATCAGGCCGGACAGCAAGATGGGAACCCATTGGTGCACTTGGGTAGCGACCCAGTAAATCACAACGGGCTTCCAAGTAGCATTGAAGGCGCGTTTGAAGGTAGGCAGACGGCGCCAAAACTTTCGGGGGGAAGGGTGTGAGATGACAATGTGAACCCAAGCAGTGGCGTATTGAACCATGATCAAGGATGCCAGCAGCTCGGCAAAGGGCCTAGCAGGGAACCAAGAGAAGAATGAGGCGACAACACCGCTGAGGACATTCTGGACAAGGAGACACATGAAACCACGGAAGTTGGCTCGGAAACCGCCATACGAGGTGAGAAGGCGGTTGATGGAGCGGAGAGAAGAGGTCACAGTTCGAGGGGCGCCATCGGTAGGCTTGGGACCGCCAGCAGTGGCCTCTTCATCATCAATTCCGTTGCTAGGAAGGGGCTCATAGGCAGGAGGGTTCTCGTCTTCAATGATGGTAAAGACGGGGTAGATGTAGAGCAGGGTATATTGGACCTGTGCAGGTGTTAGTGGAAACCAGCTTCACATGCACTCTGAGAGCCGCAGAAACAACAATGATGATACTCACCAGAAGCGAAATGGGGATCAGAATAATGGCATCAACAAGAATCAGAGGCCAGCCCCAAGCCGGCATATGAAACTCAACAGGCTCACCCCCTCCTCCTTGGACGGTCCAAGTCATGGTGGCGGAATGTTCGGGACAAGGTGCGAAATCGAAATTTCAGATGCAATCAACAATGCAGGTACAGCGACCTTGAAAGTGTCGCAATAACCACGCGATATGGACAGAGAACTCGTTCAACTTTTCCAGCTGCGAAAGACTGGAGGCTAAAGAAGGAAACAATCACTTGAGCTGATGGTTGGGCGAAGCAGTGGCTTATAAGCCAGAGGAATCCCGGTGGGCTGGCTGTTTGGCAAAGGGACCCCAGTTCAAACGGCCTAGGAGGCCACCACTAGGCAGCACTGCCCTCCACCACGGCAAAAAGCTCGTGTATGAGCGCGTTATTAGTCTCGTCGCCCAGAAGACTAGCCACAGGCCGCAAAGCTTTCATTGCCCAGACGTATCGGCCATTTCTACTTTGGGACAGCAACCTGATTTATGAGGGGCGCCAACCCGGCCTTTGCCCAAAACAGTGCTCTCGGGCTATTTTTTCTTTCTCGGTGCACGAATTGCATCAGCTGCGCAATGCATTGCTGGCGCGTAGCTTGTATGAGAGCATATAAGGTTGTGATGGTGTGTCAGGTACATGCAACCTTGGCTGTTGTCTGTCTCATAGACTTGCTTGGCGATCTTTTGCTCAATGGCCTGCTGCTGGAGACCTTATTGACATTGAATTGGCCCGTGTATCCGCAGAATTCTTGTCTCGGTGACTGAGCCATCGCGAGTCAGCGGTTATCGAGGTCTAGCAAGCGCTGCCAAAGTGGATAGAGCTCTAAGAACGGGAAGAGAAAAAAAGTCAGCGGTAGTTCTTCCGTCACGTAGCCATCCTGGTAAAATACTCAAAAGTCCGCATTGTTAGAGAGATGAGCGCAAAGTAGCTGCAACGCCGTACATGGAATTGAAGAAAAGGATCAAGTAGAGTAAAGAAACGTAGACGAAATAGAGATGCTTGTAAGTCCCGGTGAAAGAACAGTGGCAGGATGCTATGCGCGGTTCTTTCCATAGCTGCTGGTGGACGCTGCAGGCAGGCGCAGGCCCCGCAGCTTCCTTGAACACAGCTGGAGTGGGGCAGCGTTTATTGTTCATTTGATGCAAGACATTCACAGTGAACCAGTTTATTTCCAGATGTACTTTGCACGACGCATTACTACCTGTGGAAGTACATCCATCACCTCACTGACCTAGCCTTTTCATCGGATGGGAATCAAGAAAGTACATGTACCTCTTACTCACGCGGGAGATCCACCGTTTCATATCGTATCGCATCGCATCACCGATAGGAGCCGGCAATCTTGTTACGGCAAATTGCAAGACACTGACAGCCCTTCCACTGGGCCCAAGATGTCAGCTCCCTCCATCCCCAACCTGCTCTCTCTCCGGGGCAGAGGCGGCGGTCGGGGCCGAAGCCGAGGCCGGGGACAAGGACCCGGAGGCGGTAGCGGTAGCGGCCCCGAGTCTCGTGGCAAGGCTCATGATGCGACGATCCAGGGCACCGACACCGACGCGGCCGTGTCAAGGCTGAGTGCCGTCGACATGGGCTACCTCAGCGACCCGTACGCGCGGTATTTTGTGTCCAACCTGGGCGGTCCTCCTGCGAGACGATTTCCCATAATCAACCGAGGTTAGTTGCAATGGCTACTTCGTTTTCTTATCTTCTCCTTTTCTTTTTTCTCGTCATGTGTATATATATATATGCTACAGCTTGTCTCTAACACCGTTACAGGAACATACACACGTACAGCGGCTATAGATCACCTAGTCCACTCGTTCCTCTCCGAGGCTACTGAAGGAGCGCAAGGGCAAGCTGTGGCCACGAAACAAATTGTTTCTCTAGGTGCTGGCACCGATACAAGGCCATTTCGACTGTTCAGCCAGCAGCAACAGGGGCGCCCAAATCTCGTTTACCATGAGATTGATTTCTCAGTAACCAGCGCCAAGAAGCTGAAGACGGTTGAAGGAGTGCCGTCATTGGCAAGTATCTTGTCCAATCGCTCAACAGGAGAGACCAGTGATTGGTCAAGCAAGCCGCCGAATGGAGAGTATTACTGCCATGGGCTCGACATACGGCAGCTCTCACCCGCCTCTACGAAAACGCTACCGGGGCTTCGTACTGATATTCCCACTCTCATCTTATCAGAGTGCTGCCTCTGCTACCTCTCCCGGGAAGAATCAGATGGAGTGCTTGAGTACTTTACTTCCCGAATACCCAACGCAGCAGTTGTAATCTACGAGCCAGTCCATCTGGGGGATCCTTTTAGCGATACCATGGTGTCGAATTTGGCAGCAAGGAACATTCACATGCCCAACCTTGAGCGGCGCAGGAACGAAGCAGACGAAGCAGCTCGGCTTAAGAGGATAGGGTTTGAGACTACCCGTCAATTGACAATAGATCGCATCTGGAGTAAATGGGTAAATGCCGAGGAGAAGGAGAGAGTTGACAGACTCGAAGGGCTCGATGAAGTTGAAGAGTGGCAGTTGCTTGCGGGACACTACATGGTCATTTGGAGTTTCAGGGGGGACGGCTTCGAGGAATGGAGTGCTATTGACTAAGCAAATAACAGCAATTGCGCTTATTCTTTCATCTAACGTTGGGGAAAAAAACTAATTTATCCATCCTACAATCATCAAAAGGCCAAATCCTCAGATCTATGGCCCTTGATTAGGTATATATCTGAAGACCCAACACCCTTCTGCAGACGCATATAAAATTGGGTCAGAATAGCTCCAGAACTCCAGGTTGAAACGAGGGTAAAACCAAAGGAAGGGGAAGTAGACTATAATCAAACAAACAAGGCATGGAAACTGATTGCGAGTCCCTCAGGATAATTTAAAAAAAATAAAAAAATAAAAAATAAAAAAAAGAGAAACAAAGAAGAAGTCAAAACGAAAGGTCTAAATGATATTAAGAGTCGTATGTTGCGCTAGCCTTGTAATGTTGAGCATAGCACGCGTCTTCTTGGGCCTTTGCTGGAATCTTCGAAAAGCTTCTTGGACGTGTCTTGGCTCGATGGGCGTGCGGCCCTCGCTGGGGGGGTCAAAGAGGCCCTGCTGGAGTTTGCGCTTCTTGCTCGTGCCGCCCTCAACCATGGCGCCGGTCTGAGCGCGGGCCATATCCTCCTGCTCCTTGACCTTGAGGGCAACTTCGGTCAGAGTCTGGACCATTTCAAAGGTGAGAAAGCCAAGGATGTCGACAATATCGTCTGATGGCTTGCTGTCGGTGACGACGCCAAAGCCGGCCCATTCGCGGAAACGCTTGCCCTTGCGCCAGGTAAAGGACGCCTGACGATATTCGGACCACGTCACGTACTCTTCTCGCGTCATGACTTTGGTGCGCTCGTCGGCCTTGCGCAGACGCTGGAGAGTGATGTAATTCATCTCTTCCTCTTCCTCGTCTTCTTCGTCGTCGCGCTCGGGAACTTCGACCGCGTAGAAGGACGCGGGTTCCCAGGGGAGGCCGACTTTGGCCTTTTTGTTCTTCTTGGCCGCTTCGTCTACTGGGCCGCCGGGGACGACACCGCCGACGGCATCGTCGCCAGCAGCGATATCTGCATCTGCGCCTTTGTCGTCAGAATCCTTGACGTTTTTACGGACGTCTTTCCAGGAGAGAAATGTGCGCAGGCGAGACACTTTGGCTTGGTCGTGACGAATTTGGAAGATGAGGTCGTTTGTGCTGATGGATTTTGAGCCACGACGGCCGGCGAGCTCAGTGCAGTTGCGTAGCTAAAGGAGTTTGTTTAGTTAATTTTGGATAAAGATGAGTGGCAAGGGGTAAAGCGGTTGGCGTACCAGTTCGATCACTTGCTGCCGGACGATATCCTCAATGATACCAGTTGTTTCTACTGACGGCTCGGTTGTTTCGCCAGAAACATACATCATCTGTTGAAAAGAGTCAATCGCTATAGCTCGTTTGGAGAGGCGGGACAGAAATCCAGCCCGCATGCGATATCGTTGTCCATTGATGCAAAAGTATCGATCGCTCATGATTGAGTAGGGGTAAGGCCGATGACCTTGGAGCAAATTTTAAGTGAAGAGGAGGTGAAGAGAAAGGTCAGATTCAATGTAGGTGAAAGTGAAAGAGAGTCTGTGTAGAACTTATAAGAGTCTGCTGAGGCTTGCCACTTGGCTGTAGTTGTGATTGCAACTGGTAGGCTCGGCATTGCCAGGTGCCGACCGAGCATGCTCTCACGATGGATGATGAGACCTCTCATTTCGTTTGTGTTCTGGTAACGGTAAATGCTCTTAACTTGGGGTCCGTAGCAAAATGATACTGCCTAAACCGCTTTCAATGAGAGTGGTGAGAAAGACGTGGCCCCTTTTCTCATGACGGCTCATTCGTCAAATGTGCTCAGCATAAGAGAAAAGTCCAGCTCAGAAGGGGTAATGAAATGAGATAGGCCTGATGGAATGATTTGATAACATTTGTCATATCATAATTGATATCTAGCATCATCATGATGAATGCTCAGACTTCTGAGACTCATCGGCCCTCGAATGTGCTCAGGCATAAGTGAAAGTAGACAGTATCTCACCTGACTGATTTCCTGGCGATATTTATACGCCTTGGCGGAACTTGAGTCCGCCATGCTGTCAGATTTCCAATAAATAAAATGCGGTTTCCTTCTCTTTCTATCGTAGTCAGGCCCAAAGTCTGCAAGTAGGACAAAGCGCGTCCAGCGGCTTCTCCCTTCAGAACAGCGCCAATCGTGCGCCCTCCTCCCGAAAAAGCCCGGTACTCGTCCCCGAGCTTCGTCTTTCAAGCGAAAAGTCGTATGAGAATAAGGCTTTTCATGTGTCCAAGCGAAAGAACCGGGATCGTTGGAGTGGGCTTCCGCAATCGATGAGCAGCGGCTGCGGCAAGTTTGGCCTCTAGAATCGGAATCCGTCCAAGTCGCTTACAAAGAAGTAGTATCGCTGCTATAAATCCAAAAAGAGGTAGAGACGCGGAGAGAGGTGCATAAAATAAGTCGATAAATTGGAGCCGACACCTACACACCCAGTTCGAGCAATGAAAATAGACAAAGAAGATGAGTAAGAGAACGATCAGGGTTGAGATGAAGAGGCCCCAACGCGACAGAATCCGAGTCGGGTTCGTTAGCAGAAAGTATGCTAGTTACACCCCTTCATATGTGCTGCTACCCGCTATACACACACCCATCTGCCTGAACAAGTCACGTGCCACAAACCAGTCAAGGAATAAGTACTACTAGTAGTAGTAGGTAAGGTACCTTATGCAAATACTTGCGGCAGTAGATGATCTAGGGACGTTTTAATCCATAGATGGAACGGAGGAGAAGAGTCTCTTTGCCTCTTTATTCCACGGAACCAGCGCTCACGTAGTGATGCACGCACGAGGGGCGCTTAGAACAACCGAACCACACCGTTTCAATCCATGGAATGAAGAGATCACACAGGAGACGGGTGTCGATGAAATGTGCGTATCAAAGGCGCCCAGAACAGCAAGAAAGCGTGGGTGCGACAGTGGCGTCTTTATTCCACAGAATGAAGAGATACTCATAGGCTTAAACGCCATAAGGTTTGTGACTACATACAAGTAACCGCTAAGAGAATATCATGAGGATTTATAAAGAACCGTCATTCCGTCCACCGCCAATTGCTGGCCGTGCCCGGGTCCTAATCACAGAGACGTCGCTGCCCAGCAAACAATGACAGCAATAAGGCACTGAATCATACCTACTCTATCATAGGCGACAAAGCGCATCATCACTGCCAATCATAGTGATTTGGGATACAAATCTTTGTCCATTCTCAATCACAGCAGCTATTAGAGATGTTGATTAATCATTGAATATACATGAATTATATAAAGTTGCACATGTAAAGTACAAGCGCATGACTGCCGTCATATACAAATCAATTTATCCTTCCTCTTCTAGATCCAAACTTCTCATACTGCACTTAATAGGCGGGGTATATATCGTCCTTTTGCTTCATAAAAAAATTGGAAGCGCCAGATAATGCAAAGGAACACGCTCGCTTCGAAAACCGGGAAAAATAAAACATGAAAAAAATCATGCGAAGACAGCAAAACGCACTCTCTATTCCCATTACACATTTCGAGATCCAGCAGCGGAACCTGGCCGCATACTTGTGATTGCGAATGACGCCCTTCTAACGGCTTCGTTTCCCTGCCAAAGCCGAGAGTTGACCCTCTGTAGGCTTGCAGGTATTTCTTCCAAGTTCTCTCCGAAAATGCTTCCTCTTCTGTAAGAAGGCCGTCGTACTCCAGCGGTCCCCCTTCTTGGTCTCTGATAGACTCTCTCTGTCTGAGCGGCAGCCAAAGCGACCCGCCTCAAGACCGAATCTGGAAGCTCTCCTGGCTCCTCCGGGACGGCAATGCTGCTGCGTTGAGTTGTCAACGAGCTGCTGGAATCGTTTGTAGGAGCCACAGTCACAGATTCTGGGCGGGAGTCTGCCATTTGTACATAATGTAGGTACTTTGGCTTTTCCAACATCCCCGAGCGGAATGCATTCACTCCCACCAACATTTTGACCAGCTCAACTAATTCTTCCAAATACTCGATAATTTCCATCTGACCGGCAGTGCTGGCGTTCCAGGAAAGAAAATTATGCTTGGTTATCAAACGTGCCACCCTTTCGCTTGTTAGATCATCGTGCTCGCCCTCGGTTTTGCCATGGCTAGCATGGCTTACCGTGGGCGTTACCGGAGCTGACGTTGATGTTTGCGACGTGATAATCTTACGGACTCTATGTATTAGTCGCAAGTGTGCCAAGCGAGCTGATGGAATAAACTGCGGGAGGGGAAGCCACGTTGACAAAGCCTCGTTGACGGAAAACAGCATCAATGTGCAGCTTGCCACCATGCTGCGACGATACGTATAGACCTGTGGATTCAGGACCTCCAACACTGAGGAGCCATATGCTGCTCGGAGTTGTACGACGTTATCCATGCGGTCGATCACCTGGTGAAGCACATATACAATCTCAGTATATATGGGCGCAAGCTTCTTGAAGCTACCTTTAAGCCTTGGTTCAGAAAGACAGAACGGCAAAAAAGTCTCAGCCGCCGCGAGCGAGGCTTGGGCCTTTTCTCGCAATTGATCGAAATGACGATGCTGCTTGAGGCCGCGAGGATCAAGGAACTCAGGCTCATCGACGCCAACAGCTATGGCGCCCTGCATGCCCTGAATATGACGCACACAGGCGGAAAGGGACTCAACCAAGCGATCTCTAGCTCGCACTGGAGAGACAGACATCTCTACCAGAGTGGCGGTAACACCGCCAACCAAAAAAGCTATCAGGCGCTTGTAATAGACCTGTACCGCCGGTTCTGTGCTATTCTCTGACGCTAAACAAAACGGTCAGATATCGCCATGTCTTAGATAGAAGGAAGAAAAAGGGCAAAAGGCTATAGGCTTACCTAGCGCAACCACATTGATTGATATAATGGCTGCTGAACCGGCCTTGACGTATTTTGTCCCAACTTGGATATAGGCCCAAGGCAGGATCGTAAAGGCAAGAACTACAACAGTAATGGCCCTGCTCCCGCCTGCAATAACAAATGAGACGTAGCCAGCCGTACAGCCAAGGACCAGCCCAATCATTCGGACAATAAAGGTGGCCATGGATGTGCCAATGGCCACTTCAAAGATGAATATCAGCTGGAGCGGGGCCCAAACACCATGAACATCTCCATACCACTTGTTCCAAGACGGTACAAAGGCCGGAAAACTGACAAGGAAGACGGCAAAAGATATCTTGAGAGCATAAGCAAGATCGTCAGAGTCTTGAGCCCATTCTAAAACATCTGCTGTTTTCCCTCGTAGTTTCAAAATCCAATTATCAGAAGTACCTTTCTTTTTATGCCCATGCTTAGGTCGCTGGTGCTTCTCTACCTGCCCTTTCTCTCTTCTTTGATTTGCCTTCTCTTTGCTTCTAAGTTTTCTGCTTTTCAGGGCCCTCAGATATCTAGAAGTGGTTGTAGAGCCCGCTTCCTCATCGTTAATGCGCTCCCCCAGAGCCTGTTCATCATTCTCGAGGATGCCACTAGAGTCCTTCAATTGAGATATAGATGGCCTGCCAGCCAAATCTCCGCGTCGTGCGGCCTGCCTTGCGCCTTCTGGAAGGACCATAGAATCACGTTCTCCATTAGTACGAAGCCACTTCCGAAGACTTGAATAGTGAGGGATCCAGATGCGTGACCTATTATGGCGACGCTGCCTCTGCTCCACCAAATAGCGCGCATGGCGAAGCATATTCAAGATATGGGCTGAGGCCTGACGAAAAGCCAGAAGAAACGATGAGACGAGGAACGTCTCCATCCGAGGCATGAAATCGAGCAATTGGCCAGTTTCTTGCATCGCAACCAGCTTGAGTTGTTCGGTAGACTGCTGGTCAAATAATGCTAGAGCATCGGCGAAAAGGTCGATGCGCAGGTCAATCTCTTCTAGACGAATGCCTCGAGGGGTAGGTGCGCCAGAAGGTAGGTTGGGAACATCATAGCAATACGCCAAACAGGAGACAAGAAGAGACACCGCTGCATTTGTAGAGGCTTGAAACGCTTGTACAGGAGCTTGAAGCCGCATAACAATTGATTCCAGAAGTTCGGCGCTGCTCAGCTCGATTTGCCTATTCAAGGTGGCGAAGTCGGCTCTGCTTGGGGAAGCCATAGAGTTGCGAGCTCTCGATCTAGATCTTGCGTGAGGGTTGACTTTCAGGTAAGCTTCTGGGCCACCGGTCGACGGTGTGGTTAATTCAGGGCTGTGGGTGTCTTCTGGTGATAGCTCTAGATCATCATTTACCAAGCCATTCTCTTCACGGCCCTCATCATCAAGTACTATGAACTTGTTCTCACAAGCACCGATCAAAGTAATAACGCTCTGGGACAGATTGCTCATGAGATCAACGCTAATGAGTTTCATGTCACCGGGAGCAAGGGGTGAGATGGAAATCTCAAAATTGACTTCATTCTGTGCAGTCTTACATGTAGCAAGCTTAGATCGAATGGTAGGTTTGCTTTCCATCAGTGACGCAAGCGTGGTTGCATGTAGTGGTATCTTGAATGCTGTAGCCTCAGCCCTGGCAGATCGAAAGGGATTAGGGAAAGGAGACAAGAATTTGCGCCAGTAACGAAAGATGGACTGTTTCTTCTGATTCATCTGCTTCTGCTGCTGCTCGATATTATTGTTGTTGGCCACGGTGGTGCTGGGTACGCCGTCCTGGTTTTGAATCTCAACAGAGTCGCCTCCTGGGGTAGCGAACCAGTAAGTAGCTCGCTCCAAGGTATTGGCCATTTCGGAGAGGGCGTTGATGGTAGAGGTTCCCAAGTAGCTACCAGAAAACTCTGGGAATATGATGACGTTGGCAAAAAGCATAATACCAACGCCAATGAGAATTGGTGCGTAGATGGTTTCGTACAAGAGTGATGTAGCCTTGGTTGGCGCCGTAAGCATAGTTATTGCGGGTAGCATGACGAACAAGACGAACAAGAACAATCGGGGACTAGAAGACCGTATGTAGCCGTGAAGCAAGATACACGCAAGGTAAAACAGAGCCCGAATGGTAAACGCAGCGGGCTTGTTGTCATCATAGACCAAGCTCGCAAGGTATAAACCCAGGATGGACCATGATAAACCTAGGCCGGAGCCAAAGATGACCATGATGGCGTTCTCAATGACAACGCCTAACCGCTGGCCTGGATGTGCAAAAGCAACTGTCATTGGAATAAGGAACGTTGACCAGCTTCTGATCTGGGGGAGAATTGCGATTATCGTTGCAATCACACAGGCTATGAAATGCTTGAGAATCCGCTGCCAAAGATCCTTGGGGCCGCTGTCGCCCCAGAGGGAGACAACGACTCTACGTAGGAGTTTTGCCATTGCCATGAAGAGTAAGATTTCCTTGGTAGCCACATCATATCTTGAGATCAAAGATTCGAAATCGTGATTTTTGAGACGTGCTGAATGTCTGACGCCAGGATCGAGTCGGGAAGATCCCGGGGAGGCGAGCGGGAGACTCTCGGGAAGAAGATAAGGATTGGGAGGTTACGGTCGGTAATCTGACGATGACTGCATCAAAGACGCCAGGGTTAGATCTTTGTCTGCGAATCAACTGTATGGAGCTTTGAACTGGGCTCCGACGTCGTAAGATGAGGTGTGAGAAGGGAAGAGGACTGAGCCGACTGCGGCGAAATATAGAAGAGAAAAGATGAAAAGAGTAGAATTGGAGAAGAGGGGAGAATGGATGGAAGATGAAGCTGGATTTGACAGATGGAATGAGTTCAAGGCTGGTGGGATCGACCAACCGGTGTGTGGTTTTTTTCCAGAGATGGAAGGAGAAGGTCAAAAAAAGGGCAGTAAACGATTCATAGAGCTTGTGCTGTGTTGGAGATTGGGAGCTCAAGGAGGGGCATGGAACAGGCACTAAATGACTGGATTGAGCCTGATTTTCAGGCTAACGGTCGCCCGGTGGCGCTCTCAAGTCCACCCATTGGGCGTCTCTATCGCTATTGTTCATTCCAGACTCTGAATAACGATGTCTACTAGTATACAGTAGACTGCCTATACAGAGAATAACCAAATAGCGTCTATATAAGAAACAAGCAACTGTGACACTGCCAAGGCATAACTCAGTTGAAGCAGACTTTTATCATCAATCTTCAGCCTCATAAATTGTCTGATGCCTAAGGGTAGGGAGAGCGCTATAGCATTCAATGGTAGCAACAGCACGGCCAAATACGCTATAATTGCGCTATAGCAGCACTTGAGCTTAAGAGTGTGGTCTATAATCATGGACACTACGGAGCAGTGATACAGTACACAAGACGTAAACTCAATGAAAATGATCAGCAGTAAGGATCAACTTTGGGGGTCAGTAAGTCACTGCTCTAAAGTCAAACAACTGTTGCTCTCATTGTCGACAAGCGCCCCATTGTTTGACAGGCAAATAATTACATGTCGACACTCACTTTACAGCAACAGCTTAGGCGGGCGTTCTTCTATTACCTAGAACTCGTACATGCATACGAGTCAAACTAGACTGTCAGCGGCGACGACATTCGGAAGTGCATTGAAGAAAGTGGAGATTCCTGATCCGGTGGCATGATCTGATCTGATGTTTTCTCTTCGTCTCTTATAACCTTCTTGAAGTCGGGATTTTTTCACTGTTGTTGCTCTTCTCTCGGCATATGGCGTACATCTGCCCTGCTCTGTTGTGTACTCTGATAATTGTAACGGTCGATACAACACATTGATGGCTGATTATCAGTCCTTTTGTGCCTCTAGTCGTCCTCATTCTACACCACCATTCCCCAAGTTTCCTCATCATTTGGCAAAATCCAATTGTATCTCTCCCCTTACCTACTCATAGTCTCCGCTACGCACATGGTTCAATTCTATCCCCAGCGCTCATCACAACGCTCTCAACCCAAGTCTCAAACATGTCAATTACCATTGAACCCTTTCAACCAACTTTTTACTATATCCACTACTGCAATCACCATTTCTCTGTTTCATTGCCTAAGAAGATCAATCTAACAGAAATGTAATATTACCATTCATTATCAGTATGAGCATATGCATTTGACATGATATACGCAGCTATTTTCTCTTCATCTTCAATTCCCCACTGGTCCTTCTTCGGCCCGGCCGCCAATGGCATCCGATCCGTGTGCTCCGGCCCCACGGCTCACTAGACGCGCGCTGTAATTGAGCAACCTCCAGCCTAAACCATCTCCTGCAGCAAACCTCCGTATTATTCATCCTCCATCTCGACGCCATCTTGCTCCTCCCGCTCAACTACACCAAAAACTCTCGTCGCTCTCTCTCCGTCTCTCCCTCTGCAACCATGCTCTCCTTCATCCTCATCCAAAACAGACAGTAAGCCCTTTCTTCTTCTCCCCATCCACGCGCGTCTCTGCGCGCAAACCTCAATGCTTCCCTCTCCCAAGCAAAACCACCATCGCAAGACTAACAATCAAATAGGGGCAAAACCCGCCTCGCCAAATGGTACGCCCCCTACAGCGACGACGAAAAGATCAAGCTCAAGGGCGAAGTCCACCGCCTCGTCGCCCCGCGCGACCAAAAGTACCAGTCCAACTTTGTCGAGTTCCGCAACAACAAGATCGTCTACCGCCGCTACGCCGGCCTCTTCTTCTGCGCCTGCGTCGACACAAACGACAACGAGCTCGCCTTTCTCGAGGCCATCCACTTCTTCGTCGAGGTGCTCGACTCCTTCTTCGGCAACGTCTGCGAGCTCGACCTCGTCTTCAACTTTTACAAGGTGTACGCCATCCTCGACGAGGTCTTTCTAGCGGGCGAGATTGAGGAGACGAGTAAGCAGGTCGTATTGACGCGGCTGGAACATTTGGATAAACTGGAATGAACGAATAAGAGAAGAAAATGGAAGACGCGTCTTTTTTTGCTTTCCTGTTCCCTCGACTTTTTTTTTTCTGTCTTTTCCTCTGGGGGAACTTTGAGGAAATAGGGGGCGCAAGTACCGACTTTTTAACCTCTACGTATATATTCATTTCGCGACTCGGAGTTACCTGGAGGCCTAACGAGGACTTTTTTTTTTCTATTTCAATTTTTTTCTCTATCGCAGTCTTCCAGCGGAGCGCGTTGATAGTGCATTATCAGATGCAGAGGATATCATAGGCATAGGTGTTTAGGCGTTTTGGGAAATAGCGAATCGCAAGACTGAGCGACTAGAATAGGTGAGAAGGCGGTTGCTTGCCGCCTCCTTGATTCCTGAGCTCCGCGGACACGTTGCTATAGTAGTGTATGTCTGAGTATCTTCAGATGAGATTAATGTATCAACCAATAATCAGACATATATTTCATTATCAAGAGCCGAAACTTTCGCATTGCATATATCGCATGTATTCAGACCTATCTACTTGCGCCTCCTTTCCGATGCCAATGACGGAAAACTATTGTTACAGCCTTCTAACTGCCAGTGTCTCCTACGATATTCTATTATAGGCGCATAACATTGACTGGTGGAATGGGCAGTCCTCAAGTCCTCAAGTAAGGAAAGCAAGGCTGATTGAACAACAGGACTATCACCACATCTCCCTCTATCCTCACCGCAAATCAAGAGATTTTATATGTATATACGGACTATAATGACAAAACAAGCAAATTTCAGGCATATTTTCCTCTCTCTCAGTCTCGACCCCATAAAAGCAAATTCGAAACCAGATTCCATCGACTCAAGGAAAGAAAAGAAAAAGAAAGATTAAAACAAGATGCTGAAGATATGGATGGCAACCCTTTGCCTCTGCAGAGCATTTGCAAACGAAGTCTTATTGCAGCGCAAATGAAACTTACCCCGTGGGCCCTTAGTACGGGTCGTACTCAGGCTCTGACGAGGAATAATAAAATTCATCCCGATAGGTGGAATCCCACATCTCAAGGGCTGTCAAGCGATTTCCCATCTGGATCCACGTATTGTCTTGATTGTGGAACAATTCGTGAACAGCTGGGTCATACGGCGGATCTCTGCCAAGCGGCTTGTCAGTGACACCAAACTCAATGCCTGACTTGTCTTGCGGCTGCAACCGCGGCTGCGGTGTCTGAGGGCACGGCGTAAGCCCCGGTTCAATGCATTCCCCCTCATCCAGTTCCAGAAGACTGTCTAGAAGGCTGTCAAGCAGAGATGGTTCCTCATATGCTCCGTCCAGCTTTTGCTTCTTACGTGCTTCTTGTTGGCTTGTACTTGTCATACTGCATCCACTGTGTGCTTTTTCTTCATCGACTCTTGTAAGGAAAAGATCAACTTCTGCCACGCAGCCACCGTCACCGTCACCGTCACCGTCACCACCACCACCACCATCATCAATGTCATCATCGCTGTCAATAATAATCAAATCATACGACCGAACAAGGCTTTTTGCACCAATATCTTCTTTTCCTTCTTTGCCGACACGATCCTACATGAAAGAGACGATTGTTAGTAACAATGGTCTTCAGCCCAGCCGTTGTTTAGTGTAGCCAAATAGTTGAGTAAAAGATACTTACAACTTCCTAAGGTGACAAACGGCCGTCAGTAAGTCGGGTCCCTCTCAGGGTAGGGACACTGCCAAATGCTTTGCCACCATCATCATCCTGGAAACAAGTGGGTTGGGCTTCTTCAGTCTCAGAGCCGCTATTGAGCATGATTAGATCCGAAGACGACTTATCATCTGCTTCCAATTGAGTCGATGGCACTTGCGTGAGTAGTGGCTCATCGGCAAGATTGCTACCAGTCGCCATCAAGGCCGCGCGCTGGGGATCTGCTGCCTTGCGATTGATAGTGCAGAAATAATTATAATGATCCCCTTGCTGGCCACAGCTTGGGCAAATATATTCAGGCCCAGGAACAAGTCGGTTAGAAGGGCCTGTATTCTTTTTCTGTTGAGGAACTGCGGCAACCTCATCGAATAAGCCAAGAAGATCCACAGAATCCGATTCAGTAGGGGAAAGAGCAAGGAAAGTATCGGCGAGAGAATCGCCGTCAAGGGGGGTATGAACTTGGGGTAGCCAACCTGTGATACTGCACTGCTTACACACACAGTCGTCACTTCGAGTCTTGCACCGTTCAGTCTGGCCAGACGCAGAGCCCCAGGTGCTGGCTTGTCCGAGGTCATAGGGGGCACAGCTTCCGGGCTGATGTTGCTCATGCAGCGGAGCAGGCCCTTCTTTGACTTTGATACTGTCGTGGTAGTAGTGATGATTCTGGTGTTTGTGAAGCTTGCTGAAGCTTTCTTGCACATGCTTCTGGTACCTTTCCTTTGGCATTGTATGGAGATTGTGATTATAGGCAGGATAGGGCGGGGGGAGCGAGTCGTTGGCGGCGGCGAGGAGCGCATCATGGTCAGCAGCAGCCTGAGCCTCTTCTGCCCATCGTTTCCAGTGGTCATAGACATAGTCCACAATGGAGCGGGAGTCTGTCAGTGTTTCCCCAGAAAGTCGCAGCGTAATCTGATTGGCAAGGCGAGGGTGCAGTCTGTGAAACGCTGTGTAGAATATCTGGCAGCACATGTCTCGGGAACAGCCTCTGCGTTGGAGGAAGACACAGAGCTCCTTGACGTCGGGAAGCGAAGTGCCTGAAGAGAAGTTGCGGCAGATTCGTTCACGAAGCCAAACGGCACAGATGGAGACGATGTTGAGAATCGAGAGCTGGTTGATGGCTCCATCGATTTTCTTCACAAGCGTTTCTTGACGCACGACGCCAATATTAACAAGGTCCCGAAAGCCGTTGCATCCCATTGTGACTCGCACGTGGAAGAGGATCTTGTCGTTGGAATCCATCAGGAATGTAGAGTCCCCCATCGTAAATGAGTGCTTGTAGTCGTGGTCGTGATGATCAGCGGCAGATAGGGAAGAGGAAGATGTGTTCAATGGGTGATCAGATTGGCAGAGATCTTTGTCATTGAACTGTTCATTGAGGAAAAAACTCTGGTCCAGCTGAGCATCGTCCCCCTCATTAGGATTGCCAAATGGACTGAGCAAGGTGCGCACAATTTGCAGTTTGTATCTCTCCAAATGGGTCACAAAGAGTGAGGCAAGAGTGAAGAGGGAAAAGCAGATGAAACAGAAGAAAAGAGAGGCAGTTAAAGTACCAAGCTTGCTCGGTTCTTCATGCCTCTCTGCTTGCACGAGCACGTGAGGCGACATGTTTGCGGCTGGGCTGGCAGCTGGCAGCAGGGCCACCGCCAAAAAACACGCAGCAGAAAAGCCGACGACTGCGAATCCGCCGGTAAGACAGAGGGAAACCCAACTGTCAACCCAGGCAATGATTAAGACTCAACGGCAATTGATGATAAACAGATGAAAGAATCACGGTTGATGAAGGGCAACTTTGTCTCCCTTACAAGTGAGAGCACGTTGAAGCGAATCTCAAAAAGGGAAGAGACGAGTGTAAGAAGCCCACGCCAGACCATCACCAAAAACCTCGGGTCTGGGGGTTATAAGAGAGGCAGAGAAAATCGGCTCAGAGGGGGAAAGGAGGGAAGGGTAGTAATCGAAGGGAAAAGAGGAAAGCAACCCGACCGAGCTGCACGGCAACGCTGGCACCTTAAATAATGCCTGGCCACATAGTCCCATGCTGTGTAACACAAAGGCGGTGCTCGTGACTGGTCCAATGTGCGGCAGGACAAAGGAAGGCCAACCGGGCCAGGGGGAGAAAAAAAAATATGCAGTGCTTGGATGATTGATGCGTGGGCGTATTTTCGTGGAGTCACGGACACACGCTTTTGCTCATCCCACGTGTACTCCCATGGACTGGTACGTCAACGGGTGGTACTGCTCACTTTGTAACGCAGCCACCCAGAGCATGGCATTGGCACGGCGGTTGGAGATAACATGGAACGGCATGATACCTGGTTATAGTTATATACATGTATAGGTACAGCACACCAACAGTGCGCCCAGCCCGCATAACAGCCTCAAGTAGCCACCAGTGTGTGCATCTGTATCCCGCCAGCATGTGCTTTGTGCCGCTCTGTTCTGCTCTGCTCTGCCTTGCCTTGCCTTGCCTTGCCTTGCCTGCTCTGAATTAGTTTGCATCGCTTGCTCTCGCAGTTATAGGTATTCCATACGTCGCCATCTGTCCCATTTGCTTGCTCCATTGTCGCATCATGGCATTTGCGCTTCACCTCTTCTTCAACGCCGCAAACCGTCTCTCCAGGTCTCCAATGTCTGGCACTGACCCTTCCGGCTCAGACTTCTTCCTCGCCACGGGCACCTCGTCCCTCTTGCTCTTGAGCTCCACAGATCCCATCATCACCTTGGGATGGACATTGTCCGTCGTCATCCGCGGCGGCGTCACCATCAGCGGACTCTTGGGCTCACCCAGCTTGGCGCTCGGCGGCGTGGCTCGATTCATCTGCTCTTCGCCCAAAGAGAGCTTCCTCTGCGCCTCGGTGAGGGGCTTGTCTAAATCGTTCCTCTGAGCCCGTCCACCACCTCCTGTTCCATCGCCATCGCCATCGCCATCGCCATCTCCCTTGCCTTCAAGGTCCTCGTCCAGCAGATCTGGCGGAGGTGGCGAGGAAACTTGCCGTTTCGGCCAATCCACGCCGTATGCCTTGGCAATCTCCTCCAGATACCCCTGCACCAGCTCTCGCCGCGGCGCCTCCACGCTCAGCTTCTTGACCACCTTATCGTTGACCTTGCCATCTGTATTCTCCATGGCCACCAGCACAAACTCCTTGCCGTACTTCTCCGCCAGCAGCGTCCGCACCGTCATCAGCTCCTTAATCTCCGTCTTGGGCGCCGCATACAGGATGCTCTTGACAGGCTCCTCCAATCCCGGGTCGCATACCGGGCCCTCCAGGAGCCCCGCGCGCGCAAGCAACAGTTCGCAGTAGAGCTCCAGCAGCTCGTGTAGCTCGCTAGTGATGTCGGAGCGGATAATGTTCTCGACGCGGATCGTTGCTGAGTCGACTTTGCCGGCCTCGAGGAGCTGTGCCATTGCCCGCCGGGCCGTCTTTCCAAGCTGCTCATCGCGCTGCTGCACCATGCGCAGGCGCGCAATGGCCAGCTTCAGCTGGACCTTGAGTTTGGTCTGTAACAGCACCGCGCATTAGCCTCTCTGCCAGATTATGCCGTTGGGCGCCGCCCAGAAACAAAAGAATTCGTCGAGATTCGACTTACCTGCCAGGTAGCTGTGGGGGGCATCGCGGGGGAGGGGAATCAAGCAGCAGGCAGTACAATGAATGGATATAAAAAGAGAAAGACGCAGAAGAGAAAGGCAAGAGAATGCAGGCTACAGGCTGGAAGATTTTATGGAGGAATTGACTTTCGCGAGGCAGCAGGATTAAAGAAGGACTACCTATCGCAGGCAGACATAGAGAAGCTTGAAGCCTGGAGACCGCAGGACGAAGAGAGCAACGTCACCGAGGCTATCTTAGCGTTGAAAGTAACGGCTTGACGGCATTTCCGGGCGCAGGAACTAAAGTACACAGTGGCGGGATGGCCCAGTTATTGACACTGTACGCTATAAGCAACTTTATCCAACGAGAGAGGACATAGAAAGGGAAGAACTTGTAGCGATTCAAGGGCTTATATATAATTATATATATTTCGTCCTAAATAGAGCAAGCAGTGGACAAGACAGAAGAATAAGATTTCAACGATTAGATGCTAGCTAATATTACAAGGAGAAAAGAAGAGCGCTTCGCTGTTAGTTTAACTTAAGACAGCACTCAACCGAGCTTAAGCAGTACAGGCACAGCCAAAGGCAGAAAAATTGAGATGAATCGTGTCATCCTTTTTGCTTTACTCTTATACAAAGTCAATGCGAATAGCTTCAAAAATAGGGTACACAATAACATCCGCATCTCGACAGCCCAGTCAAGTGCCTTGTCTAACACTTACAGTAGCTCAGCCCACCAAGACATTCATCCGCCCACTGCGGGGCATCTCAAGGCACCAGATTCAGCTTCCATCTAAGACATCCATCCCATTTAAATACTACACTCATACCGCAAATTACAACTTCTCTCGCTCTCGCCGAGCTTCACTCTGGCCACATACAAAAGGTACTCTAGGATATTACAACAAACATCAAGATACATTCCCCTCAGTAGCAGTAACACACCCACTCCCTTCCAAATCCTCTCTTGTCCCACCGCCAGCCACCAGGAACAAGCAGCAGCACAGCAACCACTTCTCCGCACAACGGGCCTCTATTCCGGTCAATTTCAATCCGCTGATTGGCTGCAACTGCATGTACCCCTCCGACAAGTGCAGCTTTTCCAACGTGGTAAGCCGTGATAGGAGGCAGGCGAAGCAACTCTTTTAGCTGCTGCCTCGTGCTGCATCTCTGTGTACTTGCAGCTACTAAAGCTAGGATGTGATGCCGGTTGGTCAGTTCGAAACTGCTGCATGTCTCTCATTCATGAATCAGGCACTCAAGTCAAACAGATAGCTTTTCTACATACAAGTACTAACATGTACCTAAATAGTCCTACACAGATAGCATAGATAAGTAAGAACCACAAGTGTACTTTAAACAGTCTCTGTATCCATGTTGTAAATCTCTCCGGTTGGTTGCCTCATCCACTCCACAGCGAGCCCAACCTCTCCACTCTCCTACATGTTCTACCAGTATGTGATCCAGTAGTTATTATAGTAGTACATAGTAGCAATGAGCCGACGACGGAGGCTTGCATTCCATTTCCATCGAATCCTCATCGAGGCTTGCTTTTGTTCGTCTCCGTCGGGAGATACCGGCCATGTATCAATCCATCACACCTACCACCTCCTTCTATTCCAAATGCCACAGACAGATGCGGTGTTGTTCTGCGTTTATAATACGAAGAAAAAGAAGAAGAAAGAAGAAAAGAAGAAAAAACAGCTCAAGAAAACTCCAGTGTGAAATCCTTCATAGCCGTTTGACGCCCATTGTTGTTGTTGAATCCCACATACCCATCCATGTTGTGTTTTTTACAAATTCGTCGTCATGCATATACACTGTCCTACTCTCGCCAGCCTGTAGCCGTAAGCCGCGCAGTAGTCCAAAAAAAAAAATTGAAGGAAAGAAATGAAGAAACGTATGCATCACCACCGCCACCATTACAACCACCAAGCGAAGCTACTGAAGTGACCTACGACGTCAGGCCTATTCCATCTCAGCATTGCCAGCAACCGGTGGGATTCCATCAGTCGCCTCTCCCTGGAACACCTGGCTGCCCTCGTACGTCACGCGTCGCCAACCGCACGGCTCGTTGCTGTCCTTTATCCATTCCATGGTAGGGAAGTAATGGTCATTCTTCTTCATTGTGATCACCCACGGCACCGAGTCAAAGGTGACCGCCTTGATGCGGAAATCTACGTTTACAAGTGACGTTAGCTCTATCTCTGTATGTAATACGCGCAGCAAAAAAAGAGGTGGGAGAGGACAGAAAAAGGAAGAGGGGGAGGGTCTTACAGGTGTTGTCGGGGATTTTCCGGGTTGCCGCAATGAACGAATCCAGGTCCGGCGTTGACTCGCCATTGACATGGGTGATAAAGTTGGTTGGGGCAAGTCCGTACTGGTACGCCGGAGAACCGCGAATGCGGCTCGACACGTACACCTCGCTGTGAAGTTTGCTAATCTGCTGGCGAACAGCCAAGTGAGGGCGATGGAGGATGGCCCCGCAAAAGGACACGGCATGGTGTGTTTCCATGTCGTCGGCAAGTACCGTTGGAAGCTGCAGGTGCATCTCCTCGCAGTTTCGCACAACAACGGCGTCAAGAACCTCGTTCGAGTACATCACGTCAAAGTCGGAGATGGTGGTGCAGATTTTGCCGTTAAGCGTCAGTACCACGTCGCCTTCGAGGAGCGATACCGGGTGATTTACCCGCTCGAATGTCCGCTTGCTAACCATGAAGAGTTGGTGGTGAGACCGGTTTGCCTGTGTAACCTTCTTGATCCACTCGTCCGAGACGCCCATCACGCGTGCCTGAGACATGTGGATGGATCGGAACTCGACTGAGAGCATGTGCAGGCGTGGCGTCTCGCCGCGCTGAATGGCTGAAACAACGGGCAGCAAGGTTGGTGTGCCTAAGCCGAGATGATACTCCTCATCTCTTTGGTTGTTCGGGGAGCGCTCTCCGAGATACTGCAGCCACAGAGCCTGCACGGTCCCATCCTCCGCTACGAGAACACCACTGCCGCACGACACTCCAAGGTTGCTGTCAATCGTAATAGCATCTACGTTGACGGCGCGGTATCGTGGAGCCCCCGAGTTTGCAGGGATAGCAACCGCAGTAATCTCCGTCACGGTGGTAGAGCCGTGCACGACTCTGCTTATCCTGTTGTAGCCCAGGAAGTAAGTCTTTGCACCCTGTGTCAGGTGTTGATCGCTGAGTCGAGCGCTCACGACGGGAGCATCCACCAAAGCGGGATCGTACTTGATGATGGCGTAGTTTTGCAGCGGATGCAGGAATACAACCTTGCCCTCAACCATGATGGAATCAGCAATGGTGACGGTGATGTCGCAAAGATCATACGGCACAACAGCTCGGGAGATGAGCACCAGACCCTTGTCGGCGTCGATGACAAGACCCATTCCCCATCGTCGGTTCTTCGGGAAGCCGTCTAGTTTGACTGGCATGGAGCAGTTGACATGCACAAAGCTGCGGATCAAGGAGGCAATGCCAAGATGCGGCATGTGATCCAACTCAATGAAGGAGGCCGACCGCCGAACAGGGGCAACCGGTGGCAGGGGCTCACCGAGGTCGGAAAAGTCCCAGAGTCCTGTTACGTCGTTTCGAACGGCCAGCTTCATCTTGGCTGACCAGTGACGGTCGACGTATACAATGGTCGTGTTGAGCGTGTGCAGATCACGCAGGTGCTTATACTTGACAACCACTCGCGCCCTGTCGGGAATCTGCTTCATCACCTGGATAAACGTATCCAGATCGGGCACTGCCTTTTGATCGACAGACTGTACGATAAACCCGTTATCTGTATTGTCGAATCGGAAAGATCCTGCGGCTTCGCAGATGTACACTCCCTTAACAGCTACTCCATAAAGCCTGGCCTGCTGGTAGGAGATGTCGTGGAAGCTCGCTCCGCCGACAGTCACGAAGCGATCAGGCGTAATTTTGTGAAGATCGCCGACTTCGATGTCGACCTCGATGTCTTCTCCTCCACGCTGCAAGTGAAACTTGATGGTGTTGCCCACGTTCGAGTCCAGGATGTCGTCGAGGCGGATAAACTGGGTAAGCAGCTCGCCATTTACCTTGATAAGAACGTCACCCTCTTCAATCTTGCCGTCGGAGGGCCCAGAAGGCAAGACAATTTCAGCAACCAGCATGTTGGTTTCCTCCGGGAAAGCCTTGCGCGTCGCCGACTCGTACTCAGGAGTAAGGCCTAGCCTGCGGCACTCGTCAAAAGGCTTCAGCAGAAACTGACACTGGATATCTCCACGTGTGACTGGTTTGCCCTGTTGGATGCACTGAAGTGCGCGAAGCGGCCGATCAAGAGGCAGAAAGTAGTCGGTAGAGGCACCATCGGAGCGGCCACCAGCCTGAAGCGCAACGGCACAACCGTCCTTGTTCACGACGGGACTGCCGGAACTTCCACCGCTGGCAGCAGCGTTTGCCTGGTAGTAGCACGTATTGAAATCGCTGTATCCGTCGCCGTACTCGGGCGCGTTTCGGTCCAGACGACTGATGACACCCGAAAGAATACTCAGCTTCTCGCCAGCATCGTTACCAACGACACGAATTTCGGTACCGACTAAGATACGACACACAAGTTAGTCCTCTTCTCTCCTCTTTTTCTCTCTCTCTCTCTCTCGCCGGCCAGTCTCGGTTTTATCAAACGCACCTTTTGCCAGGTCTGGACTCAAGGTGAGCCCATCCACGTGCATATACTTGATCGCCTTGGGGTCGTATCGGAGGATGCCAAAGTCGTGAATGGGGTCGCGGTACACGGGGTAGCAGTCGACTTCTTCGTGATTGTCAAAGACGCAGTGTCCCCAGAACGGGCCGGAGCCGACAACGTGGCGATTCGTCATGATGTAGCTGAAAACAATAGCATGTCAGCAATGGTACACATTCTCCTACTAGCATACATTCGCTGCCAACCCAAGCGAGCAAACACCAAACAGGAGAAAGCATGCGCCGCACGTACCCTCTCTCTGAATCAACGACATAGCCGGTGGCCTCGCTTGTCAGCGCGCCATCCGTGTCAAAGGAGCACGTCTGGCAGAATCGAATGGCGACGACATTGCGGACGACCTTCTGGATGGTGTCCTGCCACTCGCCGAGACTGCCGGGCGTGCCAACGTACATGGCCACGGGGTGAATGTCGCTGTCAGCATCGGAGCGGTCGTCGTAGCTGACATCGTCGATGGTGATGTCGGGAGTCGTCATGTCCGTGTCGATGCTCGGCTTGTTGCTGCCGTTGACTGGTCTCTTGGCCGGAGGGCTGGCTTGAAGAGAGCCATCGGCTTTCCTCTTACCACCCGTGGATGCTGCTGTCCTGTTCATTGTTACTGGTTTCCTGTCGTTGATGTTCTTCTATCTCTCCTTTTTTTAAATCGTTTTATCTGCTGGGTTTGACCCCTTAGGCTTAAACGGGGCTTGCCGAGTAGCTTGGGGGCGGAAATGAGATTGGTCTCGTCTTTTCTTTTTATAGCTGTTCCGGCGCAAGTTCTTCTTCTTCTTATATCGTGAAGAGGACTGAATATCCGAGGTGAGGCGCAAGTAGAGCGCGAAAGATGTGGTCCTAGCAAATGAAATCCTCCAACCTGGCTTCTATTTGCCCTTTATATAATTATGCAGCTCAAGACGGCGATCGGCGCATTCACGTCTGTACGCTCAGCCGCGGGGTGAAAGCGAAAGCGATTGGCGACTTGCGCGCGGTGTGTCGCGTAGGGTGGCAGCGCATCAAAGACGCGGCAAGATCCGGCGGAGCGCGTGATGCCAGAGACGGCGAAAGGGCGAGGGAGAAGGGCCCGGCAAGAAAAGGATGGTGGTGGACGGACAATGGCAGTGAAGCAGAGGCCCATGTGATGCCGGTCCTTGGAAATCGGCTCTGGGTATGCAACAAACTTGGAGTCGTGGAGAAAAAAAAGGTGGATCAGCAGGCAGGCTTCGCTGCGGGTACGTACTGCGGCGCCTGGAGTGCTAGCACGCGGTACCTGGTGCTAGACGGCGATGACCCTTGCTGGCGAAGCGTGCTAGAGGTGCTAACAAAGAGACCAGGACGAGCACCTATAGTAGGCCTATAAGCAAACAATTAGGTGCATGTAGCAGTCAGTGTGAGTGATTGAATGCTCGCAGCCGTCTTTTGCTTCATGCCCATCCGGGTTCACCTTCGTCTACGGGTACACCTTTAATCAACTGGTTGTTATTGGCTCATGCAAGTGCAAAGCGTTTCGATGCCCTGTAGGACTTGCCGACCCTTGTCTTTCAGCTGCCCTTATATAGATGCAGCCATGGAGATGTAGTTCCTAGCAGAGGTCTTGGAAATGCTGCTATTCGCTTCTTCGCCAATCTACGGCACTCCAAGGTCTATTCATAGCACAGCTAAAACGCGGCCCTGGTACCCGCATATTCGGTTACAGGGTAAGCCCACCAACTGAACAAGACATTTCATCCTCCAGCTCTGAACAACCAACCAACCTAGACGGGCAAATTAATTGTTCAACCCAAAGCCTGCATTCGTTCACACCCTCTTTCCTTCCTCGCCTCACCCCCTTTCTGAACCGCCCCATGTCCATCCCCCATCAAGTTCAAGGCCACAGCCCATCTGCCGCTGCTAGGCTGTAGCATCACAGCTTCTCATCAGCTGCTGGTCGTGAGGTAATATGAAGTACCGATACGCAGTATATGCCTGCTACCTAATGTTTGAACGCCTCATATCTTACAGAGGACAAGAGCAGCTAAGGAGTATCCGCTACACCGGATCTCCATCTTGTTTCTCATATCTCACCCCGTAACTATTTCTCTGTCCTTCACACAGCCAGATACGCCCACCCACCCAAACATCTTCTCCGCCCCTGTCTGCCCTTGAAGCCGGGTCACAACACCAAGCGTGCATATAGCCAAACGAACCAGCCTGGGAATAGCGGCCTCTATCCGCCCTCGCCATCCCTTCCCTACGGGCACTCTCAATGCGGAGACGCTGCTCCTAATGCCGCTGCACGTAATCTCAGGCCCATCATTTGAATCTGACCTGCTGATCTACCTGAACCACCGACGAAAGACACCAAAGAAAAGTGGACGATCTTCACCTAGGTGCATTTCTGGGAGTGGCACTAACACTTAGCAGCGTTGTATCCACTAAGAAAAACGAGCAAAGACGTCGTGACCTTGGTTGTGGTGTTTAGCTCATACGTGACTAAAAGACACTCGGTTTCCTATTCCTCTCAAGACAGTTTGTCTCAGTACATGTAGTCATGATAGCTCATTCAGTCCTTCGTATCCGCAATCGACAGTTCGCTTTGCTCTGTGCCTTTGTTACAAACAATATAGTGTCTCTCCACTCTAGTTCTAGGTATAGCCTTGATACTCTAAAAGCCAAAAGCCAAAAGCCAATGACAAGGAAGAGCCTAGTCATCAGTACTCCTTGGCATTTTCCTTTTTAACGCGAAGATTGCCGTTCGCCTCAGATTTGACCTTGGCCTTTTTGATGGCCGCGGTGGGTTCCTCATCATCGAGGTCTAGACACAAAAGGCGTCACGCCCTGTTAGTAACGATTGTTGCTGATGTTGTATAAATCAAGTTCGTCAAATTCGTACCTTCAGCACCCCGCTTCTTCAGCACCCCGCTTCTTCAAGAGCTCCTGCTTGATATCGAAATCGTCATCGACAGCACCGGCGCCAAAATCCGTAGCCTTGGGAGCCTTCTTCTTCGCTATTCCTCGTTTAAAACAACTATGTTAGCCATCTACATTGTTATGAAAAGCGCTACAAACAAGTGATCACTCACGCTGGCCTTTCTTGCGTGGAGTCTTCACCGGCGTTGGCTCGCCATTATTCTCCTGGGTGTCTAAATCGGCAATTTGCTTGTTGATTCTAGTCCAAATGTTCTGCATGGACTTGACATTCCTTCCAGGGAAGTTGATCTTGTCCCATTTGATGGTGCGACCATCTTCTCTGAGCTGCGCGATAATTCGCAGAAGCAGTTGATACTGTGGAAATGCCACTGTTAGCCGAGTTGAGATGAGTTACGCCAGCATGCAACCCCAAAGGAACAGGTATATAGGCTAAGAGTGCTACATACCTTGGCCGCCTCGGTCCAGATAACACCAGACTTTTCAGGAGTTTCAAAATACATAGTAGTTTTCCTTCGTTGAATATCTTCTTAAAAAGACTGCGAAGATAATATTGTCTGGCACGAATCGATGCGTATGAGTATGAGCGTTGGAAAGAGGAAAGAATGGCTGGTGTAGGATATTAAGTATCGAGTCTCCCATAGTCGGATAAAGCCTGCCAAGATGATTGTGAACAGGGGATGAAGTGAATGACCCCGAGCTGAGAATGGACAAATCAATACTAAGTGACTGCAAAGCAATGAGCCAAGTGAAGCCCTCCGCGAAGGTGCCACCAGCATGATACGAAGTGAAACAAATCTGAAAAAGCAGCATTCTTTGACCCTCCTGCAAAGAGCAAAGAGAGAGGGTGAAAGGAACTGGGCTATGATGCCCATCATTGTGATTATCAAATAATCTTCATTGTAATGGCCTGGTGCACTCCAATATACATTCCACACGCAACCCTGTTTCTAATATACACATATTCTCACAGACACCCAATGCGGGCCAATCCTAAATCTGCCCAGAAACCCAAAGCAACCATCTGATACCAGGTGACACCTCTCAAATCTTTCACCAAGAACTTGAGAACAAAAGCTAAAGGCTGGGGATGAAAAAAAAAAAAGAGGAAGAAAAAAAACCTATGCTGAATCGCACACATATACGAGACATATATATGAGTGCGCGCATATGCTTCAGCCGTGATATGGGTATCGAACTCTTAACCATGAAAACCAAACTAAGCAAATGCCACGGGCGTAATTGCGCTCAGCCATCGCACTTTACTCGTTGAAATCTATCAACCAAACGCCTACCCAGGAAATTAAGAAGAAAGGTGGAAATAAAATCTCGTCGTCTCGTTTATATCGGCATTTTCATCTTCTCTCTAAACGCCATGAATTCTCTGAATCGGGTCTCGTGTTCCTCGCAAGCTGCGAGCCATATTCGGCGGACTCCATTGTCCTGCTCAACCCAGTTGTAATATTCAGATACGTCGGTATCGCCTCGGACCCCTAAGAATGAGTAGCCTTTAGAAACCCTTGCATTTGATATGTTGGCCTTTCGTGTGGCAAAATGGTCCACCACTTGCGAATTAAAAATGTCCCAGCGCCGTAGATAGCCTTCGAATTCTTCAAGATATTTGGTCCACACCGGAACACTTGGCTTCGCGCCTTCAACTATCAATGGAAGTCCAGGAGCAAGTGGGGGATCGGGTAGTTCAAGTTGCTGAGGCTGAGAAGGATTGTTGAGGTGTAGCTCTGCTGATGCCTGGCTCTCAAAAGGTAGATTGTCCTTGAGTTCAGTAAATGACTTGAGGCCAGGTTTCGGTGGCGCAAAAGGCGCAACATTCTTGAAATCTTCAAATGTTGCACGGAATTCTTCGCTATCTTCGGATCCCTTAAAATTGATCGGAATTTCTTTCCTTTCCTCGGACTGCCTCTGCGCTTGGCCAAGACCAGTGACGTTTCCAGGTCGCCATTCCGGCCGCGATGGCTCAACATGAATATTCCTTGCAACAGGGGAGTGATGCTGATGGTGGGTATGTGGTGGGACAATTGGAGCCGGGACGGGAATTGGAGTAGAAGTCACAGAGGGAGTAGTTGGCACAAGAGGAGGAGGAGTAGAAATAGGAGTCGCGGAGGGAGAGGCAGTTAGCGGCGAGTCAATATCCATTGCTTGCGGACTGCCAACCGTTGTAGCTTTGGGTTGAGCGTTGCGGCCTCTCCCAGCAGGGTGGTCATCGTTACTATTATCTTCCGGCATGGCAGCGGTACTGTCTTTACTCATGGGTATAGGTGTTCTTGGTACCTTTTTCCCAGTCTTCCGCGTGGGTGAGCCTGGTTTGCTGGGAGTACCAGGCCGAGGGGCAAACATCTGCGGCTCAAATTTATACTGCTCTGGGTCAAAGCGGGTTGAGTTCTGGGTAGATTGAGTTCCAAAGTTGGGCGCCTTGGGCGTGGCGACTGGCCGACGCCTGATCGGGGAGCAACGATCAGCTTTGTTGGTTGATCGAGAACGGCTCTGTGGAAGAGAGTCATTATCTCCACTTCCTGCACTGAATTGCCAAGTAGTTGAGGTGTTATCCTTGACAAAATTGGTGTTGATTCCATCAACGCTTGTGCTTTTTCGAAATTGGGCGGTTCCTGGGGCATCGGGTACGAATGTATCATCGTCCAAACTAAAATTGAAGCTGCTTGGTAGGCCATTGTTAGCATTCGATTCTTTTGTAGAAGATTTTTTATGATTGATAATGGTGCGGTGAGGTGGTTTATTGGCTTGTGCTAGGATAGCGCCTCTTTGGTTTTTGATCAAGCGTTTCAGAATGGCATTTTGTTTCTGCTCAAAAGGAGAGAGATTGTGAACTGTAACGTGCATTCCACTAGGGACACATATTTCAATCCTTGGCTTTGAGCCGACTTCGGCAATGTGTTGGTTTGGTGGTGGAGTCATTTTTAGTTGATTAGTGGACTTCTTGCCGTGATGCAATGAAGAGCCACCTGGCTTGTCTTTTTGAGGTATTGCATACATTGAAGGGTCTTTCACTCCGTTGACTGGAGTTGCAGGTTTATTGAAGGCTAATATAGAAACGTCAGCAAGCGGCCAAGTCAGATCCAGTGACAGGAAGCAGATCACTCACGCGTGTGATTAGAGGGAGTCTGATTTAATTCGTTGACAGTGAACATATTAGACAAGTGATTGGCTGCGAATGAATTGTCATTTGGTGCTGCTGCCGGCTCACTTGGAACTTTGTACGATGAGCTGGGCCGTGAGTTCGGACGTGAACTGGGAGGAACAGGGACAGCCCGGGGTCTCTCATCAGCTCCTGTCTCGAATTGGCTCCTTTGGGCTCCGCCTGTCGACTCTTTCCGTGGCATACTAGGGCTACGACGCTTAGGCGTTGGTGGACTCGCTGGTTCTGAGCGCGGTTCTTTGCGAGATGGGACCTTGGCACTTTTCGCTCGGTTGATAGGACTACTGTCAGAAGGGTCGGACTTTTCGCTCCCGTCTTTGGTATATGGGGAGCTCTGCGGAGGGTCCATGAAGCTTTCTTCGGTGCGACTTTTCTCTCTAAACTGGGCCAGGGGATCGGGTACTGGTTCTGCTGCTCGCTCAGCGTTCATACGGGAGGAGTAGTAGTTGTTGTTGGTCACTGGTGGCTCGTCGCCAGGGGTGTTTGACCGAGGATAGTATCCGGCCTTCTTGGCCCCGAAAGATGCCTCAGCTCTCTTTTTGGCGCTCTCAGTTCGTGGTGGTGGAGGTGGTGGTGGGACGGGGCGGTCTTGCTGTGCGTTCTTAGCACCGCCTTTCCGCATGCTTTCAAAAGCTCGTGCAGCCGTGGCCGGCGCTGGTTGTTGTTTGGCGGTTGGAGGCACACCGGCTGAGAATCTCTCGTTCCATCTCTGGGCCCCGGAAGTACCTCTTGTTCCATTCTGTGGCCCTGAAGTGGCTGTTCGCGGCTGACCACGTCGAGGTGGAGTAGGGTACTGCTGGCTAACATTTTGCCACGGGTTTCCTCTCACGCCTGAAGAGGCAGGATATCTAGAGGCGGCAGATCGTGCGAAAGAGGCGTCGTATTTGGCCTTGGCATCGGGATCGCTGAGTACTTCGTGAGCGGCTTGGATGATTTGGAACTGCGAGTTGACCTCTTGTTCTCGGCCAGGATTACGATCGGGATGATATTTCAGAGCTGTATCCGAGTAATTAGACGATGATTTCTTTCCTAACAAAAGGAGTTATGTAACTGGCTGGGACCGTTGCACACCTAGCTTTCGAAATTGCTTTTTGATCTCCGTGACATCTGCCGTCATGGGCAGCTCCAAGTCGGCGTAGTAGTTCCGTTGGGGTGCCATCGCAGCACAGAATATCCTGGTTGACCAGGCTTCAGTTCCGAAACGGAATATCTTGCTATGTTGAGCTCTTGGGCTGCAATAACCATGTCTCGCTCAACAGATATATTCCACTCGGGATCAGACGAGAATGGTAGTGGGCAGGGCAGACGTAGTATCAGCAAATATAATGCGGGCAAAATCGTAACAGAGATCGGAAACGAGGAGAGCGCAGATTGGCAGATTGTGTTGCGGCTCGACTTTCGGTGCTCGCAGCCTAACGGAGGGCTATGCTTTTGACGTCGTCTTTCGATGCTTAGGTAGAGCTCCCTGGTAGACACCCTGGCGGTTAGCGAGAGAATTGGAGCGGCAGACAAGGTTGCTGCTGCAAGACGCCCCACGTTGAAGAATCAATAAGAAAGAGTGAGAAGGGAGAAGGGAGAAGCTGCCACCTTGAGCAGAAATATTTATCTTGAGAGGGCCGCAGGGCTGCCAGCTGTCAGCCTGATGCGCCCAGCAGCTAAGGCAAAAAGCAGCCGCTCGCTCAGGCAGTAAGCTCTCTCTCCGTGGATGCGTTGTTGTAGCCCACCATGCAACTGACAGGGGTCGTTCCGAAAATGCAGAACGGGAAAACAGTAGAAGAAAAACAAGCTTGCCAGTCCTCGATCGCGAGTTCGCAGCATGCAAAAGACGACAATAAAACTGGTTGCAACACAAGGGAGAGCGGCAGCTTACCTGGAATGACGTCTGTGCAGCGATGCACGCAGCAAAATGACAAAGAGTGTAGACAAGAAGGGATGCTTTCCGCGGTGGGAGGGCAAAGAGGCCTCGGAACCCAAACAGGCGATGTTTGGCAGACAGCCAACGCGCTCCCCTCCAAATATGTCGTGCGTGCAGATTCTGAGGGCGGATATATCGAAATTAGAAAAACAAGAAAACGTGTTGACACAGAAACGAAGGCGGAAGAAGAGAACAGTCGCAAAGAAGGAGAGGAAGAGCTGAAGCCCAAGTTTTGTTCTGCTTGTTTGAATTCAGGCACTTGGTCCCCGCGGTGACGCAGCGCTTTGTTGATGCTGGCCGAGCGGCTGTGGCTGAGTATAAGTGCGCATGAGCCTCGAGCAGGTGGCGCGCATCGAGATGGATTCCAGTTCCTTTCAGGGTCTGATCCCATGCCCCGCCAAAAAGAGCTATGGGCTGCCGCGAGCTAGCTCAGCTTACAGTAATTAGCATCTAATATACGCAAACTCATCCTTGGGGTATGGATGTCAGTTTGATCCCGTAATAGTTGATATCGAGAAGTAGAACGACGAGAAGCGTAGATACAAGCAGAAATATACCTGTACATACATAATAGGAACAGGTGTATTTGAGTTCCAGGTCTACTAAGATAAGAGGGACACAAAATAGGCACATGTCATGATAGGCACCTCCATAAACGGCACGCCAATATGTGAATACCTTGGGCTTATTTTCCTAGGCACGGCAGCGAGCTAAGTTAATCATAAGGGCAATGTGTATCCTCTGATACGCCATCCCTTTCCATGCAGAACCTGATCAGGGCCCTTTGACTGACCCTTGTTCGCACGTGAAAGCAGGCGCGGGGCTCTTTTTCACAGCAGATAATCTACATGACCAAGGCCTCCACGCGCTTACTAGTAGTATAATCGAACGCGCTGTAGGCATTGTTCTATGTTTGAGCTATTTGCGGCATTATTACGCTCTCTTTCTCTTTCTACAATGTTTTTTAAAGTTTCTGTCATGTGACAATGCGTTTTACAAACATCATTCTCGTCCTTTGCTGATCCTCCCACTAGCGCTTTACAGCAAGGTGAGACATGCCACTTTCGGCACTCACTGCTGTCGTAGCTGTATACTAAAATGAAGATATACTTGCTTGCCCTTTGCAAATCCAAGACAAAAATGCATATATAACATCTCATATCCGTGAGATATGTTGCAAACATGGTATCGAAAATTAAAGCATGGCTTCTCAAGATACTCGTTCATCATATATGCTAAATTCAAGTATCCTCTCAAACCTCATTGCCGTATAGTTCATATGCTAGACTATATTCTTATCCATAGAGAACCTATGTGTAAAGCCAAGCACCTTCATGTACATTCACCATTCTTCATCACTCCACACTCCCTCAAGACATACTAAAACAGTTGAATATCCTAGCTACCCTCATCTACAATATTGAAACGCCAATGCTTGCAATCCTCACCACAAACAAAAAGTATGCACCTTTGGTAGAAACAAGAGAGGAAAAATTATATAAGGGGAGAAAAGAAAAGAGTGCTCCGAAATCAAGTAATTCATGCTGCTGCTGTATGACCCTTTCTCGTGCCCATTTGCCCCTTCAAGAAGACCCTTGAGCAGCCTTCTCTGCCGCAATTTTGGCCTCCATCTTGCGTCTCGCCGCCAGAATCATCTCATCTCTTCTTCGCTGCAGCGCAGACTGTCGCTCTTCGCGGTTGGAACTCCATGCTTTGCCATCTTTCTGCGCTTCTTCCTCTTCTCCTGCGGCCGCTGAGACTGCAACCTTATCCCTCAGGTTGTAGCGTGTAATTAGATCGGGCTGGCTCGGCTTCTCGGGTTGCTTCGCCGCTGGGCCAGAGCTTCCAGTCGGAGGCGATTGGGTTCGCAGCGGTGGAGGTTGGAACGTCACAGGAGGCTATCCGTCAATACGTGCTCGCATTAGCATGTCGGCCGCCGCCAGGAGTAGTAAATGGTTGTGGAACAACGGGTGGACAAGAGAACCATACCGTTTCTAAGCGACCTGCCAGAATCCGCTCTGTGGTGCTCTGGATATTCCCGCCGTTGCGTTGCAGGTCCCACAAGATGCTCCGTCTCTCAACCTGCGGAAACATTTGCTGTATCCTCTGTACTGCCACCTCTCTTGATCTGAGCATCTGCTCTGCGGTCCGCACCGGCGGCCGTTCTGGGTTCGGCCCCGAAAAGAAAAGATACCGCACTATCAGCCCCGACACAATCAGGACAATGGCGAAGAAGGGTAGCGAGATTTGTTCGTCCGACATGATGGGCTGTTCGAGACCGCGATTGCGGTGTCACTTTGGGGGGCAATCTGAAGGAGACTTCGCCGATGACAGGTGATGCAACTCGAGTCGGAGCTTGGGTTCTCGTCTGGACGATGAGCAGTCGGTGAGGTTCGAAGCTAGAATCGCGACCAGCAAACTTGGAGCAAGTTTCAGAACGACACAAAGCCAGATTTAACGGAGTTCAAGCATCAGCTATGCGGGTGTCGCCAGTCGAATTCGTTTCCGTAGCTTGGGCCAGTCGATTCTTAGCTCATTGTTAGGTAGAGAGCCATGCATGTGCTGCCAGATTGCTTGTGCTCTTGGAGCTAAAAGATATGGTGGAACCTCGGCTAATTTCATGCTCAGCAACGAACATCTCATACAAAAACAGGAACCTTTTCACGCGCGACAGCATGCCCAGACGCTATAGGGGCAATGATTGCCAGAAGAAAAAAAGATGAGAAGAGAGAAATGATTATCTGCGCGTAATTTTAATCTCAGATGAGAATAGCGAAAACTTTTGTAGAATATTCTTAGGTATTAGGTACGTGAACAAGTCATTGACTTACAGGACCACCCAACACATCATCACTGTATACAGGTACACCCAGTTCAAGCAGGCACGCAAGACACACAAGCGCATGCAGACACAAACTCAGAAATCAAGGATATGCCAGCCGGTAGCACATGCTCTCCGGCCAGCCTTTTCTCATTGAATCGTAATGCAATCCATCTTAACCATCGCAACCTAGGTAGTAATCTAGGCCTGCCTTTGAAAACCGACTCTGCATTCCAGGACCGTCATGTAACCGAACCCATTCCTATAAAAGCAATAATAATTCCTCGATCCTTGTTCCTAATGGCTGAAACGCCAAAACGATTAAGCAGCTCGACTAAGCTTTCGCGTCCCTAATCAGCAAGCAAGCAAGCAAACCATCCTTGGGCTAAGAAAAAAAAGAGGACGTCGAAGCCCCTTCATACATTCAATACTTCTCTATGACAACACTGGCGGCGGTTGTCCTAAAGAGGTATCCAGATCTCCGTAGTGCAGTGTGAACTCTCTCTATATCATTGGAGGAGCGCAGGCGGTCAGCTTCTGAACATGTCATACGTCCAGCGTGTTCAACGTTGACTTACCCGATCCTTTCGCCAAGTGGCAGTATCCCATACAATGTAGTATCCTCGCTCATGGTTGGGACTTAGGATTTGAGGAGTCATGTGCTCATCCTTGGTCAACCAAACCTGCAACTTCTTATGCCATCGCCAGTTTCTGGAATGTCTGGTTTATGTTAGCTATACGTATTTGGTCAACATAAGAGCTATCTTCTGTGCTCACAATTCCACCGCAGCCATCTGCTGCTTGACATCCAAGGGACAGCTATAGAAGATCCAGAACAGGGTTTCCTCGTTGAAACTCTGTATCTTGGTTTCTATCGGCTGCACGTTTGTTACGCTGTAGCAGTCGGGTAATCGAAATTTATTAGTGTTGACCGTCGGTTTTGGGGGAGTATCATCCAATACTGAGTACATTTGGGTTGAGATCAGACTAAAGTTCAAGCAACGTCAGCTTCTTTGCCCTCACACACTGCAGGTTGTGATAATTAGTCTCCAGGCGACTCACTCTGGGGAAGATAGATCAAGACCAATCGAGCTGGGGTCCATCCCTATGATCATGGCGTGATAATCGGGGTAGTTGTTCATCAGTGTTCGTAGACCTTTTATCCCCCATTTATCAACCGCCGCCATTCCTGCCAAGGGATCTACGACATCTGCTGCTTGGCTATCCTTGCGTTCGGCCAATCTTCCGTTCGGACCTTCGCTTCCAATCACACCAAGAGATCCGCGTCCTTCAGCAGTTGGCGAAGCTACTTCCGACGCCTTGCCTGAGCCGTCTTCTCGAAACTTCTGCTTACCATCAAGTTGCTGTTGCGGCTGCTGTCGACCAGGACCTACATTTTGTTAGGATCAAGCTCTAGCTAAGAGTGTATAAGATAAGACGAAGAATTCAGGCGCCTTCTTACCGTTTGGTGTGCCGATGGCGGGCGGTGATCGTACGTCACTTGCCCGGCTTGTTGCTGTTAGAGCATTCAGCAAGCCATTTCCCCCACCGCTCTGCATTGGACCTGAGGAGACAGGATTTTGCGGTCCAAAGCCAATCGAAGACATGACGTTACCGCCGCGCTCTGAACCAATTTCTCCATTGGATGTCCGATTTAATGGAGGGAAATCATCAACGCTGTTTGGTTGAACTTGGGAAGGTTGTGCTCCAAAACGAAATGGCCCCTGATTTGGCTGCATCCGGGAGGACGGAGGACCGAAGAGATCATCCTGTCCACCTTGCTGAGAGGATCCTTGTGTCGGCTGATTTCGCTGAATAGGTCCACCGATATTTCTCGAGCCCGCCGTAGACCACATCGACCCTTGGGTTGTGCTAGGGAGTTGAGAGTTATTGGAAAGCGATGGGAATTCCCTGTGCATGTCAATTAGCGGATTTTGCGAAATACTGTGCCCCTGGGCACTCTGTGGAATAAATTCAGCAGGAAAAGGAGGGCGCAGAGTCGGCTTCGAAGAATTCGGGTTTGCCTGTCCCTTGAGGACGGCAGAGTAGGCCAAGCCAGGGAAGGACTGCGATCCAGGCCCCATGTTTGACGGTGATTCTTCAACTCTGATTCTGACTAGTTTGTGTTTCTTCTCCACCGGGCGACTCATAGTGATTTGATGTTGCAAACGGCAGAAAGCAGTGAAGGGATCGCGAGGGCGCAGTGAAGTGATATAGCGACGGGGAATTTTAACAGAAGTGAATGCATGGAAAGGACGTACGACAAGTCGAGTGGCGTAGCAGGTTGTGACCCGCTCAAGCTCTGCGCAAAACTGACGTTTCCTCCCAGCTGGCGGGCCTGGTTCTGAAAGGCGCCGCCGCCCATTGGAACAGCTGCATTGAACGCCCAGCCTGAGGCGTTGTTCGCTATATCGTATCACGCCAGTTGTTAGCACTTGGCTTCTGAACCTAGCAGTGGCTTTTCCCTTCAACCCCAAATCCAAGCCCGCTTCAATACACAAGTAAAGTACCTAATTTACCATTTGGTAATCGAGTCGACACTGATCGCCCTTGCTGTGGTTGCTGTTGGCTTCCAAAGCCGCCGGGTATTCCCCGTAACGTCTGCGGCACCGCTCCTGTGGGAGAAAAGACACATGGCATTAGCATCTGTTTTTTCAAGTCCATTTCCGATATCGACATTTCAAGATTCTCGTCCGCTGCCCAAGGTCCAACAGTGCAAAGCCCATCCCTATTCAAAAGCCGTGTTCAAATCGGAGCTCGCCTGTAGTATCCTCGACAGTCTCGTTGTAGGTGGGGCATCGACGACGACGGCTGTCTCTTCGTTTCTGCAACGACGAGCCGGGCAGCAAGACGAGATATATGAAATACCATGTCCCGACTCGTGAACGTATAGAAGATGTGCTTCAGAAAAAACACTGTAGCCATCCGTCGAACCGATCGCACGCCGCTGGCTAATGGGCAGGGAACAAAGGCCCTTCTGGAGCCGAGATTGTCGAGGGGGAGACATTTGGACATGTCCTACCTGGTCGATTCATGATTGCTCGTGGTTTCGCAGGCCACCGGGGTATGACACTGCTGATATGGTGTCGCGTATGTATCTGGATCGTGTATCGAAACCCAATTCGGCGGTCCCTTATCGTACCGATTGTCTATCGTGACCTCGAATCTTTTTAATCTGGTGTCGTCCAGGAAGGCTGGGCTCTGGCGCGGAGCATGCTGGCCGGATTCAAGTGGGTCCGCGCCGAATCTGACCCGCCAGCCAATCAAATCAGGCGACAGACTACGAGGCTGGCTGATTACATGATGGGTACAGAGTACCACGGCTGCAATTCTATCTCAACCTCGCCGGTTTCGTAAATGTGATGAATTGTTCATTTCAATGGACGACTTATCTAGACTAGATGAACGTTTCACTATCATGATCTTCGAAATAATGTTTAGCATATTTCATTCTCAACATTCTTCTAATTAATCGTCTGTCTAAAATTCGACCTAAAATCTATGCCCTGCACCCCTCTACCGATGAGAATAATCTTGCCTTCTGTTGCAGTAATTTCAGCGCCATTTGGAGCATCCATGATCTCGAATATTTCTCTAACACCTTGTAACAACTTCACATCGCCGTTGTTAAAGACAAGACGGCCCTTGGAACGATGAATCTCAAACTCTATAGAGGTTTCTGTACCTGGAAGCTTGTGGTCCCAGAGAACTGCTCGTAGCCATCGGTCAACATCTTGCAGTTGCTCGGGGCGCAGAGCTGTCACTGGTATAGAAACAGTCGATATCGTCTAGTTTTCAGTTAGCTGCTTTTCCCTGCTTTTCCCTCCTCTCTCTCCTGGTACTCACCGGATCCAGATGACTGTGGCCTTTGTTCTTAGCCTCTTCCACATTGAACTGGTCATATGCATGAAGATCTAGCAAGAATCCCTCAAGCTCGGGCACTTCGCTTCTCTGCGTCACATGTATTCTCGCAGCTCCGTTAATGGACTCAATCCGTTCTCTGACTCTTCTCAGCTCGTCTTCACTGACTAAATCCGCTTTATTCAAAACAATGACATCGGCGTGCGAAATCTGCACGTGAGCTGTTGTCATCAAAGGGCCGTGATGGTCATGTTCGTTATGATCCTCGATTTTCCCCTTCGTGTCGTCAAGGCTGTATAGGATATTCTTTGCGTCCACCAGAGTCACCACTCCATCGAGGTATATTGTGCTGCCAAGGCCATCATCAACCCAGAAAAGAGGTGCAATATTGCCAGGGTCTGCCAGTCCAGTTGTTTCGAGCAAAATGTAGTCGAAAGCTCCTTTTTTTTCCATCAGAGATTCGATGGCATTTACACCAGTATCCCTGCGCAAAGTTAGTCTTTTCCAAAAGGAAAAAAAAAAAAAAAAAAAAAAAAGTACGGCGGAGGGGCTTACTTGACAGAGCAACATAGGCAGCCGTTTCCAACTTCAAGCCACTCCTCTACTCTATTGTCGCCCTGGCTCACTGTGAGAGACTTTTCAATGTCCACGGCTAAAAAGATGATTAACTGTTAGAAGATTTGCCAGAGCAAGAGCAAGTTTTAAATGTATATACATACAATCTCCAAATTCTATTCCCCATAATATGTTAGCCTGAACAGATACATGCATATGTGCACTACCTTATGAAAGTCACCAGCGCTGCTTACCATTCATGATAACGGCAATCTTTTTGCCATGTTGGGCTGTAAGTATGTAATTCAATAGCGTCGTCTTCCCAGCGCCGAGATATCCTATTTAATCTATCAGCCATCACTTCATACACGTATTTTTGCTAGCGCCATTGATAATCTCACCTGTCACAATGGTTATGGGTACTTTTACATTGACGCTCTCTCCAGAGTTCTGAATCCCACCACTAACGTCAACCAGCTCCGGAGGGGCATCGTCGTCAAAGTTCATAATGCCAGACGGAGATAATGGGAGGCAATCTAGATATATGAACGAGAAAGAAGAAACAATCACAAGTGTGCTCAGGAGTATCTAAAACGAAAGTCTCAGGATTAAGATCCAAATATTACCAATGGAAAGAGGTAGCAATAGGCTTGGTCGGTTACATAAGGCTCTGCCAGAGTCTACCATATGCACAATGATGTATTCGCCGCGGAAAGAGGATACACCCCGCTAAATTGCCCTTCATCTAACCAAAACGAGTCCATATGCATCTACAAAGCTCACCAGCACATTATGCATCTAAACCATATGGCGTAGCTCCAAGCTCAAACCCACCCCCAATTGGCCGCCAGCCAGGCTGTCAACAGACATCGCGACACTACTTGATATCGGAGCCCCCTTTCTTTTTTTTCTTTTCTTTTCTTCTCTTTTCTTTTCCCTCTCTTCGACGCTTTCAAGATCACGAGAGCTGCGGCCGACCTCCTCCATCATGTCTCTGGCGCCAAGCTCCCCTCGTTTGCCCAGCCCGCCGCCGCCAGCAGAAATCCAGATAGGGCCAAATTCCCCATCGGGAGGCCCCGCGGCGACGTTGGCGACGACCGAGATGGAGCAGTCGCATATAGACGCCAGTTCTTCTAGGAGGATACACCCGGGAACCAAATCTGCAGACATGGCCGTTGGCCCTCCATTGGTGCCGCTGAGCGAGGTATGGCGCACGCAGAAAGATGGGAGAAAACGCACGAGACACAAGATATATTACCCAGAGACTAACATGAAATCTTTCTTGATCGCGCAATCAGCTAGACTCGCCGTTTCAGCTACAAGAACACCTCGCCGCTCTGCACTACCACAGCACCGCATCCGGCACTCAGCCGCTGACTCGCGAATCAGCTCTCCAGCTCGCCCAGCCGCCGAACGGCATCGACCGCACACTCTGGCTCTACGAGCTCTGCCGCTTCCTCATCTCGCAGTGCAACTCCCTCATCTGCGGCTTCCTCTTCGACAGCCCTCCGTGCAGCGCAAACACCTGCCCCGAGATGCGCGCCTCCGAATGGCAGTTTCTCTGTGCCGTACACGAGCAACCTAAGAGCTGCTGTGCCATAGATTACTGCTGCCACACCCTCGACTGGGCCGCCAACGTCGTGTCAGACCAAAAGATCTTCCCAAGCCGCTTCGTCGTGGTCAACGACGTTCATAGCAAGAATGTCGGCGTCAAGAGCTTGGTCAACGTCTTCCGCAGGCTGCATCGCATCTTTGCGCACGCCTGGTTCCAGCACCGCAGCGTCTTTTGGGCTGTCGAAGGACAGACCGGCCTTTACGTCTTCTTCAAGACCGTGTGCGACTTGTACGACCTGCTGCCAGCTGAGAATTACAAACTGCCACCCGAAGCAGAGGGTCTCGAAGCCCACCCAGAGTTCGACGTAAACGCTAGCAGCAGAGCTCAGCCACCTCAAATCTTGAAGCCCTCAGCTTCGCAGATCGGAGCAAACGAGGGAGATGAAGATGGCCTGCACGGGTCTGTCAACCGTACAAACACCCGCAGACACATCAGGAGCAGCCCATCCACCGGAAGCTCTGTGACAACCGTCATGGAAGCTGAAGAAGAAGACGCCGACGGAGTGTCTCGCAGACTGAGAAGTATGCACCTAGCGGGTCCTGACCTCGTAGAGGAGGAATCCGAGTCCGCTGAAGTTCCCGTGATTGTCGAGCAATCAGGCATTGCTGGCCCTCCACCTCCTCTCCTCTTCTCGCTGTCCTCAGAGCCTAGCCAAGATGAGACGGGCACCACCGTATTTGACCTATCTGATCCTGGCCAACAAACGTCAGGGGTATCAGAAAGCATTGTAGAGATTACCGACGACGATGTCACCAGCGTCATTGATACTTCTGACCACCATATCGTCGCAGAGGCTAAGGAAGAAGAGAAGCCCCAAGAGGCAACTGCTGAAGCACCAAGTGAGGGACAAACAGAGGGCGAAATCCCAATCCTAAGCGAAGAATCACACACATCCGAAACACCCGCTGAAGCCGCCAAAGAAGAAGAAAACCCAACACCTGAAAGAACTACCAAAGAAGAAGTCACCGCGCCCGAACCCGCAACGGAACGGGACGCAGATGCGGCAAAGGAAGAAAACCCTCAGCAAGAGGAGAAATAGCCTGCACTTCACTTACTTTGTTTTGGATGAACAAAGGGCAAATATGATTAATCTCTCGGGGACGAACTAATCATCCTGTCGAACCCTACTTAATGGCTGAATGTTCTACCCCGAATCTTTATGTGAAATAGTAAGAAAGCATTAAAATAATTGTATAAGCGTCAAAGCCATGAGAAAAACGAGCATGTGTTATGGCAAACAGAGATGGCGAGTACAGTACAGTAATACGCCGGTGATTACTTAATATGTAAATCAAACAAACAAACAAATAAACACAGTGATTGCACCATACTATGCAGAGTACACCAAACTCCATCTAAGTGTATCCACGTGAACAGTTGTCACCGCCGATAATTGACCCTCACCACAAAAGACCCATCCCAGACCCAGGTATTATCTAAAAGCGCCGAGTTTTCCAAGCCTCCAAGCCTTCATTACCGTGCACTGTGAACCAGAGGAGGTTTGTGTCTTGCCCATTGGTTTTGTCTCTGCATCGGGCAGGGTAACAACATTCTCAAGCCGAGAAATATTCCAAGTCCCTTCGGTGCGTTGCCTTTGATACCTCGAATACTTCCTATTCCGCTATTCCCCAGAAACTCGAAACCAAGCAGCTTATTATTCGCAGCATTATTCGCAGCGGAGTCCAATCATCCACTCCCAAACTCTTTCATCAAAATCGTTTATCAATGTATCTCTCCACTATTAACAAGTCCCGACTACAACTGGTGCTGACCGGTTGAACACTCAGGGACCAGGAGACGTGCCGCCAATATGATTTTCGTGCGCCGAAACGGTTCGTAATGTCGAATTATGGTCCATTTTCAGAAAATCTGCGATAAAAACATATTGCCAGATCTATGGGCCCTTCTTTATTATTATTATTAATATTATTATCATTCTCTTTTGAATAAAAAGAACGCATCAAACTTTCGTCCGTCATTCAAGGATAAGTTTGTCGAAGAGGTGTTTCACTTCGCGGAGATTCACCTGCTGCGAATTCCCCGCCCTTGCGTTTCGTTCGTCCGCGAAACTTCGTATACTTTGAAGTATTGGTGTAAAGCCTTGATCGTTCGGTAGCCACCAATGAGCACATGAAGGGTCTCCAAAGATCTCCGCCATCTTTGTACGGCGAGTAATGGGATTGATATGTCTAAACCATTCAAAATTAGAATATTGTTCAATTCAAAACAATAAGCAGTAAAGAAAGAGGCGAAAAGGTGAGAGAATAAAGAACGGGATGATGGAACAGGGCAATTCTAAATGATTAGGAATGGGAGAACCGCGTTGATAAGTCGGATATACCTACCCCTGAGCTTCTAACATTGCAAATTTCCGTCGCAGCCACATATTGTGATTCGGTTGATGCGGCAAGAAAAGGCCAGCGATTGCAAGACAGGGCTGCATCGCGATTAATGTCCCCGCTGGCAGCTCCGGCCAATGCTCCATACACTCGAACAGCTCACACACCGCAAACGCATGTCCCCCTAATTCCGCGAACAGCTGTTCTGGAGACAGATCGGGTGACTGGCTTTTGTGCATTATAACGATGCTGTGCCATTCCATTGTAATAATGGTATTGTTAAATAAAGGATGCTCATAGAGCATTCCTGGGCGATACGGATCGACAATGTAGTTGGGATCCAAGGGACGCCGCCAAGGAAAATCAGTCACGAGGTATTTTTGATCGCATAAAGCTGGATCCCAGCTTCCCTTCCATCCCTCAAGCTGTGCCGTCAAGTGACTGTGTTCAAGTGCGTAATCTGTTGGATTCATCTGCTGTCGACTTCCACGAGCATACAAGTCAGACATATCGTAGGAGATGAGACGTAGACGAGCGGATCGATCTTCAATCCTCCAACGTAATTCGGCGGGATTTGATGCTATCTGGCTTTGATAAAACGCAACCATGGTGGTAAACCACTCGCGGGGGATCTCCGTGGGAAATCTACCCATCAGAGCGACTATGTTATCAAATCGGGCGTACCAGCTGAGGCACATTCGGCCCATGGCGGATTGCATCGCTGTCTGCGGGGTATAGATATGGGTCAGAATTTCGAAGGCAGCTTTCTGGTGCCCCATGAGGTTCACCCAGTCGCCCAGATACTCCTAAAAACATACGTCAGCGGCATGAGTCATGATGATCTGGGTATTTGCCTCCAATATTCATAACCTACCTCGATGGTGGCGAGCTGCAGAATTGTCAAAAGTACATGGACATTGTGCGTCTGCTCCCTTCTCAAAAGCCTTAGCAGCAGCACAACGCTTCTATTATAATATTGGAGGAAATCGTTCAGTTTTCCATTTGGATTTTGCAGAGTAACATGATACGCAGCGAATCCAACCAACGCATTGAGCAACGGCTCAAACGTTACCGCAACCATCTGTAGCTCAGACTTGAAAAAGTCGTCTTCATCAACCGCCAAGCCGTAATGATAGTTGGTCATATTCTTTTTGAAGAACTGGAGGTAATTTTGAAAATCTGGCGGCAGCTTCATATCTTCTGTAGTCCCTTCCAGCGTTAAATGTCCAGCCAGCGCCGAACTTCCCGTCGCTACGGTAGAATTCGAGTTTGTGGGCGAGACGCTTTCGTTTTGGTCCTGTGACGGCGTTTCGGAAGCCTGGCGGCCGCTCCCTGAGGCGATATTAAGGGATACTGCACTTGCCCTTCGGACCTGTGGCAAGCCAGCCATTGATTCTCGACGCAGTAATCCATCGGGTTCGATCTCATCCGGAATCGTCTCAAGCTTTGCGTCTTGCTCTATATCGTCTTCTTCCACCTCGTTAGAAGATGTGGGGCTTATACACTGAATAGTACATGAATCGTCTTTTGACTTGATAGCAGAGCGGTCAAATTTACCTTTTGATCCTGGCAGTTCAGGATAAGAACATTCTCGGTTTCCTTTTCTGCAACCTGCCAACCGTTAGTGCATTGGTCCGAAAAAAAAAATTCAAGTCCTTCGGCCTTTGTGGCTCATGGCTTACGGTCACATATTGGTCGGTTCTCGTCACACTGTGCGATGTCAGTCACATTATTGAAATTGCTCTGCATAGTTTTGCGATTTGTCCTACCTTGACTCGGCGGCTTCGACACGTATAGCAGCCAGAACGCGTTCTCCGATGCTTCACTTGGTCCGGATTCCCGCCGCCTTGGTTTGCGGTCGATCGTCGCCGGCCTTTGCCCGCCTTGGGAGGATTAACAGGAGCAGGTTCCGCATACGTAGCGAAATATTCAGAAATGGAATTTGAGGGATACGGCGGGGGGATTTCTGGGGTCGTCATGGGCCGCATAACTCCAGGCATGAAGCCCGGATTCAGCTCGTCGGGGCTCGTAGGCAAGTAGCCGTCCGCTCCCGTCATTGTAGAAAGGAATTGGCTGTAGAAATCACCCATGGTGGTAGTTATGTAGGGAATTCGAGGTATCCAATAGTATCTAGCGGGTAAGCCGTTAAGAGTTTGTTGAAGATGGATACAAGGTCTTCAACTCTTCGCATGCTCAGCGGATAATTCAAAGTGTATAGAGGTCGAGCTTGTCGCATCGAAAGCCAAACGATGCGCAAGTTACAGGGGAGATCTATTGCCGAAACCTGCTCACAAAGATACCACAGTCGAATTATGTCTCAGGTAGAGAGGAAACCGACAAATGGTCGCGGATTCGAGATATCGAGGTAGTGCTGGCGTGTCGCCGGTAGGATTGGAAGGCGATTCGTTGATATTCTCCGATTAACTCCAGTTCTTATATTAAAGTCGTTGATATAAGCTCTAAAGACAAAGATTGAGGCCGAAGATGACGCGGTGCGGTGGATGATATCGATCCAGGAAGTTGAAGAAAGCCGCGCAAAAGGGCTAATAAGAAAGACAATTAGACAAAACGAACGACGAGAAGACGTCTCTGCGCAGCTCCAACTTCTAAACAAGTCGATGCGGCGCTTATTAGTAAGTGTAAAGGCCAGGTGAGATATAGTAGTGGTGGTGATAAGTTGTAGTAGGCCCAGCCCTTTGAGGCCGGTTGGTATCGATTCTTTGCTTTTTCCACAGGAGGGATGCGGAGACAGTTGCCGAAGTCGTGGCTCTTCAGGCAGTGAGTGCTGGATGTAGTGAGGAGTCCGTGGGCATACAGAAGCAGTCATACACGTATTATGCACAGCTTGCTTGTCAGCCCCAGAATATCGGTTTGTCACTGCGTCTCGCTAGATCAGTCCCTGTTGGCTGCAGCAGTCAGGCGGCGTATGCAGGAAGCAGCAGCTGGAGAGCAGCAAAGGCAGCGCTGGCGCAGCAGAGACGACGTGGTACGTATAGCCCACGCTGCGGGGAGTCGGTTCCGGTCCAATATGAACGCGCAGGTGCTGCTTGGGAACAGATGAGGGATGGCTGCACGATGAGGACGTATCATGTGCTTAAGCACGTAGACGGTAAGGACTGCGAAGGCAGTTGCAGCTCGGCAGCCCCTGGGCAGAGCCGGTCAGTGGGAAGAGAGGGAATGATTTATGGACGAGAAGAGTCGCGTCTGGCGAGAAGACTCTGGAAGCAGCAGCCGTGTCGAAACTCTTTGGCCATGGAGGCGTCAACATAGACAGACTGATGGAGGTGCTTCGGCCGATCTCCTCGTGGTAAGTACGGCGTCTGCAAAGCAGATTGCCCCCTTTTCTCCCCGGCCCCTCAGTGACAAGAGGATCTGACGACCCTTAGGGCTCGCGATAGGATTGAAGCCGGAGAATTTGAATTCGACAAGATTAGATCTTTGAGAGAGGATCAATCAAACTAATCACCTGCATCAATGCTTGGTCGATACTATTTGAGCTTCTGGCTTCCGAAAGGGACTCAAGTGCCTGGTCCACAGCGGAGTCGGCTGGTGGGAACTGGCCCAGCGCATTCCCACAGGGCACTCCGTCCTCGATGGAGTATCCCGCCAGGGTAGTGAAAATTGGGAACTGAGCAAGGAGAATGATGAAGCTCTAGCAACGGAGGGAAAGGCGCGGGGCAGAAGAGAAAGACGGTTAGAGGCCCCCCTGGGCGGCAATACACATGGGTCCTGCCAGGCGTATATGGCTCCAGCTAGGATGCGAATCTATCAACAAGCACCCTCCGTCAAGGCGATCCAGCTGTGAAATAAGCCTGTTTGCAGAGCAGAGCAAAGATGCGGCTACGGCTTCTTCAGCACATGAATGATCGAAAGCAGTAGTTTCTGGTGGTGGTGCCGCTGGTGGTTGCTGGTGGCGGGCTGGATCTGGAAGTGACAAAGAAGCATACATAAGCTACTCGCGCCGCCGCCGCAGTCTAGACCCAGGCCTGGAGATTCTTTATTTCTTCCAGACGTTAGCTTCAGAGCATATTCAAGAAATACCTACAGGTATTCAGGCCAACTGATGAGGAGCGAGGCTTTTGCAAGAGACCGGGAGTTTGTTCCTCTTTAGGTAATGAGCATGTCACGGCGGTACTTTGGAGACAGAGCAGGCAAGCATTGCGCTCGATACAACGCATCTGCTCTCCCATTCTTCGGTACAACGTTCCAAAACAAGCCGGTAAGTCGTCAGGGCCAGGGAAACGTATTCGATGATGCTAGTGGTGCCACTTTGTAGACAACAAATAACCTTTTGGGGGGTGGGCAGCAGGCATCAAGCCAGACCCAGCGAGCAAAGCCAAGGCTTCAAAGCTCCTCCCTACCCCCCTCATAGACCGCATGTATGAATGCTCGTAGGACCAGTATCGAGCCTCTAAAAAAAGCATCCACAAGGCCTGCGAAGCCCGGGTCGCGGCGACCAGCCTAGCAAAGACGGGGAGCAGAGCCAGGGTTGAATGCACAGCGGGCTTGGAGCACCCCACGCCAACCTCCGGCCTCCTAGCTCTGCCAGTCCATCACTACGACGAGTTTGTACTAGATGGAAGCTCCCCCTCTGATCCTCAAGAAAGAAGGCGAGCGCGAATGTCCTAGGAGGAGCACCAGCCTGTACTGTGCGCCTCCGGCCTCTGTGGTGTTGCGGGTGCAGTGTCGTTAGTAGAAGCCAAGAGGCCATGAATCAGAATCGAGGCCGGCACAGAGTCATGCCAATAGCAGGCGGTACCGAAAATCCTCAGCAGCGCACTCATGTACGAGTACATCTGTGGTGGTCGGTACGTCGCAGCCAGCCTGCACATATCATATTTGGGGTGGTGGAGATGGCTCATGGGCCTAGGATTGGCTTGGCTGGGGGTGAAAGCAGATACACACGGTGGCCTGCTCAGCGATCCTCAGCCGTTCACACGGCCCTACATGTGCTTGTATATGCTGCCAATGGTTGGGGAATCGAATGCCTCGTTCTCATGTCCTCGGTCCTTTCCTGCTTTGCTCTGTGAGCCGCAGCTTGCCGGCACAAGCGCAGCTGGTGAATCGAATGTCTCCGCTGCTGCTGCTGCTGCTACTGCTACTAATACTCGTCCTCTCGTCGGCCCCTTGCCAAACCAGTCGGCGATAGCATATATTGCACCGTACCAACAGCGCCGTAGCGTACAGTGGGCGATCCGCGATCCATTCGGCCAGGTAGCTTCACAGCTAGCTGCAAAGCTTTGCACGGCGACCCGCGTCTTGTCGCCGTCCAGCCAGTCTCGGAGTAGCTGTCGGGGCTTGGACCGGTCTGGTAGCGTGGGGTCGTAGCCTCCGGCCCGACCAAGCGTGCTCCGTACGGTGCGAAAGTCTCTGTTTGGGGCGCCGTCTGGCAACTGGCTGGCCTTGGGCGCCTTCGATATGGTGAATCAAGGCCATGATGGCGTTCATAACGGCGGCCTGGCGATTCGCAGTTAGCAGAAGCTGCGCAGACGCTGCCACCGCAGCACCAGCACCAGCACCAGCACCAGGTACTACGTCGACTGCTGGGTTGAGCTGCTAGCGGCTGGCCCTAATAAGGCACAGGCGCTACTTCTTACCTAGCTCCAGCATCGATGTGCAGGTGCGGATTGAGAGCTTGAAGATTCCGCGTTTCGTGGCTCGACATGGGCGCTCGGCACTAACTGCTGCAGTTACTTGGCCTTGCTGGCCCTACCTGGCCGGCTGGGTGGTATTTCGTACCTTACCAACTTACCTAGCCTTAGGCGCTCCTTCTTTACCTCAATCAGTCACTTGAGCTGCTCCTTCTTCCATGCCCGTCGCTGTCACGGCTTATGTAATACGTGCGGCTTACGGGGGCAGCTCCTTTTATAATTCCTCTTCTTCTTTCTTATCCAATACAAAGCTGCATGTCCACCATCGTCGACCAACGAACGCAAAACTACGGCCGTCACACAGCCATCCAATCCGTCCAGTCCATGCATCCCGCAGTCACAAGCCTAGCATCCCAAGATTGACATTTGCCTTCCACGGTGAGCAAGAGAACAGCAGGTGGATCCTGGCTGGCTACAGGGTCCAGCGTCCGGCGGCGCCACGCAATTTGAGCACACCACAAAGCAGCAGTGCACAGACCATCAACGTCCCAGAAGAAGCCGCGCACAGATGGGCTTGCAGCAAGAAGCATGAATCGCCAGGTCCGTGATGCAGCTAAGCTTGCGCTTTCAACCTATTGAGCTGCGCGGTGCGAGTGGGCTGGATGCTGCGCGCTTGGTTGGGGCCTTTCCCCGGGCCAGTTGCAAGGATGGGAGTCGACCTGATCCGCAGTGACCCCCAAGTCTCCAATCCTTTTTCGCCGACACAGCAGGTATGGAGCACGAGCTATTACGAGGTATCCAATGCTACCTCTTCACCTGTACTGTACCTACAGCCGCAGTCGTCGGGCACAGGCCAGCAAGGCCGCTGTGCTCCTGTCTACCAGCAGACGTTTGTAGGTGACGGTGGCATTTGCTCTCGAGCCGCGATACGTCGGCAGCGCGGGAGCGGCACGGAAGAAGCATGGGTACGGCGGTTTTGGCTTGGCGCGAGCCAAGAGCCAGGCCCTGGCATAATTCTCCATCCGGGATACACTCTTATTTCAATACTCCGTATGCATCTGGTTATACCAGATGGAAGAATCGTTGTATCACTTCTTGTAGGAGGCAAAACTCGAACCGAACACAACTACAAGCATCCAATGGCATCGATGCCATCTAGCCTACCGCAAAGAGTCATTCAAATCACCTGCAAGATCCAAGATATGAGAGCGGCTCTCGGCCCTTACACACAAGTAGGTTAGTATTCATGCGTCGATTGTCATGTCGGGCTATCATCTGTCTTGGCCAATGCCCTAGTCCCTTGGCTAGGTATTCCGACTTTCTCGCAGAGCTAACCGCATGTCTAAACAGCTCCGTACAGGACTCAATCAAATTTACCAGCACCTCATGGTAAACGGCACCAGTCCATGTCTCTTAATATACAAAGCCTGCAATTGGCAAATTTGCATATTCTGCTAAATAATGCCTCACTATCAAATTAATATTGGCCAAAGCCCGTACCTTGCATTGAGCATTTACGGTACACCAACTCTTCATTTCGAATACCTACTGCTCCGCCATGGCAATCATACGGCGCCAGCGGCATCAGTGCCGGACGGTTTGGCATTCTCACAGCTAGAAAAGGGCAGTATTATCTTCACGCGTATCTGAGGGACGTGGTTCGCAATTCTGTTTCCTCGAGAACTCCAACAACACCAACTCCAGCAACAACAATTAAAGCTGCTATACATACATATTGCCTGTGTTGCCACGGGTCGCTGAGAGAATATCAGGTCCAAAGCCTGGTCGTAAAGTAGCGGGCTACTCCCAGTTACCAGCAGTAGTACGGGGGCTAGTGGTATTAGACTTTAAAACCTCCAGACCGGCTGCCAGGGTTCTAGAAGGGAGACAGAGTGCGTCCAGGGCATTCAGAACAACGCGAACTTTGATGGGCGGATGGGTCTTCAAGAGGAGCTTCGACAGGTGTGTACTAGCTCGGTGCCACCTCTGCGGGCTTTGATTTCCGGGAAAGGATCCTCCAGTACCTCTTCAGAGCAACTAGAAGCCCACTTACGCAGTTTGGATCAGCCTGCAGCAATGTCAGGGAACAAGGATGCCGCAGCTGGCTCGACCAAAGGGACACCACGACCTACAGTAGTATTTTGCCCCTAGTTTGTCATTCAAAGCTTTTCAATCTCCAGCAAGGTTACATCAACTGAACCACCAAGCGCATGGGCCGAGACTTGGAGGGAAAAAATAAAAGAACAAGTGAGAAAAAATGCACATTGACTTGACGTCCGCTGACGGTGGCGTTTCGGTTCGAGTCGTTGTGGAATAATAACTCTAAAATCCTCGTACCATTCAAAGTTCATCGCGGTAGGGCGAGGAGCCCGATCCTTTGCATTGCAAAGACTTTGCTGTACTAACATGATATACATGCTAATTACCTAGGTACCTACTCCGGCCGGGCAGATAAGCGCGCACATGGGCATGTTTTCCTTGCTGAAGGATGCTGGCCTTGCAGAAGCCAAGGTGCTCAGTACGAAAGGACCAACCACAGTTCGTTCCATACAGCTAGAGTTTTTTGGCACATGGTTCGGAACACATCGAACCAAGAGTTGGCAACGGACGAGCATGTCACTGGAAAGTCGCATGACGGCTACGAATCTGATCCCAACTGCCGGCCTTTAAGGTTTCGATTGGAGCATACGGCCTCGTGCCTTTCGCAGATATGCTTCTTTGCCAGCAGGCTGATCGGGCTTCCTGCGGGCTCTTTCCTGTGTGAGCAAGATTATGTTCTTGCACCAGCAGGACACTGCGGACGACTACATCAATTTGTCGCCGTTTTACATGGCCAGATTTCCCAGAGAAGATGATAGGTCCAACCGCATCCAGCTACTACTACCTCCAGCCGGGATGAAGTCCTGCTGTTCAAGCCTAACGCTACGGAGTTCAACAGTCCACTAATACCAGGCTACAACAGTAGGAATATTCAGATATGAAGTGCCATTGCGGGGATTTTCAGGCCTCTCACAGCACGTCGATTGGTGGGCTCACTTGTTCACTTGCTTTCCTCTTGCTGTCACCTCTTCTGCATTATACTTACTCGAGTCGTGCACCGACCGACTAAGGAAAAGCCATCTTTGACCCCCCTTTTACTCGCACGTACGGGATTTAAAAAACTCAGCAAGCCATTTCCTACAGCCCTGACTTTGTCTGTGGAAAGCATTATTTGCTTCATTACCGCGACCGGCTAGTGTTCTTCTAGCAGAAATGAGAATCATGCGTGTCGCAACCTTTTTCGCTCTCGACCATTTCCATGCTTGAGCGTCTTGTCCTTGCTCTGGCCCGTGCCTTAGCTCGACGGCGTCTAATTTCTCCTCCTGCTGCTGTAAACCAGCAATCTGGCGCATGCAAGTACAAAGGCACCGAGGCTTGCCCACTTTTAATCAACACTATATATCCGCCGGCCAGCCTGATTGTACTTGCACGTATAGATGACCAAATATCCGTTAGTGCTTGGAACCAGTGCGGAATTTGTGAAGACGGTGGCTAGGCTGGTAGAGACGGAACCAATCATGAGCAACAAGATCCCCGGTCATATGTCACAATGCCAGGGGGGTTGCACTACATCATCGGGTAGTCAAGGTTCACCTTCAGATACAAGTAGGTATGATGGCAACAAATTGGCCGCTAGTTACCTTTGCGGCACAGCTTACGATGAATATTTCAGATTGGCCCTTCAGGACACGTTGATGTCAAGGCCAATGCCGGCCGCTGCAAGCTCACGTCCCCCGGTTCTCCATAAGGTCCATAAGGCGCTACGCTCGCGCTATTCTCCGAAGACGAAGAAAAGCTTCAACGGCGCCCTGCTAGCAGCGGACTAGTTTCCTCTATTAGCACCCCAAGCAATGAGCTAATAGGGTTGGTCTTGAATTCCTATCCATAGCACGTGCTTGCGCTTTATTGCCGTCGAACTGACAATGTACTTGTAGATAGTATAGTGGAAATTCGAGATTTCTTATGGGATTCGATATGAAGCCCAAAGGGGGTTGGTGGTTCATCTCAACAGGGCTGCATATCATGTAGTACAGTATCTACATGATAACAGTGCTACAAGGTGGAGTCTGCCGTATCCTTACAGTACGCAATCGTGCTATACAAATGCCTCAGGGAAGTACTACTACTACCTAGGTAGTATCAACGTCTTGAGCCCTTACTTTCAACTTGAGGTTTGACTGAATTTGATGCTCCGAATAGCTTGCGACGCACACTTACTCTAGGAAACTAACCCAGGGCATGCACTGCCTTCAAGAGAGAAATACTTGTACAGCTTGCTCGTTCCTCTGATAGGGCACTTACTCGTACGAGCAACGCTCATCTCTCCCAATCTTTGCAAGATGGCTCCGACCCCTCAAAACCCCTTTCCACCCCACTCTGGTGCTTCAGCTTCCGGTGCCACTCGAGCCATGCACCTGCGGCTGGATGTTCGCCATAAACAGCCTTGAGGATCCACGAGTAATGCACCAAGTGTAAGAAATTTCTCCTGGCAGGGATTCTACTCCCGTCACATGCAAGGCTGCCGCTTCAGACTCCAGCCCTGAGCGCCGCAGCCAACCAAATCGAATGTTTTTACGTATCTCGGAAAGATTTCAGTCGAAAGGCCAGGCCAGAATATCTGCGAGGATTTCCTGACGCGTTTCTGGCCCCTGCCCACCTCAAGCTGTCATTTTTTCCAGTGTGTGATGAAACAGACATCAAGCCCGACTTGCGCAGCTTACCCTGGAGAGAGAGCAGACTTGAGGTATTTCGTACTGTATACTGGTATGCAATCAGTGTAGCCTATATGGAAGCAGTCTGCTGGCCTGCTGTAAGGGTATACCACATCAGCAGTTTGCGACACAATTGGCCCCAGCTACAAAGACTCCGTGCAGGCAGTACGAGTAGCATTAGGGGCTGGCGGGGTTTCGTTTAATCTGATCTTGACACATATTCTCAAACATAGGTATGCTGTTAGGTCCTAGTAGCACGACCTGCTCACGTAATAAGCAACCCACTAATGCTACTACGTGAGAGTTATAGATTCGCAATGGAGCCTCATCATGGTCAACTGCCAAACCTGCCGTACTTTGGTCACTCCATCCGACTATCACATTTTGTGACGTCAAGACAGGCGCGGCTTTGGCGTCTAAAGCATTCTATGCCATATCTCAAGGGATTGTGCTGTTATTACGAACCCCATTCCCTCGCACTCAAGGCTGGTCCTTGACAGTTGTTGGTTGCCGCAATGCCGTCGGTCTCCGAAGTTGTTGCTTTGTTTGACTCTACCGCCATTGCCCTCCTCCTCACAACCGTGGTTGTTTTTTCGATTCCTGTTTTTATACTGTTCCCGCCGATACCAGTGGAGCTCGGAGATGCTCTACAACAAACGCACAGCAAAGTCGGCATCCCAGCATCTGAGAGCAATCTCAGGGACCAGACATCGCCCGAGCACAACTACCAACCGGACAAGGCTGGCAAGATACAAAGCTTATTGGTCTACCCTGTCAAGTCATGCCAGGGCATAGAGGTTACGAACAGCAAAATCTTTGCAAAGGGGTTTGAGTTTGATCGCCTTTTTACCTTTGCAAGGCAAAAGGCGAGCCGCCCCGTGACATCAAGAGAAGAGGCTGAACAGCCAGATCAGCCGAAGAAGCCGCAATGGGAAATCCTTACACTACGGCAAGTTCCGCTGCTAGCAAATGTTCAAGTCGATCTATGGCTCCCAGATGCAAGCAAGACTAGTCGCCAACTTGGCAGAGTAGGCGGCCGATTCATCGTTGTTAAATTTCCTTGGAAGGATTCTGGCTGGAGGGGCACGATCCAGTGGATATCTGCCAAACTGAGCCGCGGCTTCAGCGGCATCCCAGAAAAAGAGTTCATGCTATCCATTGATTTCCCACCCCCGAGCGAGATTGAGACCAGAGGCTACCAGTATGATGATACGCGGTTCTTCGAGGGCACCGTTCATGCGCTGAATCTGAGAAACGAGGTGCCCATGGAGCTGGCTCGCTATCTGGGAGTCACTGTGCCAATGACTATCTTCATGATCGACCCAGCTCAGCGGAGGGAAGTCTTCAGAAACGCGCCTCGCAAAGAGGACCTTGGTTACCAGCCCATGGCCGACTTCCAGGATGTGGTACGTTGTGATTGGTTTACAAGTCCCCCTTCACTTTTCATGTGGGCTCTGAGCAGAACTGATGACCTCCCGCAGTATCCACTGAATGTCCTTAGCCTGACGAGTGTCCGCGCTTTGGAGTCCAAGGTGCAGAAAGACGACGGGCTCAAGTTCCTGGACGCGCGCCGTTTTCGCCCGAACATTATTGGTATGTATAGGTATTGGCTGTATATTTCAGACTATGTGTTTCAAAAAACTACCCCCATATATCGAACTATAGACCCCCACGCTTTAACTGTACAACTTTCAACTAACTTGATGTGACTAGTTTCCGGTCTCAAAGAGTATGACGAGGACGACTGGCGACGGATTGAGTTCTCACAGCCTTCTCAAGGCGCCACGGCCCCGGGATCGAAGAGCCAATTTGACGTCTCAGGCCGCGCAGTTCGGTGAGTTACTTGAATTTAATTTTTTTTTTTTGCCTGCTTCTATTTTCGTTGCCATTCTCCAGGGGGGGGAACTTAAGCTTTATTCTTACCCTTTCCTTTCCCCTGAGGTTTTCGCCCTGACTTCACAAGCGCCCGCGCCTCTTTTTATCACCCAGCAAACGTTAGCCCAATAGTTTACGCCCATATCATCAGGGTGGAGACTCTTGCTGCTAAAAGAGTTTCTCACATACGCAACATACCTATATACGATACCGTCCTCCGAATTGCGTGCTAAACATTTCATGACTCCATACAGGTGTAAATTGCCAAATGTCGATCCAGCCACTGGTATTCGACACAAGGTGGAGCCCGATAATTCGCTCAGGAAGTACCGCGCAATTGACGGAGGCGCTCCCGGAAGGGGTTGCTTCGGGATGCAGCTGTGTCCCATATTTTCAAGTACAGACAAGCCAGAGGACATGGAGTTGTCACTAGAGGTGGGTATGGAGATTAAGGTTCTGGAACGGGGCCAGCACTGGGCTTTGTAAGTTAGTGATAAGAGTAGTTTGCGGTGGCAAGGATGGATCTCAAAGAGAGGGGGGAAAACGGAGTTTGAGCTATAAACTTGACTGACGAGTGAGGAATATGGAGTATGGAGCCGCTCGTAAAAGAAAGGAAAAAAAAAAAAAAAAAGACAGAGTAGAAAGAGACGTTCGACATGTGCGTACAGTATCAACCAAGTCTGTTCTTTGTAGACAAAAGTGGAATTATAAAAGGCTAAAAAAGGCTCATCATAACCTCTCCTTTTTTTACCCAATTTGTATTAGATCATATCCTACCAGCTCATCTATGCCCATCCATGCGCCTCTCGTCATTTCATATATCACATTGGTCCCAACAGTTTGGGGGAAAAAAAAAAAGAAAGAAAGTGGCAGTAGGCATTTTCTTGGTGTATGTTCCTCTTTGCCGTTTTTTTGTTTTGTGCAGCATCTTTCCCTTGCTTCAGTTACTTCAAGTCCGCCGGCGTGAGTGCCTGAACCATACTCGTTCCTTCACTGAAGCGTGTACGGAAGATGCGATTGGCGTTCTGGAACATGCCGTCCTTCAGACTCACAACAATAAATTGTGAGCCCTTGAACCGCGTCTTGATGAGACGTCCAATGTTTTGTGTGTGAGAAAGATCGAGAGCGGCGTCAACCTCGTCAAGGATGTACATTGGCGCGGGCTTGAATTGTAATAGAGCCATGATGAGTGAAAGTGCGACAAGTGACCTGTGTCTCCCGTGTAAGCTATGCGTGCTATACGAGGTCCAAAAATTCTGAAACAAAAAGAAAAGAAAGATGCTTACCTCTGACCACCGCTCAGTTCCGTTAGACTTTGCTTCCACACCTTGCCCAAGCAAACCTTCACTTCAAGACCGTCGCTGATCGTCTTACCCTCTGGAGGATCCAGCTTTGCGAAACTACCTCCAGGGAGAAGATCAGAGAAGATCTGACCAAAGTCGCCATTGACCTTCTCCCAAGTCTCTTGTAGCGCCTTCTTCTTATACTCATCTAGACTGACAATGGTCTCTTCAATCTTCCTCTTGTCTCGAATGACAGTCTTTATCATTTGTTTGAGTGAGATTTCCTTCTTCTCAACGCTGTCGATCATGTTCATCACCTTGGGATTGATCTTCTTCTTCATTCCTTGGAATCTCTCTGTGAGGTTCCGCAGTGTAGACTTGCACTCCGCTATATTGTGTTGCTGGAAATCGTAGGGCGTCCCGCTGCGGCCGAAATGGTCCTTCTCATCCTGAATCCATTCGTATTCGGCCTCGAGCCGCGCAACATTCTCTCCTGCAGATTGTTGCTCTTTGTGGAATTTCTCTATTTGGTGACCAAGTTTCTGCATCTCCAACCCTTCTTCCGTAATGCGAGCCTTCTTTGAGCGCGTGGCCTCCTCTAAAGCTCGAAGTTCGTCGTCGAATTGGTGTAGCTTGGCTCTTTCGTCCTCAAGTTCGGCCTGTGCGGTGTCATGTGTCTCGGCCACCTTGGCCTGCTGTTTTGACAACTCTTCGATATCTTGCTGCTGAGCCTTGATGGCCACCTCTACCTCTTGAAGCTGCTCCCGTGCAGCAGATAGATCACCTCCCACTTGCTCCAGGTCTAGTTGAGCACCTTGCAGTTCTTTTTGCAAGGTTTTGACAGCTGCCGAATTCTTGTCGAGACTTCCCCTTAACTTATCTAGAGATTTTTGTAGTTCGACTAGTTTGCCATCCTTGTTATTGTCAAAATCTTTCATGTCCTTCTCAATGCGCTTGATATCCGCACTGGCCTCGGCCTGACGGGTTCTGGCATTCGATATACTCTCTTGTAGTTCAGCAATGGTAGCTTTCCACTTTTCAATTTCTTGAATGATTGAAGAAGATGAGTTTCCGCCAATCTGATCTTCTGCCAGCTTGATTTCATGTTTCTTCAGGTCCAGAGTTTGTTGGATCTGGCGGGCTTGATCTAGTTTGGATTTCTCCCTCGCAATCTTGATCTGAATGTCCTTTAGTGATCTTTCAGCCTCATTCAGCTGCCGAGTCAGAGTGTTGAGCTTCTGTAAAGTCACCAAAACGCCGCTGGAGTTTGGAGAGCTGCCGCCTGAAAGAGTTCCCGAAGGGTCGTAAGAGTCTCCTTCGAGGGTAATACTCCGCATTCTCACATTAGGATGGAAGGTGACTTTTTTCGCTGTTTCGGCGTCTGCGCATATGAGAGTGTTGCCAAAAACGTATTCCATTGCAGAGGCCACCTCCTTGTCGTAGCCAACCAGCGTAAGAGCGAGATCGACTTTTCCTGGCGCGAGATTCTGTGCGGTCGCGATGCTTTGTGCTGATGCTCTAAAAGCGGAGATTTTGTTGAGAGGAATGATTGTTACTCGCTTCCTGAGTCTGCCTTTCTGAAGCAACTGCGTGCCCGTCACTTCAGAATCAACTACAACATTGTATAGTCGTCCACCAGCACATATTTCCAAAGCCGTTCCAGCGCTTAGTTTATCTTGATCAATTGTGAACAGTTGAGCAACGAGGCCTTTGACCTTTGATCTGTCAAAGTTGGTAACAGGGTCAGCATAGTTGAAATCAATGTTGGCAACTTTCCGTTTCAGGCCATCGCAGTCTTGCCGTAGGTTTCGAACAGTTTGCTGCAAACTCGACTCTTCCTTGAACATCGCCTCTTCTTGGCCAGGCTCAAGGCCGAGCTTGTTCAGCTCCTTTTCCAGCTTCTGGCCTTGTAACTTCAACCCGTCTAGGTCGCGAAGCAGTTGTGCATTCTGCTCCTTGGCCTTCCGAGCTCGAGGCTCCTCCTCTCTGACTCGACTTTGCAAGTGGGCAATCTTGATCTTTGCCTGCTCCTGCGTGGTTGCTGCAGTAGTAGCGCGATTCTTTGCCTCTTGAAGTTGGCCTTGATAACCGTTTTCTTGTCCCTCTCTAGAAGCCACTCCAGTTTGTAGGGTTTGCAAGAGTTCTTCTTTGGATTCAACTTCCTTCACTTGCTTTGCCAAGCCATCCTTTGCTGCTTCGTATTTCGCTTTGACATTGTCGAACGTAGCCGTCTTATCCTGTAGAGATGCTTCTAGTTCTGATACCGTTCTCATAACGGCTGCTTTTTTCTCCGTTTCCTCCGCCAAGCTCGCCTTTTTGAGGTCCATAACCGTTGTAAGTCGGACCAACTCATTAGAGTATTTCTTTACCTTATCTTCGAGACCTTGTGCTTTGCCACCCTTTTTCAGCTCCTTATCCCGCTGGGACTTTATTCTCTTGACATCTTCTTCCAGATGTGATATCTCATTGCGCATACGAACGGCAGAATCTTCTAGGCTTTTATGGCGCAGCTTTTTAGCTTCAAGATCGGCCGCAGACTGCTTCAGCTTTTCTTGACATTTTGTGTAGTCGTATGCCACAACAACGCGAGACAGTCGCTCTAGATCGTTCTGAGTTTGTTGAAAATCCAAGAATGCTCTCTTCTCTCCTCGAAGCTTCTCTAGCTTGGGCTCGATCTCGTCTCTCAGCAGTTCGCTTAGCTCTTGGAGCTTTGTTTCCTTCTTCGCCATTGTCTTCAAAGCTTTGTCTCGCCTGTCCTCAAACATTCTTGTACCGGCCGCCTCTTCAATCATGGCTAAAATCTCGACAGGCTTCATGTTGAGGACTTTGGTAATACGGCCCTGCATGATAAGGAAGTTCGGGTTGTTGATGTTCAGTTGTACAGACTGGAAGAGGTTCTGAACCGTCTGCTGCTGTGCACGGTGACCGTTGATCAAATATTTGGACGTGCCGCCAAGTACGATCTGGCGGGTTACGCTGATGGTAGCATACTCTTCGAATCCTATGGGCGACTTCTTCTTATCTCTATTGTCGAAGACGATCGTAACGCTAGCTTTGGTGACACCCGCTTGACCTCTTTTATATATAAGATCCTGCGCTCGAGATTAACATTGTATCGTGCATGCTGCAAATACCATGGACAAGCGTACTTGGAGATTTTGCGCCCGCACCGTGGACATATTCGTGATTCCGAGGACGAAACATATTGAGTCGAGGATATTTGACTTTCCGCTACCGTTCAGGCCGGTAATGGAGTTGAAGCTCTCGTCCCTAAAGTAGTCAAATCAATATCGATGAAAGCTCCCACCGTGGGGTCGAATCTTACCATCCCGATATCACTGTTCGCACTGCATACGACTTGAAGCCCTGTCGAAGAAGTGAGCAGAGAGATCCAAGGAGATTGACAAGAAGATGCGACACTTACGTCGATAATCACTTCTATTACCCTCATTGTGGCAGATCCAGCGTGCCCGCGACGCAGATATTGGATCGAAGAATCTTGCGCCTTATGCACAATTGTCTGTCACAAAGTCCCACCTTGGCAAGGGACGCGACCCAAAGTAAACACAACCCCCCCGTGTTTGGTTTCTGATAAGCCCGTATCTTCACGTGATGGATGACGTTATCACGTGCTGCTGCATTTTGAAGACGCGAGAAGAAGCTCGGAGCTAAAGCTGAGGCACTAACCCAATTGGGCACTCATCAAAACATTGCGACCTTGGAATGGGTGAACAAGCCCGGCTTATTTACTTTGGACTTTCAACACTATCATCAACATTGCCCTACCGAACATCACCAACACCGATTCTCACGCCGAGCCCTACAAGTCACCAATGTTTTAACAACTTTCAGAGACGACTTTCAGCAGCCGGCGCCACTGGAAACACAACATTGCAGCTGTTGTTCTCGGCGCGACACCATGACTGCAATGCGAGGCCCGCGTCTCCAGGTTGGGTCTGCGGCCTGGATCGGCGAAGAACGGGCGTCTGCACTGGAGCTTGTGCAATCTGAAGTCGAGGAATTCTCCTACTCTGCTCACAATGAGATTGAATGGCTCAACGAGCACATGGCCGCAATTTTGAACGAGAACGAAGTGTATGTCGCATTGTTCCCTATTCATCACCTGCCATTGTGATGGCCCATGCTGACACCCTTGTCTAGTAATATCACGGAAGCGTTCAAAACTCCAGGAAAGCTTAGGGGCAAAACCCCCCATACGGCTCGAAAGGTTAATGCGACAGAATCCCGAGTGGTGGGTTTTCTTTCGAACGTCTTTTGCTTTTCTTTTGTGAGCGTTGTTCTAATGCACGGCGATTAGCCTCTATCCGACGTCTTCGCAGCGGCATCACCAGCCATCCCGAAAAATCAAAACCCATCTCAAACCAGCCGGATTCATCCTGCACCCCAACTTCACCAAGTCGCGTCGAAGACGGTACCGATATCCAAAGCTGCCTCCCCACAACGACATGTATTCTCTCCCCAACGACCACCCCCTACCCGAGGCATGCAGGACTCTGGTTATTATGGGAGCCAGGACTTTGCTGCCACGGATCCAAGTGACGACGCCGAGCCTGAGGAATCCGAGGAACTCGACGAACCCGAAGACATTGCAAGTCCCTATAGCGATATTGTATTGCCGCCTGGTGGATCTTCAATAAGACGAAGCCCAGCTCGAAAGCCAGTTTCAATATCACCTACAAAATCTTTCCAAACAACAAGAGAGGATATACCAGCGCGCGCTCTGCCAAATGTACCATCCAAGGCTACTCAAGACGAGCCAGAGTCATCATCCAAAGAGTCAGATGTGGATAATCCGTACTTTGAGGCGCCTGTTACGTCGCCCAGAAAGCTTCCCATGCCCCCTAAGCAGTCTGATGAAACATCGGAGGATGACCATTCCGCATCTGAAGGGTCAAGCCCAATCAGGCCTGTTGTTCGAAAAAGTAGCTTAAACTTTGCTTCTTTACCAGCAAGAGAGCCACTTAACTCGGGCAAGAGTTTGGGAGCGAGACAATCTCGGAACAGTCATTTCGATACTGGCAATAATAGCAGAACAAGCTACTACCAAAGACAAACTGGCGGCAAAAGCCTCGGAAATCTCGCCAAGCGCGATTTGGATGAAGTCGAGAATCCTGGTGGCATGGAGGTGGACGGTAGAGACCTCCCACCTCTCCCCGATGCTTCTGAAGTAGAAAAATCAGGCATGAATCACACAAAGACATATACGCAGAGATTACAAGATCAAATCAGCATGTTAGGTAAACCTCAAGGCAGCTTTGGACAAACTAAGCAGACACCAAATGCGTCGGTAGCGCAGCAAAACGCTACCCAAATACAATCCGTTGCAAGCCCAAAGCAGACATCTCCTGAGAAAGAGCCGATCTCCACGACGCCACGAGCTTCTCCCGAAGACGATGATGACGATTGGATCGGGCCGCCGACCGCGGTCAAGGACAATACGGACATAAGGCCGCTGTTGGCCAAAAGCCATACAGCTGACATTATGGAAGGCCTCCTAGACAAGGCTGATGACGACTCGCTCCAAGCTAACGAACCAACACCACACGGCTTCTTTCACCACTCAAAGACAATGTCTTTCTCAAATGCACCTACTGCTTCGGCTGCCCTCATGCGAGAAACCGTGCCCCTTTCCAAGGCGATTTCAACTTCCAGCTTAGTAGCATCGCAAGATGATATGGCTGAGACACCCTCCAAATCACTCCCGCGAAACTTCCGAGATAGTCCTTTGAAGCAGGTCAAGAATAAGCTTTCGTCTATCTTGAAGGGCTCTCGCGGCCTTCTTGCTAGCAATGCGGAAGGAAAGTCCTTGACGTCGCCTTCTGTTACCCGCTTGGCCCTCCATGCTGGGCAATCTTCCGAATCGCTTTTCATGAGGCCCCAGGATCTCGAATCTCAATCAACTGAATCTGCGAGCCCAACGAAACCGATTGCGCGCCGTACAAGGGCTTCTACGGAACGTGAGAAGGAACAAAAACGTCGCGAGAACGAAGTTAAGCGTATGGAAGAGCAGATGGATAAGCTTGATAAGGCACGCGAAAAAGAGCGTGAAAAGGCTCGAGCATTTACCCAAGAGCAAGAGAAGGTTGCTACCATGGAAAAAGAAACTGCTTTCAAGAAACAAGACGAGCGCGTGGCGATCAAGGCAACTCCTAACCCAGTAAAGAGAAGCCAATCCAGCCCTCGCAAGATGAGAGCGGGAGAGGAACCTGAATGGAGACAGGCCGATCGAGATACAGACATGTCTGACGCTCAACCTCCCATGCCCCCGCCGTCCTCTACCAAACCTACTCTTCCCGGCCAAGCAGCACGTGGCAAGGATAACAAGCGACCAGTCAAACCAACTAAAGATTTGACTGCAAAGACGAAAGTCCCCCCAACTGTTATTAGGGTTAATACCGGCTCACAGCACTCACAATATGCCCCTGCTGGGAGCCGAGTATCTACCGCGTCTCACGATACCTTGAATTCAAATCATTCAACCGCGTCGTCGAAGACCAGCAAGTCATCTTACCAAACCAAATCTGCGACCCAAACCTTCAAAGCACCCGCCTCTGCCGGCCGATCCAAAGCCGCGGAATTAGCCGCTAGAAAAAGGGAACAAGATGAAAAAGAGTCTCAAAGACGGCGCGATGCTAAGGCTGAAATGGAGAGGAAGAGAATTGCAGCCCAAGAGGAGCAACGAAAACAGGATCAACAGCGGCGACTCGAACTGGAGCGACAAAGGCAACAAGACGAAGAGAAGAAGTCTGTTCAACGGCAGGCCGCCATTGAAAAGGCTAAGCAGACAAGAGCACCACCCCCGGCCCCACGATCGCAGCCAAACGGCCCACCCGATACCACCTTGGGTCAACAAAAGTCGGCATCCTCTAAAGCTGAGGGCCAGCCTGCTCGGCCACCTTCACGACTGGCTGGCATGCGGGATGACTCTAGCAGGCCATTCAATTCCATGCTTTCCAAGGCAGGCGCCAAACGCACTCTAGGGGCAGAGACGAGTGACAACAACAACTATTCTAGGCCCCCTCCCTCGCGAGGCGGACCGGCCTACCAGACTAAGGATTCTAAGAGACGCCGAACTAGCGAACACGAAGATGATGAGCTGGGTTCGGAAAACCCTCCCAACATTAAAGGTCCGCCAGTGAGGCCGTCAACAGGATTTAAAAAGGTACTTATCCATTTCAATAAACTACGTGTACGATGCTTGGACCAAGACTTACAATCTATAGGATCTACCATCGAAGTCTGCCTTCCAAAATGGATATGGAGCTGCACCACAAAGTGCCACCCGAGATCTATTCAAGGCTGCCGTCACAGCTCAGCACAATGGTCACATGAAGGCCGCCCATCCTCTGGATATGGCGCAGATCTCAAAGGGCCCGATCCCCTTTGCGCCCAGCTCGAATGCCGCTGCTGGGTCTTCATTCAAAACTCCTGCTCGGCCTGGACAGCTCGTTAACCCCAAGTCGAGCGTGAAGAGGCCTTCACCACGGCCCCAGACCGGCGACTCTATTGAGCTTCCCGAAATTCAGACAGATGACGAAGATGACGATGACGAACCTCATGGAATGAATGTAGCTGCTTGGGCTGATTCGCCTGATTTGCGTCAAGCTCTCATGAGGCAAGAGACGATGGACCCATCTCAAATCTTTGGTCCGCCAGCGCCCTTGATCATGGAAGAGGTCTTCAGCAAGAGTAAAGACAAGTGGCACAAGTTCCGCCAAAGGACTTCCAGTGCCAACTGGAGCGGTCTGGATCGTCTGACTGAGGACGATATTAGAAAGGACATGGTGGCTCGAAACAAGCTGCGGCGAGATGGAGGATGGTCTTATGAGATGAGCAAGGATATGCTATAAACCTGTTTTGCACTGTACATTATATCAAAGAAGAGGAGACGGTTCTTGCTTGATTTTGTGGGTATTGCGGACTATCAATGACTTGGGATATGGAGTTGGGAATTAGTTATATAGCGAGAGGGAGGACATCATATTGCATTATCCGAATACGGATGACGAGGAATTCGGCAAACGGAGGCTGGCGTCTAGGATGAGTTTTACTTGTTGATAACAGAGAACTAGCAATGTTAGACCGACTATCAAGTATAAAAGTTGGTTTAGGAAATAGACGTGTCTTGAAATTGCTTGCGTGGTCTGTTGCTGGGGAGAGAGGGTAGAAAGAAACTCACTTCACTAGTTTTTCAGATGCCTTGCTTCTAAAGCTAGTACGCAGCTTGAGCGGTACCGTTTCTACAGCTCCCGTAAAGCAGACCTGTCTTATAATGGATGAAGCTTCACGTCTAATAGAATGTCTGACATCATGCTATGAAGTGAGAATGGCAGAATAACTAGCACGGTTATAGACTAGCGGCCATGCGATGTCTCGAGTCTTATCCTTATCTTTTCCGTATTGGGAACAGCTTTTTTGGAGGGGTCGAACTTTTTTTGCCGCTAGCAGGTAGGATAAGAAAAAAAAATATTATAGGAACCCTCATCGGCATTTGGAAGAAACACGCGACTCTCACGTATTCATTTCATATTTCTTTACCAGGCACTTAACTGTGTCGTTGGTTTTTCTTCCACTTGGGTCAACCTACCATCAATAATTTACCCTTTTTTTGGTTCAAGGAAGATCTAATCATGTTTCGATTCGGAGTTCGACGATGCGGAAGCTTGGCCCGCACTGCGGCCTCAAGTACGATGCTGCTGAGTGCGCGATCAGCCTTTCCGGCGGCGCGATCGGCGGCGTCTACACTGCCCCGACCAGTTGCGTCTCTGAAGAGCTTCGCCAGCCTCAACAGATTGTATAGCAGCGAGGCTGCTGCGGCGGAGAATGTGACTCCTGAAACTGCTGCGACTGGAGAGATCACATCGTTCCATGACCTGGAGGCCATTGGAGTGCATCGCAATCTGCTGGATGCCATCACCAAGGACATGCGCTATGATTCAATGACTCCGGTTCAAGCCAAGGCGATCAACCCGGCCCTCAAGGGAACTGATATGTAAGCTTGGAAATGTTCTCTTGCGCAAAATGGATCTGTGAACTGACCAACCTCAAAGTGTCGCTCAAGCCAAGACCGGTACCGGAAAGACCATTGCCTTCTTGCTACCTCTCCTCCAGCGCATGATCGAAGAAGACCCCACGTTGGCCTCACGGAAAGCCTCTCGAAATGCCAGCTCTGACGATATCCGCGGCATCGTGCTGTCCCCAACCCGTGAACTTGCTGAACAGATTGCCACCGAGGCGAAGCGGCTATGCAGTCGCACTGGTCTGGTCGTCCAGTCGGCTGTTGGAGGCACTCAAAAGTCTGCCATGTTGCGCCAGACACGGCGACAAGGATGCCATCTTTTGGTGGCTACCCCCGGTCGTCTGAACGATCTTCTCGAAGACCCCAACAGCGGTATTGATGCTCCTAACCTGGCGGCGCTTGTGCTGGATGAGGCGGATCGGATGCTCGATGTCGGCTTCGAGAGAGAACTCAACTCAATTCAAAGCTTCCTGCCCAAAGACAAGGTTAGACAGACGATCCTGGTCTCTGCCACCATTCCCGACAACGTTATCCAGCTTGCGCGCAAGCTTGTTCGCCCCGACGATTTTGAGTTTGTCCAGACTATTCCTGAGCATGAAACTCTTACCCACGACAGAATCCCCCAGCACGTCGTCACAGTCTCCAGCTGGGCCAACGTCTTCCCTTCCCTGTATGAGTTGATCGACCGTGAGGTTGCGGCTGCAAAGGCGGACCACACCTTGCCCCCCTTCAAGGCCATCGTCTACTTCAACACAACTTCCATGGTTGAGCTCGCTGGTGAGATTGGCTTTCAGCGCAGAAAGAGCGGCCAGCTGAGAATTCCCACTTTTGCCATTCAATCTCAGCTTTCTCAATTCCAGCGAACAAAGGCCGCGGACATGTTCAGAAACTCCAAGACTGGAATCCTCTTCTCGTCGGATGTTACCGCCCGTGGCATGGACTTCCCCAATGTTACTCACGTCATTCAGGTTGATACTCCCCGAGAGCGTGAATCATATATCCACAGATTAGGCCGTACTGGACGACAGAACAAGAGCGGAGAGGGCTGGTTGTTTGTGCCTCCCATGTCTGCCAACACTGCCAGGAAACTGCTACGGGGACTCCCACTGAAGCCTAACAAATCCCTTGAAAGTTCCGAAGTCGATATCAACGCAGTGGAGGAATTGCCCGCATATCACGAAGAGGTGAAGAACCTCATTCAGGAAATCCCCCGAAAGACCATGGCTTCTGCGTATACTTCGCTCTTTGGTGGCCAGCTCTCGGATAGAGAAGATCTTGTTGACGATTTGAACGACTGGGCTGTCAAGGGCTGGGGTTGGTCAGAGCCCCCTGCCGTTTCCTCCAGCTGGGCAAGAAACCAAGGCTTGACAAGATCCGGATTGAACATTCAGGACGGCCACAGTGATCGAATGCATCGGGATGACAGACGGGGAGGTGACAGACGGGGAGGAGACCGACGAGACGACCGCCGTGGTGGGGGCCGTTTCGACCGTCGTGGACCTCCTGATCCATTTGCCGAGATGGGAAGAAATGCGCGACGCGATGGACCGCCACAGACGCGTTCCAGAGGTGGCCGCCGAGGTGGAGGTTTTGAGTCATCATGGTAAAGCGATGAGCTTTTTCCATAATGGCATTTGAGGGAGAGGAAACGACTAAAGACCGCGGTCTCATGAAAGCCGCGGAACTCATGATTCTAAAGTATTGATGCTTGGCGTCTATCCACTGGGAGAGAGACGCTATGCTATGCTATGCTATGCTATGCTATGTTGGTTAAGGCGCGGTAAGCTGTTACGGCTACGTGTTTATTCATGTTTAGAACTTATTGATCTTAATGGTGTTGCTGGGATTTGCAATGTAAAAGATACAGGGCGGGACGGGAACGACAAAAAAAGGAACAATCTCCAATTTCAAGACAAAAGCATCGTGGCGCATGTAATGATATATATAAATTGTGTATAGTATAGTCATGACTTGTATTTCAGAAACATTAAATATATATGAGCTATCAGGATTATGAACGAATTATTCAACCAAGGTGCATGTATTGTGTGAGGCTTAACCAAAAAACCTTGGCTTATAATGTTTCTGTACAGAATTCTAAAACCACATTGACTCCGTAACAAGAGAAATCTAGTCGTAAGGGATGCCATCTCCTTCTCTCCTTGTAGATGTGCGCTCTTGGTATCAAAAACAGTTGTTTGCCTGTCTTCATCTTTCTAGTTGCGTGGAAACATCACCCGTTTTCTGCTCACCGCGGATGCATCAACAGGTTGGCATCCCACAGTAAGACCCTCTCGTCCCAGCCAGCAGAAGCCACCCAGCCGCCAGCGCCAAATAGACACCAATCAACGCCCGTCACAAACTCCGTGTGTCTGTTCATGATACCCATCTGCGCCCCCGGGCGAGTAGTAGGCATAGGTCCCTGCGGCTGGTTGGAGGCATCGTTCCACAATCGCACAGTCATGTCGTAGCTGGCGCTGATCAGGACATCGCTTGCGTGCGGGCTCCACGTCAGCCTCCGCACGGCGTACTCGTGGCCGGGCATGATAGAGAGCGGCCCGCCGGTCGGATTGCGTATGTCGAATGTTCGAATCATGCGGTCGACGCCGCCGGTCGCGATGACGGTGTCGCGGTATTTGTTCCAGTCGTGGGTGAGGACTTCGGCGGGCGGACCGCCGGCGGGGATGGGGCCGCCGGGATTGCTGGGGGCTGCGTGGACGGGGATGGCGGCGACGAGATGGTATTTTGCGGATGAGGGCGTTCGGAGATCGAATAGTCGGAGGTGGGAGTCGGAAGAAGCTGCTGAGATGAGGGAAGGGTTGGAGGGACAGTAGGATGCGCTGTAGGTGCAGCTTCCAATGGGCAGAGTCGTGATGGAGAATGGGCGAGTAGGCGACCACTATAAGAAGAAGAAGAATCCATGACTTTGTAAGTTATAAGGTCAAGACAGGAACCGAGAATTCACCAATGCATAGCCAATCAACGTACAATCTTGACCGTGCCATCCCATGAACTGGATATAAAGTTGTCTTTGGTGACGGGATTCCAGGCGGTAGCAAAGGCCTCGCGCTTATGCTCATGGAAGATCATGACTGGGAACTCCCTCATGCCAATGTCGAAGAGCTTGAGCGATCCATCGCCGCACGCAACCACGAGCTGGTTCTCGTTGATCTCCGACCAGGCCAAGTCGTATATCGCGTCATTTGTATCGAACCTGTAAACACAATTCGTCGCCGCGTCAGCCTCGTTTGTCTTGTCATGGCAAGCTTGTATATATAAACGCACGTCTTCTCAACCTGGATGCCTTGCGCCGTCAGCGCAAGAGCGAATAGCCGGCCGTTTCCAACGATGCCGAAGTTGGCGGCTGTGCCGACGGCGATGCGAGAGTCGTGGTATGGCGAGTATTTGACCGCGTAGGGATTGTACCCCTGGGTGCGGAACTCGAGCATCGCGGCCATTGTTTATAATTTGGGAGGTCTTGGTCGGCTGGAGGAGGAGGAGGAAGATGAGGAGAGGAGAGCGCCTCAGAGGCGCATTCGAGTTCGAACAAAAGCACTAATGAAAGGCAATATGCAAATATATGAGGGGGTAATAGTAATTGTAGCAGAAGATTTCTTTAAAAAAAATATTACAGTGTTAGCTCTTCGTCATGAGCTCTTGTTTGGCTTGGATTGCATACCGAGTTGCGCTGCGACCAAAGGTCCGCCTAATCTGACATGTGCCTCGGTCCTGGGATCTGCCGCCGCAGCCGTTTGCCGTTACCCCATATTTGACGGTATGATTATGTAAGGTGAAGCTAGGCCGAGTGTCTCAGCTGCTATAAATGCTTGCTGGAAGCTAAGCTGATCTCTTAACATCACACATAAAGAGAGGGGGAAAAAAAGACTTGTACATTCATCTCCAAGGTAACTTTAGACTTGGACTTGGCGTTTGACCAATTATATTCCTAGGCAGATTGATATGGGCTGAGCTTCCAGACGCCATCGTGCCATAACGGCAAGCAGATGTGATCAGTGCATCGAATGCAATATACGAAGTAATCTTTTTGCCTTATTAGGAAATATCTGGTCACGTGGCTTCGTGTTGCTACAGATGTCACCCCTCGCGCCTGCCGTGAATTAGTCGTGGACTGATCACGTCTCTCTTTTGCGTTTGCATTTATTTCATTCATCTTTGTGGAATCTTCATGATCCGTCTTTTGGAAACTTTTTGGCCAATTTTTTTTTTTTTTTTTTGGAATTTCTCTACATACTTGACTTATAACGTACAGCAACTCTCATGGACTCTTTTCTCAGGCGTCCAAAGCGAAAATCGACCCATGCTGACGCTACACCAGAATTGGAAACAGCACTGGAAGATGGCGAAGAGTCGACTGAAATCAAGCTCGCCATGCTCTCCTCGTTACATCCCCTTGTTGAACAGGAAAGGCTTTTGGATGTCCTCTTAGCCCACGATGGCTCTGTTAGCCAGGCATCAGAATCTCTCAAGTCTTTTCGTCCTAGGGTGAAGAAAAATGGTACCATAGGATACCAACAATCCCTGAGACAGTACGCAAAACCTAGCCAAGATGCACCGCTGTCATCGCCTAAGAAAAAGATCAAAAAGGGCAGCACGCTACATCTGTACGATCCAAAAGACGTTGCAGAGCACACGCCATGTACCATTATACACAATTTTCTCCCTACCGAGCTGGCAGACCAACTCCTGAAAGAGTTGCTGGATGAGGCGAAAACATTTGAGCAAATCACATTCAAACTATTTGAGAATGTCGTGACTAGCCCGCACACATCGTGTCTATTTCTCGAATCATATGAGAAAATCCAAGAACAGAAACACGATTACTATTACAATGGAGGCATGCTTAATGTGAGATATTCCTGCTTCTGTATCCTTTCATATTATTCTTCATATTACGGCACTTGACTAAACCCCCTGTAGGATGTGCGTCAGCTCACCCCAACACTCGCCAAAGTGAAGCCGATTGTCCAAGAGAATGTCAACGAACAAATTTTATCTCGCATCAAGGCTTGCTACCCTGAAGGCAAAAAGTTGAAGCACCAACCATCCAAACCATGGGTGCCGAATGCTGCATTTGTCAACTGCTATGCTGGTGCACAGCAGAGCGTAGGGTGGCACAGTGACCATCTTACCTACCTAGGCCCTCGTGCTGTTATAGGATCCATCTCCCTCGGTGTAGCACGGGAATTTCGCGTCCGTAAGATTCTGCCCCGAGACGCAGAAACAAAGCGTCCAGACGATGCGGATGGCGAGGGCCAAATATCAATACACCTGCCACATAACTCTCTACTCGTGATGCACGCAGAAATGCAGGAAGAATGGAAACATTCCATCTCACCTGCATTATCTATCGACCCACATCCACTCGCCGGGAACAAACGCATAAATATCACCTATCGAGACTATCGGGCAGAGATGCATCCATCACTCACCCCGAGATGCCGCTGCAATGTTCCCTGCGTGCTTCGAGTGGTACAACGGAAGAAAGAAAACCATGGGAAATATTTTTGGATGTGCTATGCAAACGCTATTCCAGACCAAGAAGGGTGTTCGTTCTTTGAATGGGCTGAATTTGACGATGAAGGAGTCCCGATTCGCAAAAAAGGGATGGCGAAGCCGCCCTAACGCAGCCATCCTATATAAAATAATAATCGATCAGGTACTCGTACCACGTCCCATACCCTTTTAGCAACTAATCAATTCTCAGGTGCAGTGCATTGTTAAGTGTGCAGAAAACCTCTCCCGCCCAGACGATGTCCATACTGGTGCTTCGGATGAACATCATCAAACGTCCTTGCATATGAAGACTCGGCTAGAGTCTTGTTGAAGTATGCCAATCTTTACTCCCAATGCCAGAACATGAGGTGAAAAAGGACTATCTGAATGATTAGAATGTAAAATCGAGAGTGAGAATATGGCCCCACTCCGCCCGGCGCTGATGATGTTTTGTATCTGTTAGCTCAGCATTTGCAACTTTCTTCCATCATCACCTCCCAAGTCACGAATATACTCTCATAGCGTCTGTGGAGAGCCTTCTTTGTCATCATCCTCTCATAATTCCCATCAATTACCATCTTGGTGACTTTATTTCAACATTGCCCCGCTTTCGCTTTATTTTGCAAATCCACATCATGTCTGAGCAACTGACCTTTCCCGCCGAGTCGGCAGCTCTTCTCGAGCCTCGTTTACCACCAAAGTCGGACGCCACGGAGGCCTCGAGATCACGCCCCTTTGTTACATTGACATTCGCAACTTCACTTGATTCCAGCCTCTCTCTGTCGCCTGGAGTCCGCACCCGACTTTCTGGCCCAGGCTCAAAAGCAATGACCCACTATCTACGGACTCGGCATTCAGCCATCTTGGTTGGCGTATCGACTGTGTTGGCAGATGATCCGGCCCTCAACTGCCGGATTGCAGGGACGCCTTCCCAGCCTCGGCCGATCGTCATCGATGCCAATCTCCGCTGGACCCCGCGCCATTCCGACAAGGTCTTCGAAGTGTGCCGAAATGGCATTGGACTTGCACCTTTCATCCTTACTGGCGTAGATGAATCAAGCCTGCCTCGTGGGAGTGTCGAGTTGCTTCATGAGCATGGAGGGAAATATATCCATATCCCTGCTTCCCGCTCTCAATCAACTGATCGGCTCCGATTCGACTGGAATGACATTCTGGCTGCCCTCCAAGCTGAAGGCTTGTCCAGCGTCATGGTGGAAGGCGGTGGCCAGATTATCAACTCGCTGCTGGACCCTGCCTACCACGACTTGATTGACTCTGTCATTGTGACGATCGCACCGACATGGCTGGGACAAGGCGGCGTGGTGGTATCTCCAGACCGAGTTACTGACACGGCAGGAGTCCCTCTACCAGTCGCGAGATTATCGCATGTATCGTGGCATCCATTCGGCGAAGATGTTGTCTTGTGCGGCACGCTCCGGCAGTAGACAGGTACAGACCAATTCGCACAAATACTCATTCATTCACATACATTTATTGTGCAGCATTTCGTTGTTTGCCACACACCAACAGATTCTGCTTTACGTTTTATAACTATTTATCGTCTGTTCCTCACTTCTGTTTCATGATTGCCCGGAATGAACGAGCACCATTCAATGGCGACCACCAACCTTCACCGGTTGCTACAGTAGAGTCGAATACTCGGCCCTCCCCGGCCAGTCTCCGCATTCGGCTCCGCCCGTTAACGAAAAAAAATTCATTAGCTTGTATAAGCGGCTAAGGTATACGATCTTGGGCTTACAGTGGGCACTCGGGCTTGGACGCCAAGGAACCGGCTAGGTGAGAACAGGTCATCTAACCGCTGCCCAAAGAATTGGATAAGTCTTAGCAGATGGAAACCAGGATGCTGCATGACTCGGCCGCTGCCGAAGACAATTCTGGAAACCGGGGCCCGTCTGGAGGTGTGGAGGGGCAAGCTCATGCCATGCGACTTACCCCACCAAGTCTGATCTGAAATACCAGCTATTTCGCAGCTCTCCCAAAAACAAAAAGAGGACCGTATCGCGGGGATCCCTCCATCTTCCCCATACCAGCGACATTCTCTCTTCAAAACCTCATTGCAAGGCTCAAGGCTCGCTGGGGCTCTCGTCAAGGATTACCAAGAGCTGCTGAAATTTGACTCTCCAGCAGCGACATCAACATCGACAACGCCAACCACCGAAACCGCATCCCAGCACTCCTCCCGCAGCCATGGCTCGTCCTAGAATCACCGTCCTCGGCTCCCTAAACATCGACCTCGTTTCCTACGTCCCCCACCACCCTCTCCCCGGCGAGACCCTCACGGCCAACCACTTCAACACCTCTCCCGGCGGCAAAGGCGCCAACCAAGCCGTCGCCTGCGGCAAGCTCTCCCGCTCCTCCGATCTCTCCTCCCCCGCCGCCGATGTCTCCATGATTGGCGCCGTCGGCTCCGACACATACGGCCAGCAGCTCATCTCCAGCCTGACGTCTTACGGCGTCGACACCTCCGCCGTCGCCGTCCGCGAAGACGGCAAGACCGGCATCGCCATCATCGTCGTCGACGAGCCCAGCGGCCAGAACCGCATCATCCTCTCTGCCGAGGCGAACCATACTCTCCTGCCGGAGCACTTCTCCACCTTGCCCGGCCCTCGCCCAGACCTGCTCATCATGCAGCTCGAGATCCCCTTTGACACCGTCCTGCAAGCCCTCCGCGCCGCCAACGTCTCCAACATCCCCGTCCTCCTCAATCCCGCGCCCGCAAAGGTCCTTCCCGACGAAGCCTACACCAACCTCGCCCATCTGGTCGTCAACGAGACCGAAGCAGCGATCCTCTCCGGCTGCCAAGAGTCCGACCTTGACGATGTCTCCGGTCTTGAGCGTGTCAGCGCAATCTTCATCCAGCGCGGCGTCAGCAACGTCATCATCACACTCGGTGGCCGAGGCGTCTACTATGCCACCAAGGACGGCAAGTCAGCGCTTGTGCCTGCCCTCAAGGCCAACGTCGTGGATACCACCGCTGCGGGTGATACCTTTGTCGGATCTTATGCGCTGGCCGTCGTGAGCGCCGGAACAGGCGTCTTCGATATCGACACCGCCATCAGGGCTGCTAACCGGGCCGCGGCCATCACTGTATCTCGCAAGGGCGCTCAGATTTCCATTCCATGGAAAGATGAGCTGAACTAACGTAGTAATAGAAAATAAAAAACCGCAGAATCTGCAAGAAGTAAAAAAAAAAGAAAAAAAAAAAAGAGAAATGAATAGATAATTCAACAACAAGTTAAGCTTGATGTTCTATTTTCCTACCCTCACGGGAATACCATTAAACTAAAGTCGCAGGACTTCATACTTTCCAGCTACCAAACGTCGTACTCATATAGAAAGGGCAGATGGCGAATAAAGCTAAAACCATGTTGCCCAAGCCCAAAGACCAGAATCTTTCTTTCCCTTGACATCTCCCGTAACTCCATGTTTCTTTTCTTTGCTCATACTGCGCTTGCCCTTGTAGTCACCGCGGCTGGTGCTCCTCATGGCTGGTGTCAAAGCTCGGAGAGTAGCGTCGGGTGAAATGGTCCATCTTCCACGCGAAGAACGCGAAGAACTGTCGTTTTCCTCTTTCTCGCATTTGCTACCTCCAGAAACTCCTCTGCTGCGTGTCCCTTTCATTCCAATTGCCGAGTCATACGAGACTCTATTTTCCCGTACAGAATGCAGTGACGGACTTGGTTTCAGTGCCATTGGCCGCTCATCTTGTAAGCTCATGTACCTTAAAGGAATGGCTGGTGGACGAGAGTCAATCGGTTGCTCATCAGTTGGTGTCTGCTCATACCCTTTTGATCGCATTCTTTTGAGCTTGGGAGCTGAAATAGGATGTTGGGCTAAAAGTTGTTGCATTATTTCAGATGCCTTTTGGCTCCCCCAGTGGCTCTCAATCACGGATAACAGACAATCTCTGGCCGGTATCGGATGAGGAGACCATGGAGAGAGAGAATTGTGCAGCTTGATAGTTGCCTCTGCAGCTGTAACCAACCTGGTCTGCAAGATGGACACCTCAGTCGCGCCCGCCGCACCACGTTGGAAAGGGAATGCAGAGTGTGAGTAGGACACCTGAATGCTCAGATAATCCATGACAGAGTCTCCTAGTTGAAGCTGTAGATCTTCTATTAATTCTTCCGACATTTGTCTGGCGTGTTTGTGCTGTCTCGGAGACGACAATGCTACCCTAGGCTGGAGTACGACTTGGACGAGAAGGAGAATGCTTGATCCGGCAAACAGGGTGCTACTCATCATAATAATCTTGTAAAAAGATGGTTTCACTTTTGGATACATGCTAACTTACGTCGGGAAGGATTGCTGACATATTGTCTGAACAATAGAAGATTGTGCTGTTGGCAACACGTCTATAGTGAGATCGTAGAGATAGCCGAATTTTAAAGATGTATCTGAATCAATCATTAGAACTCCGTATTATCAGCGATGTGTATATTCCAACACTACTCTTGGAACACAGATGGAAAGTAGACTACCAACCTTTGTCTGAACAAGAAATTCTGCCATTCTCAGGCCTGTCATTGGCTGGGAATAATCTGCCGCATACTTCGATCGCAGCCCAGAGATGCTGTTGGCCCGCGCGCATACTCATCGTCTCTGGAATCACGCTGATATGTGGAGATAAGACAAGTGAAGTCTCTTCTGCTAGCAGCGGCTTTGGTAAAAAAGGCATCTCAGCCAGATCGTGGGAGTCTCTCTGCCCATGATACGTGCATCTGGAGCTGGCTCGGGATGAATCATCGAGCCACGTATTACTGTGTTCCATGGGGAGCGTACACGTCGACGTGATGTGATCTCCATCTCTATTCTCAAGATTATTCTTCAGGCTAGGACGCTTGCGTCGTAATCTTCTCATCTTCAATGAATATCGATAGAGAGCCGGCAGTTCGGGCGAATAGTCTTGTCCAGGGATGTCATCATTCTCACGTCTGCTCGCGAAGCTGTGTTCAAAGGCTGATTCCTGCGATGATCGTCTCTAACCAGTGGTTTCCTTTCTCGCATGGCCAGTGCCCTTCTCAGACATGATTTTGGGCCGCCGTCGCGGAAGCCTATAAACTCTCGATGGCTCGCTGTCTTCTAGCGAATCACGAGGGCCCTCATTCACACCCGCATCCTCACTGTTGCTTCTAAAAGTTTGCTGTCGGTTATGATTCCGCTGCCTTTTGATAATTCGAAGTGGACTCGGTTTGTCTTTCACGAGGACAGGATCCCTCGACGTCGAGCGTTCAAAGCAAGGCGATAGCTTGTTTTCAAAGAACTCCATGCTGAATACTATAATAACAGTTAACCATGAGGCCCCAAAGAGAAAGTTTTAAATTAATTTCGATATGACGACTGAACAATCCTAGCAATTCCTAAACTTCTGGCAGAGCATATTGGTTCTCAAGCTGTCGGTGCTGCGTGACATCGGAGCTTCGCGGTCGGTCTCTCTTCTTTTGTCGGTGGGGATAGAATTTCAACGTCTCCAAGCCGAAAGAGTACACCGGCAGACACGCATTTGAAACAAATGCTGCTGCAAGAATAATTATAGAGAGAATAACGGTAAGAAGTGCGATAGCAGATACAGGGTGCTGCCAGACAACCCAAGGGCTGTCTTTGACGGAGACGGTTTCGTCTGTGGTAGAGCAGTTTTGCATTGTGCAAGAATGGAGGCGAGCTCAGCGTCTTTATAGACTGAGAGAGAATGGAAATGAAGAGAAAGCGGCACCGAAGAGTTTTTGGAAGTTGTATGGGAAAGTAAAGGGCAGTAGTAGAAGCCTTGGATACGAGGAACCGAAATAGCAGAGAAAAACAAGGAAAGAGCAAGAGCCTGCTGCGGCTGCGGTGCATAGGGCATCGCAACTAAAACGTAGCGATTATCAATCCATACAGGGATTCATATGTCTAGAATAGCTAGATACATAATAAAATGCATGTGCTGCCTTTTTCTTTCTATATTTTAAAAAATAGACATAATCTCTTGATATTGACTAGGTAGGACCAGCCTGTTTCTAAAACCAGGTAAAGACGCTATAATACGAGAAGCAATTAAGGCTCATTCTAAAAACATGACATTTGGAATTGCGGAAAAGGGGGGGCGTTGCTCATTTGAAGACGAGACGCCGAGGGACCAGTAGAATCGAGAGGCTCATGCTGAGGCATCCAGAGTCCGGCGCAGATTGCCCTTGACAGCCTCAATAGTTCCTTCTTCGAGTGCTAGGAAATGGATCTGAAAGTGATCTTGGGTTAATACTATTCATTTGACGGGCTAAGCGGGGGTGGAAGAGCGTTGTACAACATACCATATCGTCGGATATTCCCGAGGCGCCATACAGTACCGACTCGGTCAAAGTAGACGCTACTCCCTTCTTCACTCTGTCCTCCCAAACACCGTCCCAATTCCATTCCCCAGGCTCCCTCGTGGCCTGAGACGACGTTATGCTCTTGGCATCAGACTCGGCCGCACCATCTCCTCGCTCGCTACCAAAGTCTCTAGTTGTATCACCGCTCAAGATGCTGAGTCGACTCAGTCTATAAGTCTTCTTCTCATCAACCTTCTCTTGCTTACGCCTATGCGTACGCCACGCATGCCAAGCTCCTGGGTTCCCAGCAGCAGAAAGAGGCACCGCATCGAGAACTTCTGCTTTATCAAACGTGCTTCGAATGTACTTTAATAGGGAGTAGGTCGATATCGTCCTTCGATCTGTTTGCATATACCGCGGCAAGTTGTCCTTTTCGGGAACCGGCGGCGGCTTCATACTTTTGCGCTTTGACGATTTTGTTGACACTGCTGAAGGCGACTTACTCCTTCGACTCCCAGCCTCTGATCGTTGAGGGCCGCCAAACCACTCTGGAAAGCCATGCTCCAGGCTAAAGCCGCCAGGGGGCAGCTTTGGTCTCTCTGTAGTGCTCTTATCGCTTTCCACGCTTGCAGCGTACATGTGCGTCGTCAAGGGAGTGATGAGAGGGTGGAAGATGTCCGTTGAGAAGGTGACCAGAGGTGGAGCTCGAGGGTATGCGTCGGGGAACATAATTTGGAATCGAAGAACAGCCGGAGCATAGGGGCCTTTGTCGCAAGAAGCGGAATTAGCCAAAGATAAGCATCACAGGAGGAATGGTACAAGTAGACGAAGGAGTGTCTCCAAACGGGCAAAGATCAACTTCAAGATGGAGTACAGCAATGTCACCAATGCTTACCATGGCGGACGAAAAGCACTGCTGACCACAGTGACGGCTCTCCAGGAGTCAGACTGACAAACACGCCTTCAGGGCAGGCTTGCTTCAATCCGGCGCTGCGATTAAGGGGTAGCGATTAGCTGACGTCAAAAAGCGACTGTTTACATGCCAGACTGTCGGTGGTCTTCCAGATCAATTGCCCCGTCATGTACGATGCGACAGCACTTACAATTCCGACAGCAAGTGCTGCCGCCACAGCGAGGGCAGATGCCCCAAGGCGAGAGAAGTCATGTTGGCCAACAAGTGAAATCCTGAATTACTACCGCATGGATGCAATCAGGAGGTGTGCATGCTTCACTAGATGACATTCGCGACACGTTCTAGCGTAGGAGTTGGGACGACGTCCCGGGTAGCCGGGTTGCGTAGGCGGTGAGAAGAGGCGGTGAGGCATTCTGCCGGATAAAGTGGTAAAATATTTGGAAACCCGCCGCGGGGCTCACAGACGTCACTGATTGTTGAAGATTCGCATCGCGGGGCTGGGCGGCAACGCAACAGGCAACATTCTTGAGTTCCCAAGAACAACAATATGATGAACTGTAAGAATAAGGGGTAAACACAAAACTCAGACAAAGAAAATGTTCGTTCGTAGAGAAGAGACGTAATTGCTTTTGTCTTTCCATTCCGGTTTGTTAGACAAAAATGCCCCTAAACCGATCAACTTTTTGCCAAACCTAATCTATCAAGGTATATCCAACGAGGGGGAAAGCCATTCATCTTTAGCTTTCCAAGGGCGATTCAAGTACATAGTTGGAAATGTTTTGCAATCATATCTAGTGCCCCAGTCTCTTCTCAATCTTGCTCGACTCCTGGGCCTTGATCTGCTTGATGTCGTCCCTCGAGGCATTGTACGAGGCATTGACCTGGTTGAAAGGGTTCTCGGGGCTCTTGTCAAACTCCTTTCTGATTCTCTGCTTGCGCTGCTCCAGTCTGAGACCCGTGCCGCTCCCATCCGCCTTCATCTCGTCAAGCCTCCGCTCTTCGTATCGGTGGTACGCGGCAGCGAATCGCCTCTCCGGGTGCTGGTCAACCTTGGAATCGTCTCCGCCGGCCGTCAAAGAAAGGGCATCCAGGGCGTTGTCTATACCGGAGGCGCTAAGGGCACCGAGTTTGCCATCGTCATCCAGCTGAGATAGGTCCAGCCCCCGAGATTTTTTGACTGCCGTCTTAGATTTCTTGGGCTCAGCGCGAGCATTCAGGCTAGCCTCCTCTTCCTTAGCCAAAGCGTCCTTTTCAGCTTTCTTCTTTGCGGCCTCGGCCTTCTTGGCGGCTTCTGCCTCCCTAGAGAAAGAACCAATGTTAGTCAAAAGGAAGCATCAAATTTCCCGCAGCGGTGCGCAGAGTGGACCGTGTGGTGAACGCCCGAAGAAAAAGGGGGCGACAATCTTGACATGTAGCTATGTAGCTGTGTGAGGCGAGGGCGAGACGAGGCAACTGCATGTAGCAAAATACGCCGCCACGCCACGCACACACACACACGAACGGACGTACTTTTTCGAGGTATCCTTGGACCCCTTCTGCCACTTATCGTCCTCGGCTTGCTCCCGCTGGGCGTCAGCGACAGCGTTCTTCTTGGCCGCGCTCTCCGCCTTCCGCGCGTTGCCGGCAGCCTTCTTGCTGTTGTCCTGAGCCTTCTTGCCCGCCATTATGACGTCTTGTTTTGGCCCCTTCCGGTCAGGGCTGAAGCGGGTCTCGCGGCTCCTGGCCGGACAGCGTTATCGGGGAAGTGTTTTTTCTTTTTTCTTTTTTCGAGCCTGCATGAATATCGTATGAGCCAGAGTCGGGGGCGGGATGGGATGGGAAACCAAAAGCAGGGAAAGGAAATTAAGGGAAGAGTCAATGGGGGAGAAAAGGAGGGGGCGTGTGCGTTCGTCGCGGCCGATGGCGAGGGCTCTGTCGCCGTCTACTGGCCCAGCGAAGCATCGAAGCCTTGCAAGGTATCACTGACCGAACCGAATGGACCGGTGCGCGCCTGGTCTGGCCTGGCCTGGGGCTGCAAGTCTGTTTGCTCTTCCTGCGACGCCACTCGTTGCTGGCAGGGCTAGATCGGGGTCTGGCCGAAGCTGCGATGGCGGCGCTGATCTGGTTCGCTGCGAATCGCCGGTGCGCGCCCGAGTCCGATTGCTGTTGCTAAGCTTATCCGGGGATGGCTATCCGAGATGCCTTTTTTTCCAGGGATCTCTGCGACAGTTGTCTTTTTTGTTGAGCCTGTGCTGGGGAGCGTGAGTCGATGGAGTTTTGCTGCGAATTGCAGGTTGCAGGTCGAGTGTGGATGCGGCAACGGACGAGCCGACAAAAATGGCCGCCGGCGGTCCTCGCCCCACTATAGCATAGCGTGGCGTCCGTGCGATTCCAAGGCATCGGCGCAAGGCAAACAAACATCCCACGTTTCTTGGCTTCGTTCAGCCTTCAAGTTTGTTTGCGTTTCAATAGTGTGTTGCCGATGAAATTTGTGGCGTTTTGAGATGGGGGATCTTGCGAGGAATTCTGCGAAGTCGGCGCAGGATGCATCATTAGCAGATGTAAGTACTCAGGAGAGTTTAATATAGGTATAGTAGGTAGATAGTGGTCCAATTCACTTATGACGTATTCAGACAATTGCTGTTACCCGCCAACTCAATTCAAGTTGTGCAACTCACATAGTATGAATGAGGTGTCTATTTAAATTATTGTATTCAATAATTATATCAACAACACTCGTCTTCTTTATCAATTTTGTATATTGAAGGTAAATGCACTTTGCAATGATTCATGAAACACACAACTATAACAGTAGTTACCGGGTAGAGCATAACCTACAGTCTAAATACCAACACGCTCTATTTCTCTCTTTCCTCTCTTTTTCATTTTCCCATCCGTTACATCATTACATTTTGTCATTGCTGCTGTACAACCACTCGCCAACAGAAATCCAGCCGCTCTCGACCGTTCTCGGCCACCTCCAACTCCAGTTCCAGCTCCAGCTACGCTCGCTAGCCCCTTTGAATATTCCAATCCAGGGATGTCTTGGCGGCTACTACATTACCTACCTGCATCTACTTGAGACTCTTAGTTTGGACGTGGCGCTAAGCAAACTCCCTCTTGCATAGTCGGGCCTAGATCTCCCGCGCATCAAGCCACAATCTGTGCGTTTACGTAGTGCTCGCTACACTCATGCGTGTGGTATTCCAGAGAAATTGCGAGTAAATAGGTAGGCAGCGAAACGGTGATAGGTATCATGCTACTACTAGCAGTACTGACTACTTTGCTGACCAACACTTATAAGATGAACCACCGCTAGTTGTGATAGCATGATATCGCAGACGGCTTGCTGCTGCTTAATTCGGCCCCCATGCCAGCGCATGAAATGAGACAAGACGAGGCCAAATCTGACCTGATCTGACAGCCTGATCCATAGAGAGGAGAGACAGGTTTCAAAAGGTACAGCAGAGGCCCCAAGGCTTGGCCTCGAGCCGCCTCTTGTCCTCAGCGTCCTAAGCTTTCTAGCTTTCAATCGTCCCAGCGGCCGCTTGCGCTCAGAGTCCCCTTCCCGGCTTGATCGACGAACTTGATCAGGGCTCCCGTGGATCCCCCCGGCCGGGCCGCCTAGATTAGTGGACCCCCCTTCCGGCAGCTCCTCAAATCACGAATCATCAGCCTAGCCCAGCCCAGCAAACAAAGCAAGCCCAGCCGCAGCACCAGCCGCAGAAAAGGGCCCCTGCCCAGAGTAACGGTTCCATCCTTTGCGCGGTCCTGGAGCCATGAAACAATGAGATCTTGGTCGGGTGACGCCGCCTACGTCACGCCGGCGCCGCGGATATCCAGCCGCCCATACCACATCTTCAGATAGCCAGAAAGGCGGGCCCTAGCAGACCCCAAGTCTCGCGTCCAAAATCTCACATGGCAGCACCACCAAGCGGTCTGATTGGGTCCATGCTCGCCATATCATGGGGAAGCTGCTAGCCAATTGCGTGGAGAAGAAGTGCAAGGCTGCCAGAAAGAGAGGCGCTTACAAGGTACCTCGCACCCGTGCGGATGTGATGCTGGCTTGAGCGTGCCGTTTAGTCGTGTTACACGCCCGGGACTATTGAGCGCGAGTGCGACTCTGCCGTCGGAGCTCTCTCTACACGCAGCACACAAAGGGGGTCCCTGGACACGAGCTCTCCAGCTGATGGTTATCACTGCCGTTATCACACCAGGCCGGGAGCAAGGGGGGGGGTGTAGGCTTTCCATGTATACGGGTGGTAGCCTGTCCTGTCTTGTCCTGGAGTCAGCCCTGATTACTCGTTTCTCCAGCCGTGGAACAAACACGCGCGCACGACCCGCCTTCCAACCACCAGGAGCTCCGCACATCCTCGACGGGCATCGCACTAGTAGCTGGAAGGGTACTACTTCACCGCGGTTGCGTGGCTGTTCAGAGCAATCTTGATCCTGGCTCCAGCGCTATAATCCACGGCCCGATCCTACCAGTCGATGTCCTACCACGCTGTCGGGATTGGAGGCGGTGCCAGACCAAAGCTGAGCCAAAAAAAGTAAAAACTAGAAAATAAAATAAAATAAAAGGTCAAGATAAAGAGATAAAGAAGAGAAAAAGAAAAAGAAAACGAAGGATACCCCTCCCCTGCGCGGCCACGACTCATGTCTAATATTACAAGTCGCCTATACCGTTCATTACCCGGGCGCCACCGTTTTATATCGGCCGAGCTCAGTGAATGCCTTGTACGCCTTGCAATCAGGCTCGGGGAATGCGCAGAGGCAGGTACCTGGGCATTCGACTCTTTGTCCCTGGAGAGGGGCTTCAAAATACCTCAGAGCACAGCTTGCTACAGTATACAAGCAGCTTCCCAACAGCATCACGTCGTGTGACACAGGCAGGCCTAGCGTCTTACACCTGCAGCAAGCTCGCATACAAAATAGGTACTTACATGATGTGTAAAGGAATGCTCGACCACAGCCTCCTCACCAAAAAAAAGGAATGGCAGAGAGACAAGGCAGAAGATCCAAAGTAGAAAGTGGGGATCTTACCCAGGGTCCCCGTACAGTCCCTCATTGCAGCTCTTTATCGATCCATCAAAGCCAAGGCCGCGTGCGTTCTTGTCGCAGCTTTGTCTGGGGGTTAGGCATGGCGCCCGTCACGTCATGCAAGCAAGCCAACTTGGAACCTTTTCCGGCGGTGTTTATGGGGCATCTCGTCTTGACATGAGCAGCTGACAAGAGGGCTATATACAGCATCAGCCACAGGCTTGGCCTGCATCGAGCTCCTCTGACTCATCCCATCCGTTCCCAAAGTACTCTGCTTGTATCAGTGCTTGGCTGCATGGGCAGCACACCGATAGAGCTAGCTTGTACAAACATGTACAAATAATGGACGGGTGAATCGTGGTAGTCTGCCCCAACTATTGACTGTTGCCAGCTGAACAGGGATATACTAGGCACAAGGCCTAAGCAATCCCACAGCGAATCGCATCGGATAGGGAGTTCCCCGTAGGGATAGGGATCCAAGGATCCTACGTTCCGGCGTGCCAAAACCACCAAGCGAAGCAGTGTGATTGAGCTTTTGCTCCGTCTTGGGCATCCTGCAGGCCTCAGCACAGCCTGGCGACGCATGAGGTCGATCATCACCGTACTCATGGCAAAGAACTGCTGCAGCGCCCCCCTCTTCCTCATGCAAGAGGGGCCAAAGAGGAGACGGTCCTGCAAACGGGCATTACTTTGGCTCCCTCACTGGTGAGTAAGTGGTCAGCTTAGCGAGGCACTCGAGCTGCGAACGGATGGATGCAGAAGCTCCGATGCATGCTTCCCATGCAGCCCATCATTGGGTGACTTGGAGGGTTCGCAGGCCATTTCTGGCGTGTCGTCAAGCCCGCAGTTCCCATGTCCTCTGAATCGCTACTCTTTTGTGCATATCCTGAGGGCTGAGTAGCGATATTGCGGGCACGAGCCAACAGATGCACACCCAATCCGGATATACATCCAGAGTATCCAGGATAATGCAGGGGACACGGAAACGGTGAGTTTGAAAGCCACCGATAAACCGTTTTGGTGTATTCGACGGCTCGGAGACTAACAGCAAATAGCCATTATTTTCTGCTCGGAGAGACAAGGTAAAGAAGAGTATAAAACCCCCCCCCCAAGAAAAAGTCCGCATGGCTAGCCCACCCAAGATAATTATGCTTGGTGATTGCGTTGGTAAGTGTAAGAACAGCAGAGCCAGAATCAGAACAAACATCAATACACCTCTCGCCGTCGTATCGCATTGGCACCACCAGCCAGCTGACCTTGAATAATACATACCCCCAAGCAGAGCTGAACTCGCATATATTGCCAAGGCTCATATATTCCAAACTCAATTGGGTGTTGCTTGCTCCGTGTCAAAGCATACGCCTCTTCTGTTCATGATTTGTATTGTTGCAGCCGTCAGTTGTCGACTTTTTTTGCGTAAAATGATAGATCAGGCTCGCGAGGCTCGTCTCACTATTAATATGCCGATACTACCTGGAGCGTAACTTGAACCAAAATTAAGCCCGGCTGACGACGGTCCATGCTGCTGCTGGCCACCCGTCTCTTGATGATTCGCTCGAATACGTGCTTACAAAATGCTTCATTGATAATACGGAGCCGTCTCTGCGGACGACACCGTAATACGGAGCAGGCGTTTGTTTTCAAT